GTCCTGACTGACATGCCTCTACAACATTGCATGGAAATCAGGGGAAGTGCCTTTGGAGTGGCAGACCGGGGTGGTGGTCCCTATCTTTAAGAAGGGGGACCAGAGGGTGTGTTCCAACTACAGGGGGATCACACTCCTCAGCCTACCCGGGAAAGCTTACGCCACGGTGCTGGAAAAGAGGATCCGATCGATAGTTGAACCTCGGATGGAGGAGGGACAATGCGGGTTTCGTCCCGGTCATGGAAGGCCGGACCAGCTCTTCACCCTCGCTCAGGTTCTTTAGGAGATGGGAGTTTGCCCAACCAGTCCACATGTGTTTTGTGGACTTGGAGAAGGCCTACGACCGGGTCCCTAGGGGAATCCTGTGGGGGGTGCTCCAGGAGTACAGGGTGGAGGGTTCCTTATTAAGGGCCGCCCAGTCCCTTTACCAAAGGAGCATGTGCTTGGTCTGTGTAGCCGGCTCTAAGTCGGACTCGTTTCCAGTAGGGGTTGGACTCCACCAGGGCTGCCCTTTGTCACTGGTTCTTTCCATAACCTTTATGGACAGAATTTCTTGACGCAGCCAGGGGGTGGAGGGTGTCCAGTTCAGCAGGCAGAAGATCGTCTCACTTTTTTTTGTGAATGATGTGGTGCTTCTAGCTTCGTCGAGCAGTGACGCCTCTTGCTGGGGCGGTTTTCGGCCGATGCGAATCAGCACCTCCAAGTCCGAGGCCATGGTCCTCAGTCGGAAAAAGGTAGATTGCCTTCTCCAGGTTGGAGGGGTGGTCCTGCCTCAAGTGGAGTAGTTCAATTATCTCGGGATCTTGTTCACGAGTGAGGGTAGGATGGAACGGGAAATGGGTTTTCTACGCAGGGTGGCCGGGCTCAGCCTTAGAGATGGGGTAAGTAGCTCGGACAGTCGGGAGGCGCTCAGAGTAGAACTGCTACTCCTCCACGTCGAGAGGAGTCAGCTGAGGTGGCTCGAGCATCTGGGTAGGATGCCTTCTGGACGCCTCCCGTTAGAGGTGTTCCAGACATGTCCCACCGGGAGGAGACCTCGTGGCTGGCCCAGGACCAGGTGGAGGGATTATATCTTTCGCCTGGCCTGGGAGCGCCTGGGAATCCCCCCGAAGGAGCTGGTGGAAGTGGCCGGGGTGAGGGCCATCTGGGCTTCCCTCCTGAAGCTGCTGCCCTCGCGACCCGGACCCGGATGAAGCGGAAGAAAACTATACGAAAGAAGGTCTCGACTGTGTTAAATCCACTCCATGCCCTCTCTCCTCCCTCCCTATGACTTATGCTGCTGGGAGGAGCTGAGTTAGGGAGGGGGGATACTTACGCGGGGCTGCGCTGCTCACCAAAATACCAAATTGTGCTTGGGAACGCCTTGTTGGCACGGCTGACCTGACTTACGCCGCGCCTGAGCCCATGGTCTTCGATTCACAATGATACCGCAATGCTGTGTTTATTCAAGAAATACAGGTGCATCTCAATAAATTAAGGTATCACAAGAAAACCTTTGGTTATGGTTTGATTCGAAAAGGTAGACTTTCAGATATTTGTAGCATGTGAACTCAAATATCTCATCTATTTTATTTGTAATTTTGTTGATTTCTGCCTGTAGCTAACAAAAATTAGGAATCCATTATCTCCCAAGATTGTAATACTTCCTGAAATCAATCATAAAAAGGATTTAAGATACACAAGTGCACCGCAGTAAATAAGAAATTTTGTGTCTGTCAGTTGTAGGGAGGGTAAGCCACAGAAGGTCATTTTTGAAAAGGCTGGCTGTTGAAAGAGAGGTGGTGTGGAGGCAGATTGATGGACAGTTGACTGGAAGTGAAAAGTATGATGACCAAGCAGGGTTGAGCACTGCCTTGAGAGGACTCTTAAGAAAAGTTTAAGAACTTGGGGGCTGAGAGACTGAGGCTGGAGTCAAAGCATCAAGAATTGAGAATCTGAGGTAAGAGGCAGAATCCAAGTTGTTTGGAGTTTATGATGATATGTGGTACCATGCCATCATTTGTTGTACATCCACTTTACTTTATCAAATGCCAAGACAACACAGCCATCTCCCAGGAGACTTCGGGGCACTTCATTCCTTCATTTGCTGTCAAGCTTAATGGGAATGCTGATTTTCATTTCCCTGCAGACTGAGCACCTGCCCAAGCACCTAAACTCAAACCAAATAGTTTTCTGACCATAATATTACCCTGCTTGATGGCTATAAGCTAAGAATATGGAAATCAAAATAAAAATTGACTTAAATTATTTCTCTTTACATGCCACAAATATAAAACAGATCTGCCAGTTTGAATGAAAAATTGAGGTTGCTTTTCATAGTTGCTGACTTTGAAATAGTTTAAAACGCAAAAAAAATGAAATTTTGAGCATGCAATCATAATGGTCATTTAACTGTTTTAAGTTTAGCTGTCAATTCCAATTCCAAAAACAACATTTTGGCAGCCCTGCCTCATATGCATTTTGTGAAATGATCATGAGTATTACATCCTTTATTTTTTACATGCTGCGCTGACTTCTTGCTTTATTCTTTTATTTAGCCCTGAATAACCCCTAAGAGTCATGATATGTTCTGTGTATTTATTTTTCCCCTGGTTTTGGTCATTTGAGTGTATTTTCATTGTGATTTTACCTAGTGTTTCTGTTCCCTGTTGTTCCTGTTCCCCTGTAGTCCAGTCTTGTGAGTTTTCAGTTTGTATTTAACCCTGTTTTATTTTGTAGTAGTTTATTCCCTGTGTTTCTAGTCTTGTTTTACTTGTTTTCCCTCCTATGTAATTGTCTGCACCTGTGTGTCTCAGTGTCTCACCTGACTCTCGTTGCTCATTTCCCTGTGTGTATGTATAGTCCCTGTCTTTCCCTGTTATTCTGTTGGTTCATTGTTGTGTGTCTGTATGTTGGTGTGTGCCTATTCCTGTGTCCCCAGTGTGTCCTCGTTGATTTTTGGTTCCTTGGATTTTGCTTCTTGTGTTTTTTGGGAATTTTTCAGTTGGACATTTTAAGTATGTGTTTGTTGCTTTTCTTTTAGTTCCTTTTAAATGAATCCCTTTTTGTTCTGCATTTTGGGTCCTTTCCCTTTTTGTTAAACTCCAGACCCTGACACTGAGTGCAATAAGGGATGCATAATCCTTCATCATTTCAGATTATGTTCTGATTATTCCTTCATCATTTCATGTTGTGTTACTTTATCGAACAATCCCTGATCTCATCAGATCCGATCCTGTTTCATCTTTTTTTCTCACATTTTTTCTCAGCTTGCCTGTCATTGTTCTACGTCATATCATAAACTTCACATTATCGCTCATGTCTCATCTCCTTATCACCTCATTTCACCTTAAAGAGTTGCATGTGTTTTTGTGCATCCATCAATCACAGTAATACACAGGTTTTGCTTCATGTGTGTTTTTGATGGGTGTGTGATGAGGCAGCCATCATTTACCCAGCAGAACTCATCAGTCTTCTTTTTATCCCCTCCTCATCCTTTCTTTATCCTCTCTTCTCATCTAATCTCTCCTCCTCTCATCCTCCTTTTCAGTCAGGAAGCCCCTGGATCGACATCAATGAGCCAAAAATGTAGACAGAGGAGACAGAGAAGAGGGAGAAAAGTGGAGAGGGTGAATGAAGAAAGGAGACAAGTGCGGAGAATGAGGCAGAGTCTGTAAATGAAACAACGAAAGTAACAGAGAAAGAGAGAGAGAGAAATTTTAGTTTAATATGAAAGAAAGAGGACAGAGTGAAAGACAAAGGCAGGGAGACAGAGAGGGAGAGTTAGTAATTACAGGACTCCCTGTGTTTTCAAAGCCCCTCTTTTATCTGAGCCTTCCTGTGGTTGAGAAAAGGAGAAGCGGAAAGAGGGAGGAGGAGGGGGAGGAGAAAAAGAGAGGAGGACTCAAGTCCAAGCTTTGGTCGGACTCAGACAACAAGCACCAGCCATCAATATCACACACACAAACACACTCTTTCTAATTTATGGCTGCTGTTTCAAAGCCACTTGATCATCTGATGTGTGTGTGTGTGTGTGTGTGCTGTTGTGCAGTGAAATGTTGCTTCTGTTATTATCAATCTATCATTCAATATTTTTGAACTGACATGTCATAAACTTTATAACCTAGTTGAACTAAAACTGTACAGATAGATGACAAAGCAAAAACTGTCTCGCTCCTTAGCTGTATTCAGATGTTGTCTGAAACTAAAGAGAGACAGTGTAAAATCGGGGGCACTGGTATTTTCAATCCTACATAGCCATGGACAGATTCAAAACTTAAGTGTGCCAAAGGTTTAAACCTGTGGAAAAGCCATGATGAGACATGCTCATGAAATATATCAAATCTGATCCAAAATACTGAGAAAGAGACACAAAGATTTGTTCAAAGATTGGACAATGACTGTGTCTTATTTTTGCTTTGTTACTTGTTTGGCTTGAAACCCTTGAAACTTCAGTTTTAATTTCTTTTTTCTTAACAAAAATGTTTGAACATTTATTCTGTGTGTAGGATACATAAGCTGAAGCTTCAGTCTAAATGTATGCATTTAAAATTGTTATACAGCACCCATGTAGAGTTTCAACAACTCCTTATACTACGACAAACATAATTGTAACAGCCAGAAAAGCCTGCAGCATTGGGACAAAAATATATAGCTTTAGCAAACACACTAGTCTATGTCGGATTTGATGTAATTTCATGTTAAAACTATATAACTGGATATGTTCCAGAGTTTTGAACTTGATTTTATCCATAAGTTTGTTATTCAAAGTGATATGGCCCAGGCTAAAATCCGTTTTTATTCATCAGGTGCTTTGACCTATCTTAAGAAGTTCAGGGTTAAAATCGTTTAATGTTACTTCACCACCGGCCTGGGGACACTAGGTGGCAGAGTTGAGTCATACCCCGCAGCATGTTAATTGTCGCCGCGGACTACAGTCTACCTGAGACACGCTGTAATGTGTTTCTCATTCAGGGCGGAGAAACTTCTCACTTTTTTTGTCATCAAGGAGGAGCCTGCAAACACACCGACATGCTCCAAAGTGGAGGCTGAGACACAACAGACACTTCATGGAGTAAAAACTCTCAGGTAGCCAGACCCTCGGCGATGCTTCTTCGACACCACTCCAGTGATTGATCACCGATCACCAGGACAGAGGCAGAGCCCGCACCGCACCGCACAGCAGCGGAGACAGCAGAGCAGCGTGCCCTCCTCTCTGAGCTCCAGGTAAGACTCGAGAGCAGCTCCACTCTCAGGAATGCGAGGACGGATTGCTGCAAGACTTCGGGAAATTCCTGAGTAACACTTATTATGCCAAACAAACATGTGCTTTACTGTAACTTTTGTGAGAGAAAAAGATGAAATTGGAGCAAATGTTGTTCTGAATACAGAAAACCTGGGGATGCATACCAGGAGAAAGACATTTTTCCAATACTCACTCACTAATCTGTGTCAAATAGATCAAATCAGACCAAATATGGGGCAACTTAGACTTCTGTCCATTTAAAATGATATTTGTGGGACTGAGGTGGGGGCTGCATCTTTGAATATGAAGAAAATTTTTTGCAAAGTGCAGAAGATTGACTGTATTTCTGATAGTCCTATTTGCATGACTTAAATCCAGCCTACATTTCTCAGGAACTGTTTTGAGCCGAGTCTGTGTGTATCCCTAAACACATCCTGGAGTGTGTGTGTGAAAGGTTCTGTACGTGTTGCTGCAAAGGTTGTCGCCCAAGGTGCAAGAAAATAAGATCGTTTCTCATATCACTAGCTTCACTGGAAGGCCCGGATAGCTTTTTTTCTTTTTTTTTACAGCTGTAATTGTTGAATCCCAAGCATGCAGATGTAAACATGACTGTGTGACACAACAGGCTATTAGAGTGTGCAGTAGCCAAGGACCTTGGGTTATTTTAGATTGTTATTGGCAGTGTGCTCGTGAACTCTGGGTTTTTGTCCTTGTGTTCAAGAAAGTCAGGATTTGTGACCTCATGCACCTTTCTCTTTCTGTCTGTATAATTGTTTTCTTGGTGCCGCCTGACTGTCCCGGGCCCCGGGGCCCCCGGGGGAAGTCCTGCCCGCAGACAGGCAGCTCAGCCCGGCTGGGGACATGCCGGGTCCTGCCGAGCCTCTGAAGTCTGCTGGCTGGCTTTGAACTGTAGCTGCTGGAGGTGGAAATCAATCCGTCTCTATCCCCCCTCCTCTCTCTTTCTATCTCTCTATCTGTGATTCTTTCTCTCTTTTCTCTCTCTCCCTCTTTGCTCCTGCAGCCCCCAGCACAGTGTCTCCCCTGCCATTGGATCTTTCATGTTCACAGGTAGAAAGGCAAAAGAGACACAGAGGAGGAACAGGGGAGGGAGTGTAACTCATCTTCAAAAGAAGTTCATATGGTTTCTGAGGATTAAAGGGATGAAGGTGGAAAAACAGCTCACAAAGCCAGCGCCTGTAGTTATGATTATCCTTTACTAGCCTGGAGTGAATGGATAATTTGTTTACTTACTCACTAAACGCTGCTCAGTACCAGATTTCAAACAATGACCCTATTTATCCTGGAGTGATGTCATAGAAGGATGAGCGTTGTGTTTTTCTTGTGAAAGTTATCGTTGAGATTTATGTCACAGCTGATTCTAATCCACGCTGCATTTCCATTTCCCCCGTCCAGTAATTTATCGAGCTCAGGAGGCCTGTTAGGGTCCCATGTTTCAAAACGCTTCACACATCTAAGAGGAAATTCCTCTAAACACGTCAGTAAGAGTTTACTCATGGAAGCAAAGTTATTTCAGCTCATTAGGTCGTTATATTTAATTTATGGCAAAACTGCTCTGTGGAGACTTCTATCCAAAAGGCTTTACCAGAACGATCAACATGTGCACAACTTCACATCTTTGATATTGTGTATAATGCAGTACTGTAGTAAGTGTCTTTGAGGATTAGACTTGAAGATTTAAACAGTTAATCTAGTGATCCAAGAGAGGATAAATCCAACACAACATTTCACTGTCAACTTGATCCCTACAGGGGTACCTACAGTCATTTTCAACGATTTTATTACCTCTGAAATATGTGAAAAAATAACCACAATCACATTCTTCCTCCTTCTGTACTCAACTCATCATTGAAGTTGAACCACAGGGAAAAACCTAAGCTGTTCAATCGGATAAAGTTTTTCAGTAAACAACATGAAAATGTTACACAACTAAGTATAATCAAGGTAAAATGTGTATTTTTATTGTTTGATGTATGAAGTATTAATAACTCATTCTCAAGTATTTAAAACCATGGCTTGAGTGTACTCAGTGACATTTAAGGTTTATTTTGTATTTTTTTGAACAAAGTATCTTTTATTATCTTAAATGAAAACACAATACAATTCAAAATACATTTTGTTATACTCAAACATAATCCCACCCCACAAGTAACCCAACCCTATTACACATATGTTGTTATTAATAAACTTTTAGTTAATTAACCATATGTATACATATAGAAAACGAAAGGGGGTCCGCTATATCTCAAAAAATTTATTAGGGGTCAATTTTTTTCAGCTCATGGAGAAGTGGTTGCCAGGTGCTGTAAAATTTGTGCAAACAGCCTCTTGTAGTATACCAATTTTTTTTTAAACTCAGATGATGTGTGAGCTCGCTATTCCATCGACTAAAAGTCAGAGGAGACGTATCTTTCCATTTTAGTAAAATAAGTGTATGTGCCAGTAGTGAAGCAAATGCTATCATGGTTTTACTATGTAAGCTGAGATTGAGATTCTGTGGTACTGTTTCAAATATTGCTGTTATAGCAAGAGGTTCTATTAATAGCCCCAATGAATAAGAGAAAAATCTGTACACACACACACACATATGTATATACAGTACATATGTATATAGTATATATATACATCTTCGTTTGGACAGCTGTTCTTAATTGTGAAGTATGCTGCAGATCAGCACATGCTCAACACAAAATAGGCCGCTCTATTAATGCACACTATTTACTAAAAGCCTCCACTGTTACTGTAATCTCCCTCACCTTGTTTCAGATTGCCACATTTCTCAGCCATCCTCCCTGTGCTGTGAAAACAAATGCAATCACCACCAGGATGGTAAAGGCCAAGGCCATGCACAGATCTTTAAGAGTCCCTGAAGGGCTTTCAGCAGGTCCTTAGAAAATAAGAGGTAGCTATTTTAATTACCAGCAATAATCTCAGCAAGGGAACATGAAAGGAAGAAAACTTTTTTAATCATAAGTTTCACTAATGCCACTATTATTTCCTCGAGTAGAGTTCAGGCAGTTTAACCAACCAACACTAAATCAGTGGAAGAAACCTCTGCATGAGGCCCCCGGGAGCAAGTGTAATCAAAATGAGGTTTGTGGTCTAATTTGTGTCTGCAGTAGTGCGGAGACCTCTGTATGGGGGACTTAATCCAGTTAGTCATTTTTTATTGTATACAGTCTGGCAACTAAATGCTTAAGTTGTAGGAAAACAGAGGTCCTGAATGAAGTTCATAACATCAACATTCCTGGGTTTGTCCTCTTAGAGAAATGTTAAATAAGGTTGCTTTATGCAGGATGCTGCTCCAAAAGGACAACTCCAACTCTCTTCCTGACTCTGGGTTGTTTCTGGCTCTTTACATTGTTGATTAGGGGCTCTTTCAACCTGTCTGTCTGGCTGACCTTGTGCTGCTCACAAAGTATTTGCTATTCAAAGCAGGCATGTCTATTGTTAAAACTATCAATCCACTAAGTATGAATATTTATCGAAGATACCTCCAGTCTCACAACCATCAGGAGTGTGTGCTGTTCGGAGAAGAATTACCCAACAACAGGAGACACAAGGCTCTGAGTTACACCCTAAAAATTCTTCACAGAAAGTAAAAGGACTCAGTATTTGAGTTGGATCAATACTAGATTTAGTTTATATATTTCTGATTTTGCATGTTTCTTCATTCTTTATGTGTTGTTGTAAAAGCTGTGTTGTCTGCAGTCACCTCGAGCCTGTGAGGAAAAGCGGAGCAATAAAATATACAGATTGGTTTCAGTCAAAGATTAGACTTCCCACCTACATCCATTGCAAAATAAACAGAGACAGAGACGAAGGGAGACGTTCTGCCCCTGCAGAGCTACAGAGGGGAACAAGGGATCAGGGAGAGGAGACGATGAAAGACAGATCACCGGCAGGCAGAGAATCAAAGAGCCTACTGACTGACTCGAGCTGGTATAGGTGTGTGTTTTTTGCAGAGTGTGTATGTCTGTGTGTGTTGTGTGTGACTTCTTTTCATGTGCCCTGAGAGTTTGTTTTTGTGCGCAGAGAGTGGGAAGCTGACACTAACTCTGTAATTAAAGCAATCAAAAGATGAAGAGAGATGAAGAAATGTAACACACACGTGAATGCATGTGCATGTACAGAAACACACACATACACACACACACACGTTTCATTATGTGGTATTGATGTGGAATTACTGTAGGTGTGTTTGCTGCTGCTCAAAGAAAAAAATCATCCCATCTTCAAATATTGAAGTTATTTTTCAATCTTCCATCTCTTCTTCCAGAGGAATCCGTTTAAATGAATCACAGTCTTTAGATGACACCCAAGCCATCCTCCCTCTGTGTGTCCCAGTTACAGCAGCACTCCAGTCTGATTTGTCAATTGAAGCTAAGCATGTTTTGACACTCCTCTGCAAATACATTTCACACTGATAAAGCCTGACGCTGCAGCAGGAAGGAAATTGAGTAAATGGATATTTAGTCAGCAGATGAGAGCCAGCTGCCGTTTGAGGTTTGCGTCTGTCTCCAAAGTTGGAAATCACTTTAATCATGGGTTGATTTTCACATCAAAGTGAGATGGTAATCGTGTTGCATATGAGATTTATCTGTTTCTGGCTCATTAGGTTCCTGACAGCAGAGACTTGCTGGCTACTTTGTCCAGTGAGTTTGACGCCCTTCAGCACTAATAAAGACTGATCCTAGCTTAGAGAAGAACAAAATGTGAGCTGACATTGAAAAGATTTGATAAAGATTTGTTATTACTGTGGTGCTTTTACCTCTTTTGAGTTTTTATTTGGAGACTCACGGTCTGATTCCTTTCAGTGTAAAAGCAGTTGGTCTGATTTGAGTGACAGCCCTGCTGCCTTCCCTCTATTTACTCCCCAGCTGCCTCCAAATCTCTGAGAGGAGACAAAGTGCCAGCAGCACATTCCTTTTTCATAATACACTTCTTTAAAAAAAGACAGACAGGGTACTTATAATTACTTAAAAGTGGATTGTCAGTGGATTGGCCAAACTCTTGAACACACACTTGGAATTATTGTTGAAAGTCAGAGCTGAATCCTTGGAAACCCTCGACAAAAGAAGATGCTTTTCAGGTAGAAAAGTAGAAGTATTTTTAAATGATTAAAACACTTGATAACACAGTATTACGCTGATATGAATTCACAGAGTACATTTTTCTCATAGTTTAAGTGTGTTCCTTAAACCAGTGTCTGTGAATACAGTGACCTCATGATTGAGAGTTACACAGGAGCTGCATTTGTCTTACACAAATTACTGATATTTTGATCATGAATATTCAGCTCTTTATATTTTCATACCAGCTATTGTGTAAGTTAATACAAGGTTAAACAGAAGAGTGACTCTACATCTTATTTCATATGTTCCAAACTTAGTTTTGTTATTAAGGCTGATTATAGTTTGTTTTTAAAGATGCATCAAAATGAGATATGATATGTTGAGTTAGTTGATTGATCCTAAAAGAAATTCTGGTCTCGTTGCTCCAAAATTACATTAGAAAATGAACGTAACAACAAGGAGAATTAAAGTTACTTACAGTTTTTAAAAAGCTGTAAAAGATTTAGTAGAAGAGAGTTAGAAAATACAAACTCAAGCCTAGTACTGTCAGATCACTACAAGAATATCTGCATTATTGACAATTGTAATGTCATTAATATTTAGAGGCAGTAACACTTTGTTACATGAGAGAAAAATTAAATGAAGAAATAATCAACAGAAACATGACAATAACAGTAAAAACTGATGTTTCACATGATGATGAAAATGTTACACATGGTACCTTTAGCAAAGTTTAGTATGATATTTTTTGGTTTTCAGCAAAACATTTTGTGTGCAGCTACAATCCTCTGGAAATTTTAAGGTTCAGTATTCTGTGAAATAATTGAGGTGATATTACCGCTTCACTGATAAGAGCTGGAATTCCCATTGCATCTAATATGAGCCATAACAGTGGATAATCACAGATGCAATGATCCCGTATAGAGATAAAAATATAGGCTCAAATGAGCCCTGTCTCTATTTTTGGTTTGTTTCTGCAGAGCTGGTGCAGGTTTAAATGACAGACTGCAGAAACTTGATAGAGGGGAAATCCGCAACGTTCGTGGTTTTCTGCTTCATGTTTCATCTCTGAACCCATATGGTTAAAGTTTACCATTGAATCAGATCATCAATCTGAAGTTTTCATTTGGCACTTTTTGTTTGCTAAGCAGCTCATTCTGTCTTAAGTTTCTGGATGGCTTAACGTAGCTTTATACTTGCTGCCTAAAAAGTTTTGGTTGTTTCAGTGAAGTTGTGTCAGTATGCCAGACTAATGGAGGAGGAAGTCTTTTTGAAATATACAGATCTTACAGTTACAGGAATGATGAACACTTAGTGATAGTTGGAGAACTTCTTAAGACGGACATCTGTATTATGTAAAAAAGAGCTAATGCTTACCATCTCTTTTTCTGTCAGGGGCTCAAAGATGGAGGGTTTGATATACTTACTGCTTGGTTGTCTGGAAAACAGCAGGATTGAGGGTGCTGTACATGTACACACACACACACACACATAGAGGCAGTCGGTCAGAGTGAGTAACATGTGTTTAGGATCTTGCTCGGATTTGGCAGGTTGAGCCCTGGTCTATAAAGGATAAAAATAACTGGCTTTGTAGCTCCTAAATACAGCATTGATTAACTGCGGGGCTTGTTTATGGCCTGGAAACCAACAGGGGGTCTATGATAGGATGAGGACTGTATCTTGGTATAAGGATATTTCCCATATAGGGCCAAACTGGAATTCGTTGAAAGTGTGATATTAGACGGTGTCAAGGAGACGATTAAACGCTGGCTCATCAGCTACCAGGAGCTTCTAGCAGTGTGAGCAGTCCAGGTTAAACGTGTGTCTGATTAAACCCTTATAGCATATGTTGGTTGAGAAAAATAAAAAGCATAAATGGACAAAAGAGGAGGTTTCTTGGCAGGAAAAAAGAATTAAGTCAAAGATTTAAGTAATGCTTCAGATGGAAAACAGATTTTCCATCTAGAAATACCAAAACCAGATTGATTGAGACCCTTCAATCCACATGCTGCTGGTTTTATCATCATCAGGCATTCAGTGAATTGGAAGAGCCCACAAACCATCTTCTAACCATTTCCCTCATCACTCTTGTTGGTTTGCTTCTTGGCTTAATTCTGCTGCCACTGATTGGTCTTTACTTAACCGGGCAGGAAGTGATTATAGACCGACATAATGAAAATCCCTTACAAGGTCAGACACAGATGGTGAAAAGCCATTTCCCTCTGAATCCTTGGGTAATGATACGCAATGGCATAAAGATAGGGAGGCAGAGAACTAGTTAAGAAAGGAAAACAGATGCAGACATTAAGAAAGAGGTGAAAAAAGTGTTAACACTTGGGTGTCTGGTTCACAGAAATAGTCCTGTAAAACATGGTGCTGGTTCAGTCCTTTGAAGTGCATTAAATTAGTCTGCCAAAGCCCCAATATATGGCTCTATTTCCAGTCTAAGAGCTAAGTGACCAATTTTTGCCTTAAAATATATCCAAACATGACATTGAGTGTTCCTGCTGACTGTTTAGATTTTAGTCCAGTGATCAGTATAGATGCCTGAAGAGCTTTATAAAATGATGGCATCGATTGGTAGGCCTGTCACGATAACAAATTTTGCTGGACAATAATTGTGCTACAAATTATCGCCGATAAACGATATTATTGACACCATTTTTTAAATTATAGATAATGATATTATATGGCATAATAATGCGAGTACACCATGTCAAAAGTGATAAACTTTAATTTCCACACGAGAACAACACTGGTTGTTTTCGTTGACTAAAATATTTCCCTTTTCTCCCACGACGAAGACGTAACGTTGACGAGCTAAACATAAGTCGGAGATGACTAAAATGTGACGAGACGAAAGTGCGTTTACGTTGATGGGACGAGACGAAAATGACGAACAGAGTTGCAAAACTCAGTCAGCTAAACGCTAAACATATAGGAGCAGCCTCAGTCCGCTCTGACAGCTCTCATCAGCCTGCTGTGCTCCTCCAACACACAGACACACACGCGCGCGCACACACACACGTGGAGTTTTGTGGTTGACGAAAACAAAACTGGTTTAAAGCCGAAATATTCCCACACTTGGGCTGTTGCGTTCGGTTTAGACACCAAAGCTGTCGTGTTCATTCTGTTTGCTTGCTTTTCACTCACGACGCTCACTTGCAGCACTGTATCCAAAAAGTCTGTGTCTGTGTGCCTGTGCGCGCCAGCCCCCTCGTGACAAAGACACTGAATGACTGACAGGAGGGTTCACTAACTCCGTTCATTCCGCTATAGAGCCAACGCCTCCAGGTGCCGAGAACAATGCGCAGAGTGAGACCTCTTCTCTCATCCAGCGTGTTTGGTAGCGAGAGAGGAGGAAAACAAACGCACGTCAATTATCGAGGCTGGCAAAATGACCGACCTCGTTTTTATTTACCGAGCGATACGGCGATTTATTGATTATCGCGACAGGCCTATCGATTGGACACTATAGGGCTGCAGCACAGGCTTGAGAAGAAATGATGCCCATATGTATTTACAACCCAGCTTGTTCAATAGTGCCAGTGGTAAAAAAAAAAGGCTTCAGCTTCAATGCAACAGTGGTTGAAATCATTCATGCAGACCTGTTTAACATCTATCCCTCCCAAAAGTTCACTGTCAAGACTTCACAATAAAAAATGAACCCTCCCATCAAGTGAGCTGAGACCTCCTAATTTGACTTTGACTACTTTTATTTGCGTATTAAGAGTAAGGAGGGAAAAAAAGCAAAATATAAGTTTGATATACTTTAGGAAGTTTAAGGATTGCATTTGTGCAGTCCAAATCTGTATGTGTAAGTAGAGTGGGTAAATAGAGATGTAATACCATGTTATAGCGTCATTTGTGGTAGTATCAGTGGTTTTTCTGTTGGGTTTGCTTGTTGCTGTATAAGCAGCTGCTACTTGTTGGTTAGGAGCTCCACATGGTGCTATACTGGGGCCTTTGCAGATTTGAGGAATCTTCCAGAAACATCACTGCAGCCCTCCTGAGGCAAAAAAAGGGAATTTAATGTGGCAAGACCTCCTGGGCCTACACACACACGCATTCATGAACCTTCACACACATGCACATACGCACACACTCACCTCTCCCCCACCCAACACCTTCGACGCTCCACCCCTCAGTGTGGTGGGCGGTACCCTGACTGGCGGCGCTCGCCATGGGCAGCGGCTGCGGGCTTCCCACCGTCACTGATGACCCATTCCACTACCCCCCCCTCCCTCAACAACCATAGCATGTCTCCGAATCTCTGTGTATGTGGTGTCAGTAATGTGCTCATGTTGCTGAGGGTTTTTTTGTCACTACACTCATATTAATGAGAGCAGTCTCTTTTTTTTACCTCCTCCTCTCCCTCCCTCCCTCCCTCCCTCCCTCGTGTGTGTTCTTTCCCCATCTGTAAATGCAATTTCGTTGTGCACAAGTGCAATGACAATAAAGCATCTCCTCCTCCTCCTCCTCTTTAACCCCAAGAGAAATGGGGACCCTACTCTTACTGGAAAAGGAGGAAAAAAGCTGACCCAACATAAACCACTGCTCTCTAGGACCAAAGTATATTTGCTATTATAAGTATGGAGCCAGAAATGTAATTGTTATTTTCAAGTAAATGCCAGTGATGAATAGCCCATTTCATAGAAAAACAAGGTTCTGATGTATAAAAGAGTCTATGGCTTGATTAGTTGACTTAATGCTGTCTTCGTTTTAACAGTGCTAATGCTCTATTTATAGAAATAAACACACAGTGTGCTTACACAGTAAAACCTAAAGCATTAGCACAAAGTATACAAACCTGTGATGATAAAAGAGACTGACTGGCAGTAATGGGACGATACATGCACAGACTGCAAAAAAATGAGGAAGAATGTCCCCGTCTACTCAGTGTCTGTGTGTGCGTGTGACTGTGGGAGCTGATGTATGGGAATTTCCATATGGTAACCCCTCCTTTCAGCTACAGGGTCTAAACATCCAAATAATGACTTTCAACTAATTCTATTACATTTGGCTGTTATGTTTAGATGAAGCCTATATCAGTGTAGACTCAACTCCGCTTTGAAGTTTTTTTTTTTTTCTATCTATCAAGTACTATCACTTAAAAGAATGATATTAGAAAATTATACTTGTCACTGCAGGCCTGGGAGCTGCATTAAAATGAGTCCTCCTTTTCTGAATTTCACAGAATTTAGTTTAAAGGTTCCTGGGTTCTTGGTGTGTTTTTCTTATGAAGCAGGCTGAAAGGTCCTCTCATTACTGTTTGGGGATTTGATTTTAGATCTTCTTTGCTTACAAAGAGCCCAATGAAATGCCAGCACATTAAAAGCAGAGATGAAGCAGACAGTAATGAAAGGAGGAAGAGAGAGGGGGTGACTGCAAAATTGTACAGAAGTGTATCACCACTGCAAAATAAGACAGCTTTGAAAAAAAAGCTTATTTTTGTAGAAACAAGTTGAACGTCACCTCAACCTCAGGTTGAAATGTTCATTCTGGGAGCTGCTCCCTGTGTGCTGGTGCTACAAAGAAGTGCACACACTGTACCTGCTAATGACACAGCTAAAGACAGAAAGGTTACTTATCAGAGATTATGTGCTTGTTAGAAGATTAATACCCCTGAGGGTAGGGGGGGCAAAAACTCAGGCTGACTTTCATCTCAGACTTGCCCTGACAGAGAGAGAGGGCTAGAGAGGGTGAAAAGAGGTAGAAAAGAGTGTCAGAAGACACAGACTCTTCAAACACTACTGTGTGTGTGTGTGTGTGTGTGTGTGTGCGTGTGTTAGGGTGTGTGTGTGTGGATGTGCATCACATTAACCCCATAATGAGTAGCCTTGAGGGGGTCCAAAGCCATTTGGCAGCTCTTCATTTCCTGATTGCAAAAAATGCACTGTCTAACCTTTTATCTCTTGAGCTGCAGCAACACTGACTGCATACACATGAGTTAGTGTGCACACAAACACGCACACAGAGACATGTACACACCGGTTGTGGTCTTACCACAAGGACTCGTGCAATTAAGATTATTTAGCCCTCAGAAGCCAACTCTCTGCCATATATATGTAAGTGTTAATGTGTGTGTGTGTGTGTGTGTGTGTGTGTGTGTGTGTGTGTGTGTGTGTGTAGGCTGTAATTAAGATAGATCAAACCCTAGAGGTTGAGGGATTAGCTGTCATTGAAGATCAGAAGGTTTTTCACTCAAGTCTGCGACATGGAAGAGTGAAATCAGAGGTTTGGAGCCAGACTCACAGATCCTGACCCCTGATAGTAGATCGTGGCGGCTTCCTCTTCTTATTATTTCTCAAGCACACTCACACATGTGTACTAACACACACATTGAGTTTGCAGCTCCCTACAGCTTCAGGTAAATTTAAGGTTGAGCTGTTAATGCCCAGAATTGAAGAGATGTGACCTCAGGACACATCAATCCAAACACTTAGATTCCTTAATGCCAGAGTGAAGGTGTGAATGCATCTGTTGTCTGGCCTGTAGCCCCTAAGGTTAAGGTGTGGTAGAGTTCAGCTGGTAAAGGTTAGGGAGGGATGTCTCCACAGTGAGTGAGAACAAGTGCTCTCTGCTGTCAGAAAAGGTTGAATTACTTAAGCTCCCGTTCGCCCCTTAGAACACAGAAACTTAGTGTTTTACACTTAAAATATACTGCAGACTAACAATAACTCGTACTGGTATCTCCATTCATGGATATTAGTGGATTCTTCCATACTAAAAAAGCAACTAATGCATTAATGCTGTTGCCTCTGACTTCATCAACTTCTAACTCCCCTGTTTGAGGACTGCCATCAACCTTGATGTAAATTGGGGGCTAACATCAGGGCTCCAAATGAATATGCATACCCTCAACTGCACCTTGGCCTTATACATTTTCAGAATACTCCCTGTTTAAGGTTGTTTTTCATGGTCTTAAGGTTGCTGAAATGACAATATCATAAATTGTATAAACACTTTTCTGTGTTCTCTTTTAAACTGAGCAGAAATCAAAAAAAAAAAAAAATGTTTGTGTATTACTGGAACTTCATGTACCAAAAAAAAAGCAGAACAATTGCCAGGCTAAAAAGTCCCTGTTATTCCATCATAGTGTGGCGTGTGGTGTGTTTTGAGGACCCAGAAGCAGACACAGAGGCAGATATCAACTTAAGATGTAATTTCAATGTCCAACTCAGGGTAAAAGCAAAAGAGGAAGTCTGGTCGGCTAGCTGGCTGTTGTGTGGGCTGGAGACACTGCAGGGAAAACAGAGGAGAGGGAAGCGAGCAGACATACAATGAATTACGAGGAGCAAAGTTACAAGTACTTATTCACAAGGGAGGCCAGGAGACGCGTCTGTACCACTTGGGAGTGAAGACAATACTCAGGCACTGAGACTGAGGGCTGCTGGCTTCTTAAAGTGCCTTGACTGTAGATGTAGAGCAGGTGTGGAGTCTCACTCAGCCTCAGCGACCGGGGAGGGGAGGGAGCTCTGGAAAAGAGTCAAGCCAAACCAGGACAACGGAGAAAAACAGGAAGTCCAACCAAAGTAAAACAAAAGGAGGAGGCGTCTCACCACACTTAGGTAGAATTTGTAAGTAGAAATTATCAGCAGGGTCTCCCTAAAATTCAAACACGGGATATTTCAAAGAATGAGGTCTTTAATCAAAGATGAGGGTCTATGTAAACAGCGGACCCGGTTCGATTGGGGAGCTGAAAGTCACAACATTTTTGCCTTTTTTACTTGTTTCGGTTCTGCTGTCACACTGTGATTTCTAAAGCACACCAAACTTTCCGAGCAGCATCACGTGGTTGAAAGGGGCACTCGTCAACTGGACAAAGTAGGAGGGGTATGTAACCTCACGGATTACAAACAGGGTTGGACTAGCCATCTCGTATCGTGCTTCGTCACATTATTTTATGGAACGCTACAACGTTAGTGAATGCAACTGTTCCTACAATGCTATCGTAGCTTGTCAGGGATTGATCCTGTTATTTTTCTAATTTTGCTGATCTAACATGTGACAACATATGAGCTCAGAGTTGAAGGACTGTGACTGTTGGTAGTTGTGATTTGATTTTGTTTAAATATGCCAAATTGTGAATTTATGGGTTACTGTTGGTCAGACAATTGAGCTAAGCTAGCTAGCAACTGCTAATATCAGCGGTCACTTGTTGCCATAGCAACTTGCCATAGCAACAAGTGACACCGTGCTTCCTCTACCCAAGATGCACTGCGTATAGTGTCATTATGTACATTTGGTCCTGTGTTTGGTCCGGTGAGCTTTCACACTGCATACAAACCGAACCAGGGTTCACTTGCAAGCGAACTGAGACCCACGTTTTCAGGCGGACCAGAGTTCGCTTGTTTGATCCGCACCAGAGTTTGGATGAGCTTTCACACCTGCCCAAACGAAGCTGACTATCCGAGGAAACGAACTCTGGTCCGTTTAAAGCGGACCAAACAGCTCTGGTGTGAAAGCGACCTTAAACTCCTACCTGTGTATGGTTTTCCTTCTTTTCTATCCAGTTATTAAAACTCAAAGAGCCTCCATGAGAACTGTGCTGAATAACAGTAATTAAAGGTGTGTTTGTGTATGTCTTTGTCTACTGTGTGTGTGTCTTTGTCTACTGTGTGTGTGTGTGTGTGTGTGTGTGTGTGTGTGTGTTGGTGCAAGCTTGAACTCCACCAGTAATAATGTTTACATCTGTCATTTTTGTCTAATCCACTGTAGATATATAAATACGGTCTAAAATCAGTTATAGCTGTGAGAACAATTTTTAACTTGTTGACAGAAAATGATGGATTGAAAATATTTTATTGAATACTTTTCATTAAATCTGATTCCTGTCATGTTATGAATGTAACTGGTAATGACTATTTCCTCCACACATACCTCTGGAGTTTGTTAAAAATTTAACCTCTGAAAGCTCCTGTCAGGAACTTTATGTTTTTGGGACCCCCTGTGGTCAAAGTGCTTGTTTTTCCTCTACATGTTAAAAAAATCACCCTGACTTTTAAAAGTAAAACCTATTATTTATCGAGGATTTTTAATGCAGACGTAAAAAAACAGCCTTGTGAAAACATGCTGTTTTTTGGCAACATCAATAATGGCAGTATACAAATCTCCAACCTTGTCCCTAATTGCTTTGTTTGCTTTTGGACATCACAAATTAATTCATTAATATGAATTTCAGTCTATTAAGTAAACTTCAAAGAACTAGTATGTGAGAGTTATTAAGCATGCAGTAGTTCCCAGAGTGTTTTTGGAAGCTTCTGTGTTTTAGGAAGCACACAGGAGCTGCCTTCATTTAGCATGCTCTAATCTGCACCGCCACCCTGCTGGAGACCACACACACACGCAAGCATGCACGCACACACAGATTGTCATACTGCGTTGTGGGTAAAAGTCTCAAAGGAAACAGGTTTAACTCAAATAAGTATGCTTTTTCAAATATGTAATCAAAATTACACTATTTGTCTTGATTGTCTTGTTTAAAATGGAACTCAATGTTTGTTTAATTTCCCAAGTTGTTCTGAGACTCTGGCCAACACATATCTTTCTAATAACAGTGATGATCACGCACATGTCTGAAGACAAAAACAAGTAAAAACACAATAGAACGCACTCCCACCTACACGTCCTGTAACTTGGTTGGTTTTGCTTTCCAGAGAAACAGACACCAAAAGTGTTGCAGCATTAAAGCACACTAACAGGCAGCGTTGTGTCAGATCCTCTTGTCTTGTGTGCTTTACTGGAGTTTGAAAGTTTTCAGCTGTGGGGCAAAAAACATTTTAGATAGGGTTTGCCATCCTGCTGACTGGTCACCAAACCTAGTCTGCAATGACTCAAGGAATAATGTATGGTGGATGGGGTGAGCAATGCCCTGATGTAAAGCTAGCCAAGATGAACTGGCTGTACATAACACATATATAGTATCAGTGATGTCACACATTGGTGCTGCAGCCTTGATGATAGAGGTCGCCATTGAGGAAATGCAGACAGAGCCTAACTTTTGACCACTGGCAAAGATGGAGCTGAGGTGGGCCTTCAGCCACCTCCCAAATTGGGGCAATGCACACTAGTTGGTCAAGTTGCCATGCCCCTAAGTGTGTAAATGTATGTGTAACTCCGGCCCTTGTATGATCAAAATGGATGTGTAAAACCAGGTGGTAGACATGTTTTACTCTGCTGGAAAAATTGATATTATTACTTGTAATGTAATTTCTTTCACCACTTCCTCAGCTTTTCCTTTTTTTGACACAAAAATCTACCTTAGGTCTTTTGTTCCTCATGCAGCACAAAGTTTCTGTTAACTTAAAAGTGTAAATCAAGTTTGGGGTTTGACAAAAACTCTAGTTGTAGCACAAATAGTGCACAATTAATAAATGTTCTTATAATTAAACATAATTAAGTGATATCACCTTTCTTTATGGAGCCGAGCTGAGCCAACTGTGATGTGTTTTTAGAGTTATGAGCCAGAAGGATGCCACAGGCTATTCTGCTGCTTTCACATGTTTATGGGCGATGACGTGATGCCAACGGGACACTGAACTCATCTGGGCCACACACACACACACACACACACACACACACACACACACTGTGCCTGCTGACAGCACTACTGTTGGCAGAAGTGCTTGCATTCATGACTTTCATGCTTTGTAAGTTGAGTATGGTAACAAGAAACATTAGCATTGCTTGAAGTGATATTTCTCTGTTTCATCTTCGGTCCCCAGGTAGAAGACGCAAACATGTCGGAAAGCAGAGGTCAGAAGAAGTCCATCTTTCTCTCATTATTGGTAAGTTTTTCCACTTTTGTTTCTATTCTCTTAACAGTTGTGCAGCTTACCAGCACTTGTACCAATTAGTCGACTTAATAGCTTTTCAGAGAAGAAATACTGTTAGACTCTGGTCAGTGTGACTTTAAGCTGTTAAGTACCTACTGGCAGTGTCCCTTACAGTTTCCACCTCAGCTTCTCTGATCAGCCCCTGCACATGCAGGCTGACACAGGAGCACTTTGTCATGATAGGAAAAGGATTAACTCAGGGGTGTCAAATTACTGCCTCAAAAGGGTTTCAGTGCTTAGGTTAAACCAGGTAAACAGATCTGAGCAGAGTTTAGATGACGACAAGTGTCAGAGAACTAAGTGTGCTGCTATCCTCAAGTGACAAAGACACTAGAATATGGTGTATGTCACTCACACTGCTTGCTGAGTGATCAAAACACAATCAAAAAGAGTTTCACAGGATGTTGTACTTCCAGTGGATCCTCCTCACTGTATTCCAAATGTAAATAAAATTTAGAGAAACAAGATGCCTCCCTCGTTTGTGCCTGAAGGTGTTTTGGGGAACTCTGCCAGTTTCCACATGAAGCTGACTTCACTTGTCATAAGAAGTTCTCTTGAGTCTATAAAAACCCTTGTAGGGCTTTAAAAAGCTGTGCAGGAGAGTTTTCCAGGTATCCTGCATCGTAAACCACAGGGCTTCGAAGAGACATGTTACATTGATTGACCCAAACCAAACCCAATCAAACTGAACTTACTGTACCAAGTATTTTGGGATGTTTGAGTGCATCTGGCAAACACAGAGACCACTTCATCTTGGTGAGCGGGTCTGGATGCGTTCAGTTCATTTCCTTTTTCCAGGCAGCGTCAATAATGGCCATGTGTGAAAGTACCTCTGGAAGCGATTGGACAGACCTGAAACTAGTCAGAGCTTTGCAAAGTGTGGCAACAGAAAATGTTAACAGAAAGCAGCATACTAAGGAAAGAAAGACATCTTTGATACCACTGAAAGCTGTACATGTTGTCCTTGTTTCAATGAAAATGCATCATCCAGCTTGTTTTAAAACTGCTGCATTAGCCAGTTCAACAGACCTCTCTGTGGCTAGAGCCGCCATCTTGGTTGTTTACAAAAAGGCTGAAGCTGTACTTCTGTGTTGTCATCTTATAGCAGCTGCCCCACTGTCAAATGAAGGACTGTGGCTGATTTGGTTTCATATGAAATTAGGTGGAAATTGTTTACAGTGGCAGTCAGTCTCGACCCATCTGTCAGTCCAAATGAGTATGAGCAGGCTGTCCATACCAGGGAAACAAGCTTCTGTTGTGCAGGATGTGAGTGGAAGTCAGCTCCAGAGGAATAAGGGCCAAATGTCTTAAAAATGACATGAAAATGTCAGGACATAAAAGGGGCTCAAGATGGCATTAATGGAAGTTATTTCCTCTAAGAGAGATTTGAAACCAACCTGATAAAGAAAGCATCTGAAACGCCCAGATGTCATTTTTAATCCCCTATCAGAGCTTGAGCTTGTTCTGCATGTTCAATAAGATAAATAATAATCACTGCGGAGGATGTGTTAATCTCTCTTATTACACACTCTGGCTGTACACACACTGTTTTGGGTAAGACTCTGTTCTTTTTTTAAGTCTGGTGTAAATTACAAACACAATACTTGGACCAGAATGATTGAGCTCCATACAAACATGTTACAGACACTCTCATGCACACAGGAAGTATACATTTGTATATTGAAGTAATGTCATGTGTCTGCTGTCCTAAGATGGTTCTGATGAAGAGGAGACAGAGAAGGAGATGTTATTAAAACAACAGAGGGAAGATGGAGAGTATTAGTCATGCACTTATTGTATTTTTTTGTGTCTCCATTAGTTTCTGGACTGCAGATGATTTTTAAAAGTCAGTTAGTTTGTTTGGAAAAGAACAAAGTGTGCTGCTTAAGCTATAAATACCAGCTGCTACTTATTACAGTGAGCTGCAGTGACACAATGCCACACACACACACACACACACACACACACACACACACACACACACACAATGCACAGAAGCATATGCAAGTACTGGTATTATTCCATCTCTGTCCTACACGTAAACAAATCTGGCAATCTAATGATCTCAACTTCCAGAGAAACTCAGAAGAAGTTAATGATGAGGGTGTTTGTTTTCTCTGCTGTTTGTTTTTAGAATTAAAAGTTATGACGGGTTTTTTTTACTGTATGAATCAGCCATTGTCTCTGTTGCTCATTTATCTCTACTGTTGATAGTGCAGATGTGGAGTAAGAATCAAAATTAACTTTAAATGTTTAAGCGTAGACACTAAGGGCTCTATTTTCGTGCTTCGCTAGAGACGTGGCGCAGGCGCGTCGTAAGTCAGGTCCGCCGCGCCGACAAGGCGTGCCCAAGCACAATTTGGTATTTTGGTGAGCGGCGCAGCCCAGCGTAAGTATCCCCCCTCCCTAACTCAGCTCCTCCCAGCGGTAGGGAGTTGTAGGGAGGGAGGAGAGAGGGCGTGGAGTGGGTTTAACACAGCCGAGATCTGTATTGACCAATAACATCAGCTCCTCTCCTCGCCTTTAAATCCGCTACCGATGAGGCATATTACAATTTTCGTGCAGAAGTCAAAGAGATCAAGAGATGTCTGAAGACAGTAATGCCACACGATGGCGACAGAAGGCAGCTCCTCAACAAGTGTAGCTGTAAGCGCTGCAGAGGGCGTCCTGCACACTGTCTCATATAAACGCAGATGGATTTGGTGTGTGTAATGTTGGACCCACTGGTAAGACAAACACCCTTTTCCACAAATAAAGACACTCACATAAAGTTGCATTTAAATTTTTTATTTAAACCCCACATGACAAAGGTAGGTTGTGCGCACAGATCACAACATAAACTCCAAAAATGGCATTAAAATCTGAACCATCTGTGTGTAATGACGCATTGCGCTCCATGACCTGGCTCTTTCTTTCATAGATGTTGGCATATAAAATAAATTTGACTCACAAAATTAAATATTATAATAATATATTATAATTTTCGTATGTGGGCCTGACTCCGGATTGAATATTTACAGAATCTTAATGATGTGAGGAAATCAGATAAACAGGTAATTTTGAGTGAAAGGTTCTTTTATTTTACTTTATTTTTTGTTCAAATTGAAGTAAATAACTCATCTGATCACTAAAATAAATCATCTGGTCAGCCGTGCCACTGCTGCAGCAGCAGGATGGAGAAAGGACACAGAGACACGTCAGGTGTTATGCCATAGAATGCACCCCTGCCGTAGAATGCACCCCCTGACGGGAGCGCGGTTGAAAGTACATAACAGGGCGAAATAATCCAAGTTTTCCTTACCAGTGGACTGGTTCTAAAGCGTGTGCGTTTTATGATTTCATTAAGGCCATTGAGATATGCCGAAAATAATAGCCCTCTGATTCGGAATATTTGCTGCCCAGAAAATATAATGTCTTCTATCTTAACAGCTTACTGTACAGTTTATATACCCAAGTACACCTCTATATGTGCATTTTTTAAATACTGAAAAAACAGAAGAAAACAGAAAAATCGTGTTTTTTTTAAATATGAGATCATTTTTTTACACTTTAAGAAGCTAAAGAGTGGATAGGATGCAGGGGATGCATTCTATGGCAGGGGTGCATTTTACGGCATAACACCCATCGAGCTGTGTGAGGAAGAAGGAGGATGAGCGGGGAGACGAATTAAATATCGTGTTAACTTCATCATGTGTAACTGTTTACTGGATATTTAATTTAACGCGGTTTCAGCTGTGTTAATTCAGTCAGGTGGAGTGTCCAAACGCGCTCATCAGATCAGATATAGATCAGAATATATCTATATAGATCTAAATGTATGTGCTGACTCAGATTATTAGTTGTTGTTGATTATATATTGCACTGAAATGTGCCTGACACTGTGGAAACCTGCCGGTGAGGCATCGGTGACATATGCCGATACGCCGCCGGTCTACCAAAATTCAACTAGACAAGCTGCGCTCCGCCTGCGCTGACAGCTGACCAGGTTTGAATTGGTGAGCTTTCAGCGCACTTTCTATGCCACCGGCGAGCACGAAAATGTCACTGCGCCAGCTGATTCTGTCGACACCTCCCCCTGCCGCACCACCACGCCCAGCTTGGCGGACCTCGGTGCGCCTCAGTCCACGAAAATACTAAACTGGCTGTGCGCCGGAAAATACCACTGTGTGGGGTCTGTCACTGTCTGCCGCGTCACCGGTGGACACAAAAATAGAGCCCTAAGTGTACCAGACAGCTCTACAGCGTGTGTCATCCTGGTTTAACAGAAGAAAAAGACAGAAAACACTGTTGACAAATTAACAGCTAACACAAAGCGTACGATACACCTTGCAGACCAAATTTATCGCAGAAATAACCAAGTAGGGCTGCACAATTTTGGCCAAAAATAAAATCCAGATTGTTTTCTCTGAAAACTTTTCTATCATCTCTTAAAACCAAACCACTAAGAATCATGTAGTGCATATGCCGAGCCAGTAAGTGGTGCTGTAACGTTGCCTAGGAAATGCACAAAAGACAGAAGAAGAGTACAGAGCATTCGTATAAAGGTTGTTTTGGCTGAACACGCACAGGTGTCAAGAGGTACACTGTGTGTCACATAATCGTTTTAAGAGAGACGCAGATAGACATCCACACGGAGAAGAAATGGTAGTCATTCATGGATTTATGCACTCTCTGACCCATTTTTGAAAAGTACCGTTTACAGTCACCCAAAATGGCATTTCTGTGTAGATGAAGCGCTGATACGACAAAAAAATTTTTTTTTTGCTTTTACTCCTGAATTTGTTTCTGTGTGGACAGGTTGATACGGCCTTCAGACAGACTTTGCAGCGGGGAGTGGTTTGCCTTTCGTCCAAAACTGCGAAGCCGTACCCATTCCACACGACTGACTTGCTTTTGCCCCTTTTACTCACAAAATTATTGCCTTCTTTTGCAAACGCCATGTTTGTTTACTCTGGTGCATGTGGGAACTGGGGAGGGGGAGCTGATGGTGGCCTGGAGGCGCAAGACATGATAGAGAGGAAAATCGATTTGACGATTTTAATTTCTTTAACATCGTCATAATTAAATAATCCGATTACAATTTGAAACCGATTAATCGTGCAGCCCAATTGTTAAGTGTCTCTGATTTTGCACATTAATCTCTATGTAGATAAATGCTGCGCTGAAAAATCAAATAAGAATAAAATAAAGTGATTTCCTCTGGTTTTAATGCACTCAGTCTGATCTCTCTGATGGATCTAAGTGCAGTCTTTGTCTTTTGATGACTTTATGAAGGTCACCAGGATGAAACTCAAAGTGTCTCACTGGAGTTTGAAGTGAAATATCAGGCTTGAAAGTGGAAAGACTGAAGACAGATTTTTATTTATTTATTTTTTTTTTTACATAAATTGAATAGATTGTATGTTACAAAGCTTTTTATATCAATTCACAGTATTCAGACAACAGAAATATGGGATCATTCCTGAAAGTTATAACTAAATGATAAATGTAAAAAGGCAAATAGATAAAGAAACCAATATAAAGAAAATGTTAAAATAAATACTGAAATAGGAGTAAAGAAATGATGCATGAATGACTTATTAAGCAACACAGCTGAAGTCCTCTGCAGCACATTAGTTTGAACAGATTAGAATCCGTCACTTAGAGGTCTCCCTCATGTCTCCTCTGCTCTCTTATTGTGTGTCCTTATAGGTGTGCTGCATGTTTGCGAGTGCTGAATATTCCAACTGTGGAGAGTACGAGTTCTTCAACCACACCAGTAACAGCTGCCAGCCATGTCCTCAGTGCCAGCCGGGACAAGAGCCGGTGAGAGATTCACAAAACTTTTCATTGAGATCACAGTCTTTCTTTTTTTGGTCCTTGTTGTTGGATTGTTTATTCATACACCTGAAATTTCTGATTTTATTTAAAATAATTGGGGTCAGGAACCTACTATGTGTCATATTTGTTCAGACCACCCACAGAGCACTCACCCATGATAGCACACACACAGCTGCACAGTGAAGGGTGTCTAAATTCAATTGAACAATGTTTTCTGGTTAATTGCTCTTATTGACAGCAGTGTGAAGGCATGCATTATGGTGACTGACTTTTCAGTAGTCACATAGTGATTTAGCCTCTGTCAGACTGCATCAGCCAAGAACAACAGACTGCAGGGAAATGCATGAGTGGGCACCTCACAATGCCACACCCTATTAAAGGAGACAGCAGTGCTCAAGGGTGAACAGGAAGAATTACAGTCACTATCATTTATGTAGGAGCTGCAGATGTTTTTATATGTCTGTGAATTTTCTTCAATTCACTCACTTTGCTTTTAACCAGTCAGGGGTCGGCAGATTGTCTTGACTTTTTAAGTGAATTTTACGACATAATATGGAACATTTTATGGATTAGAAAATACTCATACTCAAAAATACAGCTGTATTTAGGCACGATAATGGTTCTGAATATGTTGAACTACATTGAGTTAGGACTTATACCCCTACTTTATAAATACCCATACCTAACTGAAGAATAAGATTCAATGAACACGTTTTATTGAACTGACCTGTGGAGACGACAAGATGACAGCTCTACTGGCAGCTCAGTGAAGATGTACTTATGTACAGTTTTGTGATACGCGTAATAATGGTGGCTGATAACAACATAAGGACCCTGAAGTTGGGCAGGCTGCAAAATTTAATACAATGCTATACAACACCCTACAATGTTACATTGCAGCATGATATGATGTAATAAAAAATGAAGAATAGTATGAAGTGGTACAATGTGATAGAATTGATACAATATGATGCAATGGGATACAATCATTGACTGTTTATAGAATGGACGCTGTCTGCCTCCTCACTGGGTGAAGCCATCGAGAACAGCACCCTCTGTTGATGGGCTGAAGTATAGGTCATAAATCCCACCTCCGCCAGCAAAGCTTATGGAGCTGTGGACAAACTTTAGAAATTTATTACACAGAATATAAATTTTTCTCCCCCCTGCTTGTGATGTTGACATGTAGCTACTGTCAGACTGGTTTGTGCTCAAGTCCTCTTTTTTCTGTAGCTCTGTTTTTAAAAGTTGTTAGGGGGTTCATGTTTTCTGTGATTGACACTTGATAAAGCCTATGGGTGTATGAAGATTGCATAGCTCACCAGAGGGATATGCTGTTTGAGATGAGCGTCATCACAGCGACTCTTGGTGACTCTCCCGCCTAATGCGCACAATACTGCTGCACAAGAGGTGGTTCTAGGAAGCGTGGAAAATCCCAGAAATACAGAGAGCATTCAGCTTCAAATTCGTATAATGACGGAAGGCGGAACCAAGTTGTCCTTAGTATATACCGTCTAGGGATGGGACATAATATGCTTTGTTGGCCCTTGGGAGAAAGATGTCCAGGGGCCTGTTCTACGAAGCAGGATTACTGCTTAGTAAGGTAATTTCGAGGGTAAGTTCGGGGTTTCCTGTTCTTCGACGCGGGTTCACTTCTTAGCGAGGCGAGTCTCCATGGCAACGTACGCTGAAAAGCTAACCTGCTCCGAGGCAGGTTAGGTTTCAGATTGAACTCACTGAGTATAAAAACCCCGCCCACTGACCAATGAGCTCTCTCGAAAAATGGCTTGTCCGTTCTTGGAGGATCCTTTAGACCTCAGTGCTCACATTGTCCGAGGAGCACTCCGGCGCGCAAGAGTTCTCAGGGACTGCACGGACCTGTGCTTTTGCAGCGGCGACGGTGTTGCTTTTGAGATTCATGATAGATTTGAATTCTTCATACTTTCTCATGATCGTCTCCTGCTCCTCGTTTGTAAAGTACGCGGTCCTTCGCTCTCCGGCCTGCTCTTACGCTCCAGACTGGTCCATGTTTTTGATTGGTCAGATGCGGCGGGCATCGCCTTACATGCATGCATGCGCTCATAGCAAAGCTGGATCCACTTACGAGGTTGATAACCAGCGTCGTAAGACCGTTTAGCGAGACTGCTGGCTACCGCCCTAAGTTGAGCGAGGTAGCACCAAGGCTACCTCGCTAGGTTGAACTTGCTTCGTGGGACAGGCCCCAGGACTCAAGTGCTGCAACCACAGTATATAAACTATGATGACTGTTTTGGTCCAGTGCTTTTGCATGCTGATCTTTGCTACCACAGATTAAGGTAAGGCTTGTACATGGAGCAATAATACTAGTAATTCACTGACCAGGTCCTAAATCTGAGTGTTTCATACACAGAGAAAAGACCTGACAATGATGCTCTCTGAACTCACAGTCATTCAGGTTTTGAAGTACTCACTTTTACAGAACATGATCATATGTATTAAATTTCATACAATCTGTTCCAAAGTGTAAACTCAAAACCTCAACTGCTAACATCATGATTGTAAAAAAAGAAAAAAGAAATAGATAAGCAATATTTGTTTGGATTCATCCCCTGGGGACAAGGAACATTATTACAGAGACTGTAATATAATCCCAATTTGGTGGATTTTGACATGTTAAAGTAGCAGACTGACAGGTAAACGTGTGGCGATTAAAGAAACTTGAACTTGAACTTGAAACCCTCCATCATTGTCATCCTGGACTGCCATTAGACTGCAAGCTTGGTTCTCAGGATGTCACCTCTCATGAAAAGGATTACAGCTTTCTGATAACTCTATTTCTCCATTTTCTTTGCATATTTTGGGTCCATAAGCACAAGCATATGGATATAATGATTGTTTTTACTGAAGTTTTGATCATTTTATTCCTGCATATCACCTTACTAACTGAAGCAGCATCCACAAAAATATGTCTTGTTTAAACTTCTAAAATAAAGTACTTCACTGTCCAACACCATAAGCACCTTAGTGTGATCAGTCAGAGCTCTGTCATAAAGAGTAATTTGTCCATTTCAGACGTTTAATCAGAGAGATCAGAGCCTTTCTTTGCACTTTCCTCTTTGGGTGCCACAGTCTGTAATTCATCCATAACTTTGTTCCCTTGTGCTTTTTTTCTGCACGTGTGTGATTTCTGACACCCCTTTAATCATGTGACAACCATTAGGCTCCTCTTCACAACAGAAACTGTAGATAGAAAACTTGTTAAAACTCATCACGTATTTAATCTTTATATTTGCGGCTTTGATTTGATTTAGATTGAGTCTAATGGAGAGGCATCGCATTTTAAAGCTTGTTTACAAGAACATAATCACCAAAGCATGAACTCAGTTTCAGATTTCTTCATTATATTGTGTATTGAAAGAGATTAAGAGTTGAGAATGTATTCTATGGTTGGATATTGAACTTCTGAGTCAGCTTGTGCAATGTATAAAAGCTGCCCTGTGTTGAGAAGGGTCTCCCACAGGACCTTGCGGCTTGTTGGTTTAACATGTATAACATGTACTGTAAATTTTCCCTTTTATGGCATGTCATCACCCTCTTCCCCCCCTGCATTTTCATTCTTTCTCGTTATTATAAACTTTCACATACAGGAGAAAGTATTTGCTCTTAATCGTAGGTCCCTCCCTCCTCCTCACCTCCTTGATACATGAAAGGTACGATTCAAAGAGGTGACACATTTGCTTTGAAAAGAAAGAGCCTTTCAATCAGTCGGGAACTGCTCTAAATGCAAAAGCAGAGCCATGTTGTACAAAAGATCCAAAGAGAACTTTAACCCAAAGCGACAACATCCTGCTGATAGCTCAACTCAGCTTGATATCAAACAATCAAACAGAGACTTAAGGACGTCAAACAGAAGGGAGAAATTTTAGACGTCTCAGAAAGCTGGGCTGCTGTAGCCCAAAGCAATGAGGCAGAGGCTTTTTTCAATAGACGGATGAAAGTAGGGGAGAAATGAAAGATGAAAGAAAGTAAGCGAAAGCGGGGATGTTTTGGTGAATGTGTGTGTGGCCTGTCGCTCGGCCACCCTGCTGTGAGAACTTCACATGGAGAGAAAGGAGGAGCTCGATAGCATCAGGAGGGAATGATGAGCTGGTCATTTTAAACACTACCAGGCATGGAAAGCTGTACAAACTTAAGAAAACACACACAGGGACCTCTGTGGCCAATCACAAATTTTCTTTTGTCATCTCCAAACCGCAATGCTGGATTAGCTAAGCACGCGGATTAAACCAGATGTGTGTTAGCGAGTGTGTGGGGTGTTTTTCCTTCGAGTGTGTTTGTCCACAGGACAGTTGTAAATCATCATGTTGATCTAAGGATGAGTTCATTTAAAATTTAATCATAGCAAATGCACTGCAGAAGGAAAATGCAGATATAACGTGTGTGTGTGTGTGTGTGTGTGTGTGTGTGTGTGTGTGTGTGTGTGTTGCAGGCCTGTGGATACGGTACGAAGGGTGAGGACTTTGCCTGTGTGCCGTGCCCACAGGGGAAATACTCCAAAGGAAAGTATGAGATCTGCAGAAGGCATAAAGACTGTGACGCCCTCTACAAAGCCACTGTGCGCTTAGCAGGCACTCCGGAGAGTGACGCTGAGTGTGGGCCCTGTTTACCAGGGTAAACAACACACACACACACACACACACACACACACACACACACACACACACACACAATTCTACTCACAAACACAATTTAGCCACAGTTCATGCATAGAAATGACTTCCCTGACACACTCTGCAAGTATAAGGCCAAAGAAACCTCAAGAACTTTTAAGATGTTTCATAAGGTCAGGGAAAAATGACTATGTATACTTGCAACAACAAAATGTGTAATGATTAAACTACGATTAAAACTAATTTAAAAAATAGTATAGGTGGAAAAGGTAGATGATGGGAGATGATGGTTTGCTACATCAGATTTTTGGTTCCTCATCACTCCTCAGTTTTATATTCATCATGCTGAAATTGAGGAGTGATGAGATAGTTTCTTAAACCCTCTAGATAAAGCCAGCCAGTGGATTCTGGGGATGGTGATAAGGGCAAAGACAGACAGCTGAATTTGGAGGATAAGTTAGTCATGCGGTTGTGTGGCTGAAGGCTCTGCACCATATGGTGGTCATACGGGCAATAAGGATAGTGTGGTTGATGGAGGATGATGATCTGAGAGTCTGTCTAGGTGTGTTTATGTAGGAGTTCAGTCAGGTAGGGAAGAGAGAGGTTATGGAGGGCTTTAAAGGTTAGGAGGGGGATTATATATTTTACTATATATAACTGGGAGCCAGTAAAGCTGGGGGAGAACAGGGTAGATGTGACTGATAGAAGGGGTCCTGGTGATGAAGTAGGCTGCAGCCATGTCAAAATGGAAAAAAAATTATGCAAAATCTATAGATGTCAACACAAAGGCAAAGACATGTAGCCTGTATTGGCTGAGCGAGATCGTGTTGGTTCGTTCCACTTCAGTGGGGCAACATAAACTCTGATTCATAAAATAGCTCTATTGATAGTAAGTACTAAAAAAAATATCTACTCATGCCATCCGGTCGATTTTTCGTAATCAGTGTTTTGTCAAAGTGCTGCACATAAATAGACAAAACAACGACATAAAAAACAATCAAAAAACAATTAAAACAATGGATAAATTAAAAGCAGAATTAAAAAGTAAAATATAGTTTCAATGTTTTTAAAAACTAATTTAAAAACATAGAAACAAATAACTAAAAAACAAACCATAAAACACTAAAACAGGAGCCGAGTCTCATGCAGGGTTAAAAGCCAATGAATACAATTGGGTTTTAAGACGAGTTTTAAAAACCTTAACTATCGGAAAGTTCAAAAAGTATCTCTAAAGCTAGACTTTTTCACTGCAGAGCTGTTTAATGGATGCTAGGTAGGTAGGTAGGTAGGTTGAATTTATTGTCCCCGTGAGGAAATTCATTTGCAGTAAGTTAAAGACATGCACAAAGACAGCACACATACACATTTCCATACACTGTCCAATATAAAACAAAACGATTCAGAAAAGACAATATAATAGTGCCAAGTTGAATATTAATTTGTGAAAAATAAACAAGTTTAGAGTCTGTTTATGATACTGTTTTTCATTTGCGGGAAAGATGAATATTTATGACAATATTGTTTACCTGCTCCGACATGGATAAGCTCAGTCAGACCAAATTAGATTAATCCTTTAGATCTAAAACTTCTCATAATTTTTCACAAATTAAGGTCATCTTGTTCAGTCAGCTGTACGCACGTTGAAGTAAATATGTAATAACCATACACAAAAATAGCCTTTACTTTAAAGAGAGGGTATTATGCATTTTCTTCAGATTCTACACTTCCTGTCTCATTACTCTTTAATATTGAACTAGTAAGTGGAGCATATGATACCTACATAAGCATTTTAGCGAATCTCAGGTTTTTGTGCAGTCTCACATTTTGAACAGTTTACATCCGTTTTCTAAGATTAAGACAACGTTGTGATTTGAAACTTTGCATAGTATGGACACCAAACTTTGTGACTTTGCAGTTTTTGTTGTAAATGTGGAAAAGCATAACAACACTCATTTAAATGTACATAACAGAGTATGAATACTGAGGCAGTGGACATCATTCCTTCTCTTTCTTCAACATGGGTTCACACAAATAGACAGAGAACCATGTTGCCTTCATTTGAAAACTCTGCCCTCTATTGTTTTTAAACACGCACTAAATCCTCAACTTCCATTTGCACATGACAGCTGCAGATGCATCCCCTGTCACTTAAAAAAATAAGTCAATAAGGAGTTTTTAAACGTTACCAGACCCTCCTCTTCTCTTTCTTGCCTGTCCTTCCCATCATCCATCACTCCTCTCCTTTTGCCTCTCTGGAGAAATTGACTTTTTGTTTCAACACTAGACTTACAGTTACAACATATAAGCATGTTATTTGGTTGTTTTTGAACTTCTGCTGCGCAACAAATAATTTATACAGTAATGTTTATGAGGAAATGTGTTTTTCGGAGCCATGGGCCGAACAATGCTGAACTCTACTCTTGTCAGTTTGGTCCTAATGTTTCTACACTGAGTGCAGGATCAGCACTCAATGTATCTGAAACCAAAGACCTGAACAGTTTTAAATGAAGTTCAGCAAAGGTAAAGACCAGAAAAAGAGAAAAAAATAAGCTTGCTGTAAGAGTCCCCTGGTTCCTCACTTTATCAATGCTCATTTCCTAAAGGCATGGTTGACAATCTGAGAAGCAGTTGAAAAAAACTGAGCCGTTGAGGCAGATTTGAAGAAAGTGTCCCACCCCCCACACAAAAACCTCTCCCCTCTGTGCTTCACGATAACTCCCCCTTGAACCTGTATCGCTCTCCCCAAGACACACCCCCACTGGCAGAGGTAAAAGACAGCCGGCAGAAGATCCTATGCTAGCTTCAAATAGAATTCACCATGTTGGATTGCTAGTGACTAGCAGCAGTAAACGCCAGCTCTGCTAGTTCTGTGAGAACCGTCTGCAGCTGCCTGGACAGCTACCATGTTGACATTGCAGAGACTAATAAGAGTTATTTATGTAACGTGCCACGATAAAAGGCAAAAATGACCTGTTCAACAAAAACTGCTGTCTCAGTTTTCAGGCCCAAATCCAGGCGGCGCTCCCTCCACCTCTTGAACGAAGACCCGAGGTTTATTCGAGTTAAATTCCTCACCTCAGTCACATTTTCCCTACGACTCTGTCCTTTCTTCTGTCAGCTTGCATTTTCTTAGCACTTTTGGTGGTTGTTTTTTTTGCGTCCTTCTCCATCACAGCTCCTGTAGCTAAGCTGCTGCGCTGCTTTTAGCCACTCAGAGCGCCGAGGAGGGCCAGGAGAGTGGGAGAGGACGAGTCGGAACTACAGGAGAGGGGTGTGTTGAATACAGCGAGGTGATTGGATGGAGAGGCGGAGCTGGAGATTGACCAATAGGAGCTGTCCGGGACAGATAGCTCCTATTGCTCAATGTTTTTGCAGCCCTGCACCTGCTAGGGTGAACAGATTTTTTCCATTCTTTTTTCTCATCACTTGGAGATCGCCCTATAAGACCATGATCACCATATAAACAAGGTTCATAATAAAAAGTACCAATCTCTCCTATCATCATCCATGCCTTTGAAATTTATAACTCTTTGTGGACTTATTAAACACTTACTCATGAACCAACCTTGTCTTTAAAGAATCAGGAATTTTGTGTCTCACAATTAAAATGAAAATGGCAAGTTAAAGCTCATGTGTTGAAATTGTAGCTGGCTGTGATTGGACTGAAACTAATAATGGTGTCTCTTTATGACCTAAAAAGCAAACATTTAAATGTCTTTACCCACTGGCAGGGGGGTAGGTGTTTTTGGATTTCAAGATGACTCTAAAATAATGCATTGTGGACTGTTTCACATGTTTTTGATTGTAGATAAGTTGGATGATGTTTGCCCAGCATCATTACAGTTAAATCATTTGAGCTTTCCCACTGTGCACTGGTTTTGTAGTCGACATACAGTATAGTTACTCATGTTAGACAGCAACAATCCAGAATGAGCTCTCTGTCCAACCAATCCTGAGAAAAAGGATTTCTCATGCTGTGCACATGTGCAAGATTAAACTAATTCTAGTTTGGGCTGAATCCAGATAAATGAAGGCATCAGTTAATAAGCTGCACTCTGCATACTGTTATGAGTACATTCTGCTTATGTTCTCAACCTGAAATGATTTAATACTTCTCCAAGTCACTGACAGACCACCCCTCTTCTTACCTTTAATAGACACGTCATGACTCAGGGCGATAATATGAACTGAGCGGTGTTTAGTGCCCTTAAGGCATCAATTTTGCACATTTCTTCACTAAGGCAAACTTTTCACCTCAGCAGCTTCTCCAAAGATATGCACCATACATGTGCAGTGTGTCTGAAAGGGAGTACAGCCACATATTCTCATCTTTTAAGATTTTTCATTTCAGCGATCTTCTATAAATGACAGTTAAATATCCCAGTTGTGGTGCAGCGAGACAAAAAGTCTGGTTTACACTTGTGTGTTTTATGTCTTCTAGATATTACCGGCTGGAGACCAGACCCAGTAGCCCCTTTGCGATGGTCTGCCATTCCTGCCAGAACGCACCACCCAACACCAAAGAATGTGAGACCAACATCTTCCTCCCCCCTCTTCTTCCTTCCGCTCATCTCTTTTCAACCTACCCCCACAACATCCTCTATTAAGTCTACGAATTTCCCCTTTTTCCTCTTCAACATGTATCTTCACACAGACCTGTTTTCCTCTGGATTCAAAGCTAGCCAACATTAAAGTTGTCTGTCTAAATGAAAGGAAATAAAAGGGGACAGGCTGGGCAAAAGCAGATGTTGAGAGCCTGGACTTGGTTTGGGGGAATTGTTGGAATTCAGAGGTTGTGTATGAGTTCTGCCAGAGTCTATGGTCCCTGTCCTCCCCCATTAAAAGACCCTGTTGATGGACATAGAGGAACAAAGTAACACCTCTGCAATTTCTGCCTTTTTGGCAAAAGATGGGTGTTTGACAGCTTATCCCTAACTTTCCCAGCATACCTGACACTAAATCCAACGGTTGAATGTTCATGCATGGCGCCAACTGTTGCTGCGACCACATACAGAGCCATTAATATTTAACAGAGGATGTCAGCCTTGTTAGAGCTCAATATGAAACAATGACGCAAAATGTTATAAAAATAAAACAAAAAAGTAATAAGACCCGAAATGTATAACTGGTCAATAGCGTAACAAGAAGCTGAGCCCAAAACGTGTTAAGTTTTTGCCCAAAATGTAGCAACTTGCTATATTTTAGGCTTTATTACAGTTTTTCTATAACATTTGGGGTCATTATTAAATATCGGGCTTTAACATGCCAGCAACAATAACCCACCTGTCAATCATCTAGTGGCAGGTCATCTATCAAAATAACAGATAAATGATTGGAATTGTCAGCGATTGTCTTGTCTTGTCAATTGTATATCATAAAAAGACATGAGTTTGAATGCTTCATCGTCAGTTAAAAACTCCACAGGAGGTTTAAGCTAATTTTATTTGCAGAAAAATGCTCAGTGTGTTGTCAGCTAAGGTTGGTGCAAATATGTCACGGTAACACAGTAACTCCACTATAAGTTACCTCTCTATGATCATGACAAAACATCAATATTAGAGAGGGTTTATTAACGGAAACTGCTGTACGTGGAAGGGAAAATACTATGCATAAGTACGTGTATGCAGATCTTCTGTAAGAGGAGGTGTGCAAAAACACATACCTGCAATCTCACCCCCAAATCAGACCTTTCAGATTCATAGATGTCTTTTTTGTTATTTACAGCACAGCTTTTTTTTTTTTACGTAAGTTTGTCATCGCCTAGTTTCTGGATGTTGTACTGTCCCCTTTTTGTAATTTACATTCTCTCCAAACAGGGCAAAATTAAGTCTATTTAAATATAAAAAGGTAGATTTCCTGTTACTTTCTTTAAGATCAAAAATTTCCACAGCTTATGCTTATTCAAGTGAGATAAAAAGTCTTTTAATTGTCTCAGTATTTCTATGAAGTTTTCAGTTAGTTGTGATGAAATGAAGTGACTTATGATGCTACTGCACGATGGAGGTAATTTTCTGTAATATGGTTAATGTAAAACAGTCTAAAAAAAGGGGGGGGGGGGGTACTTGTCAAGATGAGTGATCATAACTAAGGTGGGGCAGATATTTTCACTATCCAGAAATATCATTTGCGGGTTTCTCCAGATGGGATAAGTGATCACATTGACCCTGTTTTGGACCCTTACCCTTACTGCTATAAGAACAATATTTATGGTCCCAAAATTGCTCAAACCTCCTTTGAGTGTAATTGAAGACCTCGGAAATGAAGGTTATTGTTGTTGTGTCATTTTTAATGAGTGTGTTTTGAAAGATGAAAACCCCAAAAAGCAGCCCAGGCCTGCAGCGGAGAGGAGAGGGAAAACTGTGCGACTGAACGTGTGAGTGAGTGTGTATGAATAAACACTAGCTTTTCAGCAGCGCTTTAATTGTTTCTCTCGGGCAAGGAAAGGAGTGATTGATTTGAACATTGGCAAGCTGGTTGAGTCATTCCATTTTTGATTTGGATGAATCAATCATACCAAACAGTTTTTTGTTTTTTAAATGTATTAATTAATTTATTTGTCCTTTGACTCCATGATTAAAGCCTGTAGCTGCACACAATCTGAAGATAAATCATTTGACACCGTTTTTATGTATTAGTTTGAAAAACAAGACACAGTGTGACGTTTTCACAACCAAACCTGAAAGATGCTGCTGGTATGAGCTAAAGCTAGGAGTTCTACATGCTCAGGGTGAAGGCAGGCTGACACTCGCCATGTAATCTGTAAATTACCCCAGCTCCTGCCCCACGCTGTGTGTGCGATAATTAAATCTTTAGTGGGTATGAAGAGGAAAGATGATTAGCATGTTAGTGCTTGCACTGATGCTACTCTTTGGCAGGCAGGCTTTATGAGTCTGGAGGTCCGTTTCCACTGCCACTTTTAAAAGTTTTATTGACTTTTATTTATAAAATGGGCAACCATACAACTGCATACCAGAAACTGTAGTAACTGAAGGAACATTAGTTTAACCTCCCGGAGATACCTGACACACTTGGCACACAGATGTCATGAATTTACAAAGAAGTCTGTTTGAGAAGTTAACCCTCTGCCTCATACCTGCTTGAAGAGGTATCTCTATTTAAACCTCAAACAAAAAAGACTTTGATTTCTTTATTTCCCTCACTCTGTAATCCTGCACCTCGAAGTTTGTTTGGACTTGAGAACACAGATTGCCCTGCAGAATTATCGCTCTGCTCTGCAGTGCACTGTACACTCAGCCTGCAAGACATGATTAAGAGATGAAACCACAAGACGCTAAACAGAATTCCAGTTCAGGCTCATATCCTTATCCAGAGAGTGTAAACACATACCCAAAGTTAATGTCTGCAGCCACAGGGCACTGGTGTGTGTCTGTGTCGACATGAGGCTCCGAGACCATGGGAAGCGGCAGGGCACATGCCAGAAAAGATCTACAGTATATCAACTTGGTGAAATAAAAGACTGATTAAAAGAGCTGATTTATGAGCTGCCAGGAGTTTACAGCTCCATTAGGAGAGGAGAAACAGTTGATGAATAATACTGACAGAGAGGCAGGGGGGTGATTACAAGCAATGGATGCCTGCCTGTGTCCACATTTCCCAATATGAGTATGTTTACTTTGGTGGGAGCTGAAGGCGACAAAGTATGGAGCTAAAAGTGTTAGTACGGATCATGTGCTGTATTAAAGGATATATCTTACCCTTCAGGTTTTAAAACTACAACAATAACATGCCCCGATCAATATAATGTCCAAACTGAAGGTATTTCTGGGCCTTTATCCATGAACGGATAAGATACTGAATACATTAAAGTCCATAACACCTAATCTGACCCGTCTTAAATAATGAAACCTTTTCAGAGAAGTAGTTCATCATTCATTCATTCATTTTTAAAGGAATAGTTCACCATGCCTGGAGGAATGTTGGTTCACTTCTAAGGTTACATGTTGTCACACGTGCGATGTTCGTACTTGGTTAAGCACAGAGACCAGATAAGAGGGGAACAGCTACCCTGGCTCTACTCTAAAAAAAATCAGCACCTTTAAAGCTAAGTAATGATCATGTGAATTTTTAACATTTTTTTTATCAAGCTGCTTTTAGCTTTGAAGCACAGCTGACAATTTGCTTGATCTTCTGCCAGCTGCACCACATTAAGTAAAGACCAGCGTTCTGACAAGACACCTGGCTCACGAGACAAAACGGGACACTATTTCTAAGATAGCTAAATAAAATATTGGTCTGAAAAATGCCCAAATTCAAATTAGAGTGTTTTTCCACTGTGGATAAATGGTCATTTTTCAATACCCTTTCTCATGTAGCCTCTATACATATGTTGCATGACAGGGTTTTATAGCTAGACGATAACACGAAGATCTGGGTGTGCTCAATACTTACTGAATTAATAGTCAGTTGTACTATAAGACTTTCTAACTGTGCCTAACAAGACATTTGCAGTAAAATAAATGGGACTGAAGGTGTTTGTCTGCTGTCTACAGGTGAGTCAACAGGTGAACCGAAAGAAAAACCTCCAATCGACCCCAGCAGCACCACGGTGTTTCCTCATACACATAAAGGTATGACTTTACATGGACAGAAGCGCACACACACACGCACGCACACACACACATAAGCAGCTGGGATGACACGTTTCATCCACCTCCTATTACCATAATTAATTGTTTATATTTCACTAACACTTCTTTACATCATCACCTTCATCTTTCAGATCCCACTGGACAGGGTCACTTGGCAACAGCTCTCATTATCGCCATGTCAACCATTTTTATAATGGCCATCGCCATTGTCCTCATCATCATGTTTTACATCCTAAAGGCCAAACCCAGCAGCCAGGGTACGACTACACACAGACTCACAGTCACACACACACACTTGTGACAAAGGTTAGTGTTGATATTTTCTGATGCTACTCCTGTGTCTGTTTGTCCACAGCATGTTGTTCAGGACAGGTTGTAAAGGCGGTGGAAGCTCAGGCCAACAAACAGGAAGACAAGAAAGATGTTCCAGGCAAGATATTAAAATGACTTACCTACTGTGTGTTATGATATCATCAATATCAGAGTTTGTGAGATGGAAATTGTTTTGATATTGATCAAATGAGAAGTCCTCCAGGCAGACTATGTGGTTTTGTTTCAGCTTCAGTAAATCAGAGCACAAGAGAGTGGGTCTAGAGAGACCATTTTCCTGCACCATTCTTTGGGCTCTACTTGCTGTTTCAGATGTAGTTTGGTAAAAAAGTGGGGGACACCAGTTTATTACTCCAGACGCTGGGGTATGATGTGAGCTCACCCCTCTATACCCAGGAGGTTGTTTTGTCCAAGGTGCAACTTAAATCTGGCCTTTACTGGCAGATTTCTTGCCATGACACAGAGAGCTTGTTAAATAAGTCAGAAGCGTGACTGGCTGGACAGCACCACATGCCCCTTGATGCACCTGTGGCCAGTGGATGTCAAACAGTGCCAGCAGAGGGTTAGCTGTGTGTAAACAGGCTTCTAGTGAAACTGAATGAGGTTTAGAAAGTGATTATTGGACTGGTCAAATCAATAGAAAACATTTAGGGATAAACGACTGTAATTCTGACATGTATCTATTTTTTATACTTCTCCAATTGTACCTATTATTATATTCAATATTATTACAATGCTGTTCTGGTTCCCTTAGGCTGGCCGTAACACCAACGTTTTTTTCATCATATGCATCAATGCTGGGAAACCAGTGAGATGGGAAATTGGTTTTTGCAGATGTGCTATGTGATGAACTTAACTTTACCCTTAGCCTTGTCCTCAGTTCTCCTCTTTACTTTTATTCAACAGGACAAAGTTCAGCTTGCGCTTGCCCCCGACTGCCCTCCGCTTATTTAGAGAATTTATAACCGCATGATCTGTGTTTGACGTTTCCAACTCGTAGTGTGGTTTCGACAACTCTGCGGTTTGAATGTCACATGTATCTAATGATTTTTCCATCTCACCAGAACAGAAGTTCAAAAAGCATAAATAAATGAAAAAATTGTAGATATAAGTATAGCATTACAGACAGAAATATTGTGAAATTATGTGCCAGCCATTTGTTTTCCATTGTTTTCATTTACATAAAGAAGAACAGTAACCGACTGATCCTTTCCATGTTTTCATAAGCGTTCCTTCCACGTTGCCAGTTTAAAAAAAGTCAACAAATACAGTATTCACAGAGTAGCAGATGCAGTTTAAACATAATCAGCTCCCCACACAAAGCTGCACAATTATAGTCATAAGGAAAACTGTCATTAGTTGCCTTCCATCCTTAGTTCTTCCTTACTCCAAAATTACTCCAAACAGTCACAGTGACAGAGCATACAATCTGTTTAACAGCCGGTTATGACATCAAAGGATACCACCCAGCAGGGATTAGAGCAATGCTGTGTGTAATTTGACTCAATCCTGCTGCAAAACATTAATTCAGGTATCTGTGTGTCTGCTTTGTTTGTTAAGCTCTATTTCACACTGAAAAAAAGTTCCCTTCAGGATTTACTTCAGTCAAGATGGAAGAGTGTGGAGCAGTATGAGCAGATGAACCATGGGAGACCTGAGTTCATGTTAAGATCTGCCTTGCGACAGCCAATACAAAGCAGATTAAATCTACATGAAATATTTAATCAGAAGGAGAGAATCGTTTCGTAAGGTCTGACTCAATCACATCTAAATGTTAATCTGAGTCGGCTCTGTGTGCCAGCCGAGTATGTGTGTGCATGTTTCTGTTTGGAGCATATGCTAATGAAACTGCTGGTTCACTGTGTGTGTGTGTGTGTGTGTGTGTGTGTGTGTGTGTGTGTGTGTGTGTGTGTGTGTGTGTGTGAGAGCAGGCTGACAGACCTGCTGCATGATGAGTACATCAGGGTGGAATGTGAAGCTGCCAAAGCTAAAGCCATACGTTGCTTTAGGCGCCATTTCTCCTGACAATGATGCTCTGTTCAATTTCATTCCCAGACTGACTGACTAACCACTTACATGTGGTGTAGATGAATACACACTGACAGACACACACACTCATGTGTACACATAGACACTCACCTACTGTAACGGTGGCCACAGACACATTATGTGGTATAAAGAGGTCGCTGGCTTAATAATTTAATAGCTGAAAGGCACAATAAAGTCGTTAAAGTATGATTAGAAAATTAATGTCGGCTTTGTTACTTAATGTTGGTTACAGCGAGTGTGTGTGTTTGTGTGTGAGAATCCTATTGCTCGCGGCTCTACCGGAGCTAGCTGTCATTCAAGTAGACGCTGAGTTAATAAGGCTTTGAGATGAAAGACACTGATGCTTAAAATCACAAACACACGCACACATGCACGCACACCCACACTCTCTATCTTTCTCACACACACACCCACACCCACACCCGCATACACAGTATGTGGAGTATTTGCTCCACTTAAGCATCCACTCATCAAGCTGTCTGTCTCTATCAGTGTCCATGATCGAAGTGTGATTTCCATGATATCAGTGTAATCATTTTGAACACCATGTCACCTGCAGTTCATCTAGTTGAGGTATGCATCATTTTAGAATTAAATATCAGCAATTCAGTTAAATCCAACTCATGCCAGGATTGACAGTTCAGAGCTGTGATTCTGTATCATAACCATCCACCATGTTTCCACACTTTAAACATCAACCACACATCCTATTATCTAACATATTGTGTTTTTAGACGTGTACATTCGATACATAAAAAAAAAAAATAATAAATAACAGAAAAAGTGTTTGAGGCAGAAGCAACACTCAATACTCAAATTTCATTTGCAAACTTAAAGTGATTACCACTGACAGCCCCAGTGGTATGTGGTAAAATCAACCTGGCAATTTTTAATACACAACCCCTCAAGTAACATAAGGTGACAATATTTGTCTTGTGTGCAGTTATAAACCTTTGTAAAAAATCAGGGTAAGGTTTTAGTCGCCGCATTTTGCCCTTCAATGTAATTATATGCTTTATTTTAATTTTTTGATACACATTTTTACACTGGAACTGAGATTTTTTGTTGAACATAAGCACCCTCTGTTGGGTAGAGTTAAAAGAGTGTGCCCCATGTTCTGTTCAACTGTCATATTGATTTTTTCAGAAATTTTTCTGAATACTCTCAGAAAAGGGCCTAACTCAAAGTCTTTACATGGGCGATTATACTCCAAGGATAGTATCACATGATCTGTTCCACTGAGTATTTGGATAATTTTACCAGAGATTGGCAGCATCATGAAGGACTGACTGAAGGGGGAAAAAGGTCTTTTTTGTCTAAAAGTGACATAGGTGTTAGGTTTAAAACCTGCTTGCATTTACCTGAAATAAAAGGAGAAAGACAATGGATTATGTTTGAGAAATGGACAGAGATCTGTTTTAGCTATCTCAGTACCACTCTAAGGATACTTTCTCTGTCCGCATCTTTTATTTAGAGATGTCCCTGGTTACACAATGTTTCTAAAAGGGTGGGGGTAAATGTGCTGCAAAGTAAGCATTTAATAATGAACAATTTGTGAATAGCTGAAGGTCAAGGCGGCATCTAACGAGCTCCTTCTGATATGCGTGTATCCTTCCCAGAATCTCCCTACGATTCATCCTCGGAGGATACGTCACCCCCACACCCACACCTGCTGATAGGAAAAACACGGTCACAGAAAGAGAAAGAAACTTTGATGTCTGTGTAGTAAAGCTATTGGAGAGAGAAGTTAGGAAACACTCTTATATGATAAAAATACTCTTATATAATTTATAAAAAGATGTCAAAGCAGTTTATACTTGTAGTATAAACTCTTACATAAGAATATGAGGAATAATGATAACTTCTATATACATTTATGCACATTATTCTAACAATAGGCCATTATTTTAAGAAGGTGACGAGATGCTATCCTAATGTACATGAAGTCAGATCTTCCTGGTGAATATGCTCTTTATCCCTGTGGTATGTAAGTGAAATTCTGTAAAATTAATTTCAATTTTTTTTCTGAGTATACTGGTTTGCAGTGAATTTATTGCTGCCCGCCACAGTATGTTTACGAACAATATACTTATGAGAAACTTTTGAGAAACAATTGCAGCTGTTACCAACTCCCAATTGTTGTCTATTTGTAATTTTAATCTTGCTGACTTTTTTGTGTTCAATTATTGCTTTTAACCCTTATATGCCCCCTTTTTGTCTTTTAGACAATGTGGTGATTTATTCAGAGAAAGATGAGTTTGACAAACTAAAGGCTCCTCCTCAGAAGATGGTGAAAAGGTGAGAGATTTGTCCAGTTTAAAGAAACAAACTCCATGAAATGAATGAATGGATTGTTTTTTAGTTAATGATTATATCCTCACAAGGGTGTACTGTGTTTTTCTAATCCCGTATCTCCTGATTGCATTGCTGCTTCTGGCGCCCTTTTTTTTCATCTGAGTTTCAATATTTAAAAAAATCCCCATGGTGGTGTCTGTATGTCTGTGAATTATGTTAACCTTGGGGTACATATGTGTTTCAACACAGCCTAAACTATTTATGGATAACTTTGTGTTTACTACTTTATGTGTGTGAACCCCAATAACAGTAAATGTACCCTCCTAATACATCATATACTTGAGAATATTTCAGACTGCATCTATGGGTGTTCATTTGAGTGTGTTTGCATGTTGATTTGGCAACATAGAGACTTTATACAACATTAAGAGTGTTTATTTCAGTACTTGCATAAGATTAAGCAAGTCTCTGCAGTAGAGGTAATGCTATTGCCCCCTTTTTTTTCCAGCAGCATCTACAAGGACTTACAGTATTTGTGCCTGTGTGTGTGTGTGTGTGTGTGTGTGTGTGGGCATGAAAACAGCAAGCAATTTGGGTTATGGGCTTTTTTCATGAAACAGCAAGCCATTTTGTGGCTTTGGAGCGGGCAGAGAGGTGGGTTTTGGGTTTTTCTCTGAGGCAGCATAAATGAGCCCTAAAGCCATGCAAACAGTAAAAGATGGACAGAGGAGGGGGGTGTCGACGCCGATAGGGGTATTTATTCTAGGCTGCGCCTAAAACCACCACCAGGTGAAAGCATGTCTTGGCAGACAACAAAAGAACAACAGTTTTCTCACCTTCTCTCTGTGTGCGTCTTATCTCACCATGTGCAGACAATAGTGCTTTATGGGTACTAGTGGCTCGAGTGCTGGGAGAAGTGTGGGAACACTTGATAGCACACAGTATTAGAAACAAAGCGACAGTGGGCCATTGTGCTCAAATGTTACTGTGCCCAATTTGACCATGCCGGTATTGATACTCAGTTCCAGTGAAAAAAGGAGGGATGCAAATTATAGAATAGATGAGACACACATACATATCCACACACACACACACACACACACACACACACACACACACACACACACACACACACACACACACACACACACACACACACACACACACAGGCACACCTCTTCTTAGCATTGATGGCAATAAACAGTGTGGTAATGCTGCATGCCAGAGGATGTGCTAACTCACTGCTTTAGCTGCCAGCGTGGGTGTTAGGTGTCTGGGAAACAAAGCCATTTTGTGTACACGTTCAGGAGTCGAGCTCAGGACGCTGAAACAATGCCATTCTGTGAGCATCTCTGTCAACAAGGTGCTTTTGGGAGAAAATCCAGTGCCGGCATATACGGAGGAAAAAGTCGGGTAATAAAGTGATATTACATGGTATCATGTTGTAAACGCCCCACTTTTTCAGTCAATCACAGGAAGGAATTAAAAACATCAGCAGCCATGGCAACGACAACAACAACCTCATTCTTCCTCAAGTCATTTTTATCTGTCAAAGTCCCAACTAGAGCATTAAAGGAGTCACTCTGTTTGCCTTGGCCGCCAGTGTATATAAATACATCTACTGTCTTTATTTTAATAAGCAGAACCAAATTAGTGAGGATGCATTTGTTTAAGTGTGAGCCATGAAATAACAAACACAGGACCTACGAGTAAAAGCAGCTCAAACGAATCATGTCAAGCTCTTTAAAAACATCTCTGAGTCTTTCGTATACTGGTGCATGATAAGAGATGTTATTTTTTATTTTTTTTATGTACCTCACCATTATTGTATAAATGGGAGGAAAAACTTTATAAAGGTTGGGCTAATTGCAAGGCTGTTTAATTGTTAGCTATGTAACACTAACAATTAAATAAAACCTCAGCCTGCTGGTAACCTAACAAGAAACAACTGGCAGAGTGTGTGTGTGTTTGAAATATTTTATGTGTAAATATGTTCAAATATGTCTTTGCTTCCATCTGCAGTGAAAATGACGCATCGTCAGAGAATGAGCAGCTCCTGAGCCGCAGCATTGACAGTGATGAGGAGGCGTCTGAGAAACAAAGTTCAGCAGAGACCAACAACCCCAATGTTTGCCTTGTCAACATGGCTAACAAACCCGACCTGTGCCTACTCTCTCTGGGCCTCTTAGACCGCGACAGAGTCTGCAACGGGAAATCCGCCGTTGCAGCCAGTCAGGCAGATAATATCCTAAGTCCCAACCACGTCAGCAACCTCAACCACATCACCAGCACAAACCACATCAGCAGCGTGAACGCAATCAACAACAACAATAAAACCCTAGGGGTAGGAAGACGAGGCTGTTAATGAGCTTAGTGGAGCCAGAAATACATCATTATAAATAGATGATGGTTCACTTTGAGTTGGAAATCTCTTAATGCTGTTATCTTATTTTTCACACAGATGCTGCAGAGTCGGAGGAAAAAGATCCTGGATCTGTATGCCAGAGCTTGCAATGCAACAGAGGGTGAGACTCCCATTCACAGACCAAAATATCCATCTAACCAAGCCTTGTAATTAATTATTGATTTCTGCTCATGCTGTGAGGACATTTTACTTCTCTCTGGTGTAGATAGACTTTCTTTATGAACTGTACTGAAGTGAGAAATGAAACTTATTTACAAGTAAATTGCTTTGGGAAGTAACAAACTGCATTTCGGAAAAAGCAGTATGTTAAACAGTACAAAGAGGAAAGCTTGATCTATACATTACTTCCACTGAATGCCTTACAGAGCATCTTTTGGATAAAATCAAACATTAGCACAGTCAAACTGGATTGTTTAAGCAGCATCGATGGCTGATGGGGTGAGGACCAAACATGAAGATTTCTGTTGTGAGGTCGTACTGAAGTAATGTCATCTGAAATTCATCTGGTCTATATAACTATGCTTAAATGTGGGTGTTTGATAGATTGCTTGTTTATAATCATCCTTTTCATTTTCAGCTTTTGCATGCTAACCTTTTAAGATGAACCTTAAACACAAAAGGCAGGTACATTTTACAAGCACTGAACACAAACATGCTTGAGGCTGGTGAAACTGAAAAAGTGATGTTAGTGGTAGAAAGCATTAAATGCGGATACGTGTAAAGACAAGCAGAGGGGCACTAAACTGTTCGCCTGAAAAAGTAATGGTGGAAGCTGACGAGATGTTCACCACCCTACTAAGTAATCCATTTTACATGATTAAAGTCATGCACAGAAATAGTAGAATAGAATAAACCAAATGTTCACATGAGGAGTCAGAGGATCCTAAAACTCACCTAGGACCTTGACTTTGAGCGTACTTGTTTATCCAGTATTTGACTGATTTTAAACTGACCAACATTTCCATCCTCACCACCAAATCACTTGTGTGATTAAAAATCAAATACCATCCATAGCTGTGCTTGACACCATACTCTGACAGCTCTAACCCTCATGTTCCTCTGCAGGCCTGAGCCCCACAGAGCTCCCCTTTGACTGCCTGGAGAAGGCCAGCCGCATGCTGAGCTCCTCCTACAGCAGCGAGGCGGCTGTTGTGAAGACATGGAGGCATCTGGCTGAGAGCTTTGGGCTAAAGCGAGACGAGATTGGCGGGATGAGTGACGGCCTGCAGCTCTTTGAGAGAGTGAGCACTGCAGGATACAGCATCCCTGATCTCCTGACACGCCTGGTACAGATCGAGAGGCTGGACGCTGTAGAGTCGCTCTGTTCAGACGTCCTGGGCAGCAGTGAGATGGCAATGGCAGCCGGGCGACGGGGCATAAACAGCTTTCACAGCCAGTTAGTATGTCCATCTCCATGCCCTTCTCCATCCCAGCGCTGTGCCAGTGTCTAAATATGCGCTGGAGCAAAGACTTCAGAGACTTGGATGCCTTACAGTATATGGACAGATACTGCTCTGACAAAGAGGACAGCACATGTAGAGTATCCACTATATTCCCATCACATGAAGAATTTCAGATAACCTCCCTATGCACAATCCTTTCTTTCTTTCTTTCTTTCTTCTGTGGGTTTCTCTGTCAAGAAGCTAGTAAACCTGAATACTGAGTATAACTTCGATCTTCCTTCTCCTGAAGTGTTTAAACCAAAATTCACAGACCAAAGAGTTAAAACTTTAAAGCTAAGGTGTGCTATTGTCTAGTTTGCCAGTTCAGACATTTTGGCCTTTAAAGGAGCAAAATATATCAAAACTAGATCCTGTTTTAATGGATTTTTACATTTTACCTGTGCTACGTAATGCTAGAGGATGTTGGTCAATAATAGACAGAACAACAGTGAGCTGGATGCAAACAAAGAATCGAGTTTACTTTTATATTTCCTAATTTTTGTGGGTTATGCAGTTTCAGACGAGCAGAGGCAATGGTGTGCTGATGGTAAGGGTCACTGTGCAGCTCCTCAGCAGCAGTGCTACAATAGTGCCTTTGTAATTAACAAACTCACGTGAAAGAAAAACAAATATGAACTCTCTCTCTGGGATTTGTGATCAGGACTAAAATCTTTTGATGATGCCACAACCTGTAACTCTGAGTAGTAGCTTGTGTGCATGCAAAGAAAGCAAAGTGGGCATATTTATAACTATACTTTGAGCTATGGGGCCACCAAACAGCAAGTACAGCAGATATGGACTTGATAGTTGGAATTGAAATATGTAAGATTACAAATATCAGGTTTTATCTGGTAGTTAACTCATGTTGTCTTGTGCTGAGTTCTAGTGCTCTTACAAACACTACAGGACAGTATTTTCTCCGTTACAGAGTCCTGTTAAGATATTATGTTGGTTATTTGTGACCATATGGTGTTAATTTCTGGTTGATTTAGTGAATTATTTTCATCTGAAACACTGACTCAGCTTTATTAATCAACATCAGTATACTAAATGTGGAAACAGTGATAAAAATATACAGTTTACAGGACAGTTGGAGTGAACCAACCCCCCCTGAGGTACTGTAACTGGTGTGTTCAGTGTTAGTCCTCTGTGATGCTTGAATACAGCACTGCTCTGCTGCTCACTTACACTTATGTAAACCTGCACAACTCAACACTCACACAGCAGCATGCTGTCTCTTATGGTAACTACTTCCTCAGCAGTGACCCAGTCTGTGACCCCCTACCTCTATAATTCGTCTTTTCCCCACATTTTCCCCTTTACCTCAATGCTGCGGTCTTGTGCTGCCGCCAGACCTAATTATTTGGCGTGTGGCTGCCTGGGCCCCTAATAGGCTGAAGTGTTGTGGTTTACAGAGCGGGTGCAAAGTGCCTGTGATTTCCAGCACCCAATTAAGCATTTAGGGCCACTTAACCACTGAAAGCCCAGTGGAAAAGCTTTAAAACCCTGTATTAAAAAGAGAGATGGCACAGCAGAGGCATGACTAACTGCCCCTGGGGGCAGCTGCGCCATGAACGGTGCAGGAATGCAGCTGGTCGTGGTGGAGGCAGTGCTATGGTCGTCTGACCTTACTCAGCTTTTGCGGTCAGCTCAGTCATGCTCAGAAAGGATTTCAGCTCCCCTCTCGCTGCCCTTGGGGACCAATAAGGCAAATGAGAACAATATGCAGCTGTCCAGGTTACAGTCCTCTGTGAGGCAGCTGAAGCAAGTGTTGTAGGTAAAGAGGCACAGTGGAGCTCTGCCAAGCATTCAGTTCAACTTTCTAAAAAGGTTCAAGTAAATGCACATTTGAGCTCCATTAATAGTCATGATGTTAAGAGATAAAGTGCTGTAGGTTAGCATCTCACTTTTATGGAGCAGTTAAGCTTCAAAACGCAGCAGTAAGCTCTAAATGCCAACTTAAATAAGCATTGCCAAGACTCCCTTTGATCCCATTTCTTGGTAATAAGGCAGATCTTTATCTGGTGCCTGATGTTGTCAGCATAATGTCCCATGGCAGCTCTGCATAAAATCAAATACATCAGCTGCTGCCAAGTTCTTTGTCTAATCCTTTTTGTTCATTTTCACAGAGCAAACTTTGGGGCTGGACTCCAGTGCTTTAAATTAATTAATGTGAATGTTTATCAAGCATGTAATCATCTTTGTTCTCTTCATTACCATCTGTCTAGTCAAATTAAACATTTACAGCCAAATATGCTGCTTTTCCAAGCAGACATGTCTACATCAGAGCCGATACATTTCCAAACAAGAAACAGATTACTATGACCTGGATGACTGAGAACCTTCACAGACATTTCCCCAAAGGTTTACCTTGTTTTCTTAACCATGTTTTATGCTGTTTAACTTTTGTAAATAATCTTAATGGTGTTTCTGTTGAACTGAAATGAAATGGACCAAAGCCCTGTTTCCACACAGGCTAAATCTTGTCTGACACGTATTATGATGATAGGATGAAATACAGAAGCCAAACATGATGTACTTACCTCAGTAGCACACACAGTATAACAGAATATGTAGAAACACACACAAGCTTTTCACAGAACCAAGTATAACTGTATATATAACTTATTACTGTACATACTGTATACATTAATAAAGACAGAAAAATGGCTCAGGAGTCGTTCTTCATTGTTCAACCCTTATTATCCTGTGAAATTGCTGATAATTGGTGATCATAAACAAAAAGCTGAGCTCAACAAAGCAGACATGCATTCAGTTAGATGTTCAAGAGATATGAGAATTTAAAGAGAGAGTGACATGAATGTTTTGTACCAAATTAGCCAACAGTTGAGGCTTAATTTCCCTCAAATCTACAAAATGGGGGCAAAGAATATTTAAATGATACCAAAATAATTAGGAGTAGCACTCTGGGAATTAAAAAACGTCTGTAAAAATCCTCTGGATCAAATGGCTTTGTCCTCATAAGTGCTACACTACAGTCATAAGCCTATAATCTTTTTAAAATTCTTTTAGTTTGAGCAAAAATTGTCGTATCACAGTGATCTAAATCTATCCAAAAGTCACATTTGTGTGGTTATAGCTGTGCAGTTGTGGGTCTAACAGTTGCAGAATAAGTCCTCAAAAGTATCCAAAAGTGTTAAAGCAATGATCACATATAAATAGATATTTGGGGTGTTCAGCTACATGTAAGTGTTTTTGGTTCAGTGCTGCAAACTGATCCTGTGGGTATATGTGGTAGTTACCCCTAATCATCTGAGTGTGTGTTTACTGAGGACCAGAGAGAGCAGAAAAAGCAGAGCATGCACTCTTTAATCATGGATGCATCGTCTCCCAGGGAAAGAATCACATCAAGCCTCTAGCGGGGTCTAAGAAAACAAATGGACCTGTAGTCAGTAGCCCTCTAAAAAAAGTCTTGATCCTGGAGACCCGCTTTCAGCAGGAGAGCTAATGTCCAGTGTAGTAAACAGTGTCCTGTGGCTTTTGTGTGTGTGTGTGTGTGTCAGGGTAACTTTAATATAGATATCCAGGATTCAAACACCATTAGGAGAAGAAGAGAGAGAAGCTGCAGCTGCACCAAAACAAGGTATTTTACAAAACATGACTATTTGGGTACAAATATTTACCTGTAATCTCTGAAAATTACCCCCCAAACTGAAAATCTCCCTCCATCAGGTGGGTTATGGTTTTAGACTCTGCATTATTTTGTTTTTCACTGAAACGGTTGTTCAAAAAGACACGAGAGTAGGCCCACAACCTGAACTGTTTCTTCTTTTGCACTTTACACACAGTGCAAAAGTTCTTGAAGTTCCTATATAAGACATTGCATGCATTATGTTTGTTTCCCTTATTGAACCCAAAATGTACCAAACAGAGATTTTCAAACCAAGAACAGCACAGTACTATTACACCCATAACCCCATGTAAAATGCTATGTTTATCATGTCAGAGGAACACGATACTGATGTATATAATCATGGGGAAAGTTATCCAACATGTTGCTCCGATCTCAGATTTTTGTTTATCAGCCTCTACAGCACACAGCAACATCATGGTGTGTTAATGGCTTTGAGACTCCAAACGGAAAAATTGCTAATCACAACATTTTCAAGTTCATTCAAAACTTCCACAGCTAATTATACGTCATTATGGTTGACATATTAACGAGACAGTTCACCAAACGAGACATGATTTCATTGGAAAAAGACTGTAGGACAAGATTTGAAAAAAAATTACTCTATTCAGACGTTGGTTCTTTTTCACCCGCTCTCACCCCTCTGACTTGCAACTGCAGGTTTAAAGAAAGTCGGAAAGCAAGAACACTTTCCCTTTTTAAAAATCAAACGTAATCACTTAAACTGTATTTAATTTTTATCCAGCATTTTAATTAATATACTGTGACTTTACAGAAAAGTTTTTGTTAATGGATCCATCTTAACTTGTATAAACACAAAACAGGTGAAATTCTTGGTCAACTCATTCATCAGTCCCTGTGCTCTTTCCCTAAACTTCCAATGAGCCTCTACAGTGTCAGGAGTAACCTGTGGGTGCTGCTCCGTCATCATGTTTTCACTGTGTAGGTGTTTCTTTGTGCCAAAATACCCAAGGCCTTAGCTAGACTAGGAGGTGTTCTGGCTGGGGATCTAAGGACAGGTTGACAGGAGGTCTGCCTGCCTCCCCAGGGTCTGTTTGAGAGCTTGGGTTGACTTGAAATAAGGAGGATGAGGCCATGGAGAGCCACTTCAGGGCAAGGAGTGCCAACTGTGAGACAAATTAAACACCTGCCAGGAGGTTACACCTTCGCCCTCTACACAACAGCTGCTCATCAGTGTCAGTCATCCTCCAAAACTTCAAACAGCAGCAGAGCAAGTGCCGTCCAGACCTCAGTCGGGCGTGTTTTATGTTAGAGTCTGAATCAGAACATGCATACGTCTGCGGTACAGGATGAGTGGTTTCTGTACTGCAGAGTAGTTTGGAGACTTTTGGAAACACTGCTGCACTTTTCAGAAAAGTGTGTGTGAGTGTGAGTGTTTTTATTTCTAGGAACTGTTTTGTAGCTCTTCTCTGAGAGTTAAATAAGTGGACTGTTGTAAGACTTAAAGACTTAAGTGAGGAACTCTGATGAGTTGATTTTGGCACCTCCTGTGGACAAAAATGTTCCTTACATATCTTGTGAATCTGTCTTATATCTGTGAGAGAAATAACAACACTAGAACCCAGACATTGGCAATGAGAAAATTTAATTTAAAAAAAATAAATAATAAAAATCGGTGGAAAACATAAAAGCTTTGATGAGTGTCACCTGAGCTGAGACATCATTAAAACAAAGACATTATAAGAACCTGTGATACCCGGCCAACACAGGAACCCAACCACAAAAACCTGAGACCAAGGGGACTAAAGAAAGGCATGGAAAAGAGAAGGAATAAGAACTTAAAACATTAAGAAGTAAAATTGTAAATGAAAAATAAATGTTAATAAATGGAGTAAGTCAGAGGAAGAATCATGTTTGGCTAAAGATAATATCATCCTAATTTCTTTTAAATTTGAAACGTTATAGGTATATCAGCAGTGGGAATATTAAAAAGGCGGTTTCTGTAAAGTGCAGTAAACCATCTGGTCTGTCACCTACTCAATTTCAGCATCACTGTTAGTTTCAGTCGGTTTCATATCCACTCAGAAAGGCTTTGGGGTGATTTGAAGTCAAATTTGAACCTTTGACTGAGCTTTTAGTCATTTTCCATCAGCTTTAATCTCTATGCTAATCGGAGATAACACGTCACTTAGTCCAGTTCCACATTAATGGGCTTACATTTACACACTCCGTTTCGTCAAGCTACGGTTAAAACTTGACTTATCTGGACTACTGTCCTTGTCCCAGTTTACACACACCAGGCATGTCTTCATCATTTGACAGAAGTATGTCATGGGATGTCTGTCAAATGATAAAGACACTATCACTTTTACAACGTCTTTTTTGATCGAGGTTTTCTGGCTCCCTTGTGACACATTTATGTCATTCAACTTCCAAGCTAAGTCCTGGCTTGCAAACTCTTTAGCGTGCGGAAAACACTTTTGTGTGATTGAACCGTAAACATGACAGAGAAATCTGATCCCCAGTTTATTTATCCAGTCAGGCAAGTCTGACTATGAGAAGTTAAACTTAGTGTGATATTAGTCAGACTGACTAGTTTACATGTATTGTAAGTATTATTACAATATGATCTATGTTGTGTTGTCTCCAGTTGTTCTGCTGATGAGTGTTCATTTTCCTTAAACCAACTATTTTCACTTTGATAAAATAGGTGGTTGGAATTAAACAACTTCTTTTGGAAAGTTGTTTGTGAACAAAGTAATAACACCCTCATTTGGAAACACACCAAGTTTTAAATAGAAATACTGCAAGAGGATCAGGATTGACACTTATTTAGCACATCATAGCAATCATCCAATCATCAGATGCAAGCGTCTCAGTCTACCATAATGAGGAAAAAGCAGAATAAAAGAAGTTCAAACAAACAGGAATGTTGGAAACCAGAAAGATCCCTTCCTGCCAACCATAAATATTCCCTGACAGCTGCTTCCACTCACAACTCTTTAACACACTCCCTCATTTACAGTCAGGTATATTACCAGGGTCTGGATGTGCTTATTACATTACTACAGCAGCATATTTATGCATATAGCGGCTTACGGAAATAATTTACATTTGGTGGTCTGCCATGTCAAATCACCAATTGACTTGACTTTATGGTTGTGCTGAAGTGGAACCACTAATGTTTCTCCCCCTGCCAGCCTCCTCAAACATACCAAATAACATTTTAATGAGGTTTACCAGCCAGACTGAGCAGGGCCACTCTTTGGGTAATTTTCTGAATTTTTGGTCCACTGAAAAACCCCAAACATAAATCAAGATCAGTATATAAAGTCGTGTGGGTGATGTTGTGCAGGGCGGATTGGCAGATTTAAGCCCCACCACCCGGACTGCAGGGCAGACCAGACTATGCCCAAGTCATGAAAGTAAATAAATCCACAGACGACAGTTCCTTGAGAAGACACGCAGGAAACAAGGGCAGAATCAAGACTCTCAAACTCAAACTTCAGGTTGAAGAGCAGCTGTGAGAATCGGGTACCCTTCTTCCTGGTCTTCAGCGGTGCGTGTTTTCCATGACCACTTACTAAATACAAAAAAAGTGTGTGTTACACTACCCGTCTGTCCTGTGGTATAGCAAAAACAGAGTGGAGCAAGAATTCAATACACAAACTTTATTCATCCTGAAAGGGAAACTCATCAGTCAGGAATCTCATCTTAACTACTATACACACAAAAATTATACAGTCTGATGGCTGTGCGTAAAAAAAAATAAAAAAGACCTTCTGAATCTTTCTGTCCTGCAGTAAAGTGAGAGGAGCCGTCCACCACCACAGGCTCTTTGGTCCATCAAGGTGTTACAAAGTGGATATAGGAGGGAAGAAGAAGGGAGCCACTGTGAAGGAGAACCACTCTTGTGTGGATATAAAATGCTTCTTCAAAGTGAACAAAATTTAAATAGAGATTGACATTCAGTTTGTATATATATATAAATATTGGTTTTCATGAGCCGTAATGATCAAGATTTAAACAAAACAAAATAAAACAAAAAAGTTTTGAAATATTTCACTTTGTGTGAGATGAGTCTGGCATTTTTGGAAGTTTTACTTTTTAAATGAAATGACGGGAAAACTGAACTTTTTCACTAACTAATAAACACATAATTAAAGGAATCAACGGGTAAAAGCTTCATTACAGTTGTTTACAGTAACTCTGAAGGACTTAACAGTCTGTGTTCACAAATTTATATTCCTGTGATTCCTGACGGATGCATTTTGTTTCTCTCTTTGTCTGTGTTCAAGCTTTTAATGTCTTTTAAACTGATGAAGAAAAAGTTTTGTTTCAGTGATGGAAACTGGACTTTTTTTTAACAGCCATTATTCAAGAATGAAAACATTAAAAAAGAGAAAAAAATGAAGAGCTTCACTGAGTCAGTCTTAAGTTAGACAGTTGATCTGTTTATCAGAGAAAGCGTGGGACTGGATCATTTACCAGGTGAGTCTATTTGAACCTTCAGATTGGTTTTACCACCTTCGCTACCTGGCAGGTGTTAAATGAATTTGATTAAACCTGCTGTGATGTGACCACTCTGCTCAGGAGCTTCAAATTAAAGCATGGATGGATCAAAAGATGACCTGGTACTGACCTGATGAGGCCATTTTGATTTGGAGACCCTATCAGGATCTCACTAGAAGTAACAGAGCAAAACCAGATGTCAGGTCTTTGAGGATTCATGGTTGGGCCTTGCTCATGAACCCTCAGTTGTGTATGAAACATGGTAGTTTAAAGGAAAAGTGTTTACGTGGCAGCTATGAGTCTGTTCCGCTGTTGATCGTAAAGTCAGATGTTTCCATTTGATGTCATCCTGATGCAACAAAAACAGCAACAGTGGGAAAGTAATGTCGACGTCCTCTTTTTGTCTAACTCGAAGAGCAAAATATAACCTTCTTCAGAACAGTTTTGGAGATATTAAATTCTTCCAGCTTGTTGCTGCTGAGAAGTCGCAGCAGTTGTGAAATGTTCTGGTCTCTATATCTCTGCCATAGCAATTCATCTTCAACCCGCGCTGAGATTAAATTACACTACTTATTTACAATAGGCCAATCATTTTCAAAGAGCCTAAAAATATGATTTTTCCCCTCTTTCTGTAGAACTTTGAAGGTTGTTCCTGAACTGCCACAATGCTGTCTTTGCAGTAACAAATGAGGATAGAGGACAAAGTATTTTTGAATATGAACATTTAAAAGCATTAAATATAAAGTTCTTTATTTTTTTTTTCTATAGTGGCATAACTTTTATTTTATTTTTTCATTTTTACTCCACAAGTCTGTTTGTCAAAGAGGCTCAAACTTTCCACTGGATGACATTCATTAAAAATAAATTCAATTCACATTGCATAACCACAGTTTCAAACATGCTAGGACGCTGTGTAAAATATGAACTGAAACAGAGTCTGATTGTTTGCTAATAATTTAAACCCTATGTTTAATTGCAAAAGTGCAGAGACAACATATCAGACATTGAAACTGGTGAAAATGTTTTTTTGTGAAAAACATATTCTTCTTTTTGAAACTACCATACAAACAACACATTTAACAACATTCACCTTTGAGATGAGTTGCTCTTTGAAACAATGCTGTTCACATGTGAGAACATGTGAAGCATCAAATCAAAAAGCATCAAATGTTTTTACTGGGTGACAAGTGGAGGCTGCAGGCTGGTTATGGTACCTGGCCGCCTCAACTACTGAGCCATGCTGTTGTAATATGTGCAGAATGTGGTCCGGCATGGTCTTACTAAAATACACAGGGACTTTTCTGAAATAAGCATTGTTAAGATAGCAGCATATATTGATCCAAATCTTGTACTTACTGCTCAACATTAGTAGTGCACTCTCAGACGTGTAAGTCACAACCATGGGCACTTGCACATCCTTATACCATCAAGTAGGGCTGCACAATTTTGGCCAAAAATAAAAAAAACATTTTTTTTTTCCCCTGAAAGCTTGATTTGCGATTTTGATTTTTTATTCAGTGACACATTCACCAGATTTCACTGTGTTTTTCTATCTTCTCTAAAACTGAAACCACTGAAAATGATGTAGTGCATATGCCAAGCCAGTTAGTGGTGCTGCAACGCTGCACAGGAAATGTACAAAAGACAAAAGAAGAGTACAGAGCGTGCTTACAAAGGTTGTTTTGGCCAGACACGCGCAGCCACCATAAAAGAGTTACGCTGTGTGTCACATAATCGTTTCGAGAGATGCAGATAGATATCCACATGGAGATGAAATGGTCGTCGTTTACAGATTTATGCACTCTCTGACCCATTGTCAAAAAGTACCGTTTACAATTAATTGAAAGGCTGTTTCCATGTGGATAAACTGCCAATACCACAAATAACTTTTGCATTTACTCCTGAATTTGTTTCTGCGCAGACGGATTGATACCCCCTTCAGACAGACTTTGCAGCGGGGAGTGGTTTGCTCTTTGTCCAAAACTGTGAAGCTGTACCGGTTCCACATGACTGACTTGCTCTTGCCCTATTTAACCACAAATTTATCGCCATCTTTTGCAAACGCCATGTTTGTTTACACTGGTGTGTGTGGGAACTGGGAAGCTCTCTCGCAGGAAGGGGGAGACTACAGTGGCCTGGAGGCGCGAGACATGATAGAGAGCAAAATCGATTTGTCGAATCAAATAATCCAATTACAATTTAAAATCAGTTAATCATGCAGCCCTATTGTCAAGGGCGCTAGCTATTGATGCGTTTACCATGACAAAAATAACTGCTACAAGGATCCATCATAGTGGCAGTTTGAGGGTTGTCTTCTCTTCCATTTATCACTTTTTCCCTTTCTTGGTCTACACCCAGCATTTGGTAAAACTAGATTCAAAACCATCTTTAAAAGAGGTTATGTATTTCAAAAGGCTTGCTCAAGGACAGGTCAATGATTTATATTCTACAAGAAGATTGAAGGACAAAATTCCTTTAGCAAACTTACTATCACTGAAGCTTGAGTGACACTGTTTCACACAAAAGATAACATGCAATTAATTTAGGAATTTGGAGACTCAGAGCCCTCCCAAGCATTTCCAAAGGATTTTCATCAAGTATGTTTTAAATATCATTGTAATTGTTCCAGTCCGTCCAATCTCCTCTATCGACCAACACCAGTGACATGTCCCATACTGAGACCATTACTCCTATCAACCCAGCCATCCTCTGGAACAAACAAATAAGACTTATTTATGTAAAACATATGAACTCCAGCATCTCATATGCATATCACAACTTAATAGGTTTCAGTTATTTGTTTATTTTCACTGAAAAGCTCGACTGTCATCTCCCTTTTCCAGGCCACATCAGACACCCATTAAGGCCACTGGCAAGACTGACACATAAAAAAAAAGACATTTCTTCAGAAAAACTAAAGAAAACAACACATCAGATTGTCATTGTGCAACATAAAAACAGAAAGGTTGCAAAGTGCAAACACTGAAAAAGTACTTCTGACAGACAAAAGAGCAAAAAATATGTCAGAATAGAATTCAGAATGTGAGTTTGCACGTTATTTGAGATACAGCAGGACAGAAGGTTTCATTTTAAACATACATGTAAGAGAATAAACATGAGGAAGAACTGTTATATAAGGAAAGTTATTATTACTGTGTTCATACCTTGGGTAATTAGATTTTTTTAATAAGCTCCCAAGTACATGTGAGTGTGTTTTACTGAAGGTTGTTGAGGATGGACCTGAGGTTCAGGCAGAGGAAGGTGTGTGTGTGGTTGCTTTTGTGGTAAAGCTCCTGTATCTGTGGGTGGAGGGTGGACAGTTCAAACAGACGACGGTTCTTCCTGAATCAGACAGAAGAAATACGACACCATAACCATCAGTCAAAGTCGGCAATGATCAGAAAAGTTAAGCCTTACTAGGCGTTAACTACTAGTTTACGATGATTTATTTAAGCTTATAAACATTTTTTTTTCCTTTTAGAGCAAATTATTTAAATAAGTTATTTTTTCATTTCCCTGAGGATCAATAGAGGTCTATCTAATCTAATCTGATCTGAAACAGAAATTATAATGGTGCATGGTTGCAAACATCAGTTATTCCCTTTCCATCAACTTGTGGTGGGCTACCCTGTTCCCCTCTATGAATGCTGATCCCTGTGCATTGTTTTTCAGAGGTTGTTATATCTACCTGATGCTGGAAAGCTTCTGCAGAAGAATAGAGAGTTTCTCTAGTGATGGGAGGCCCAGGCGAGGGTTTTTAAGAAGCTTGGAGACCGTGTGGAAAAACTCCTCACAACTACAAGACTCCAGGAAGGCGTTTAAGTAGCCTGTGAGCAAACAAACACAAGCAGAGCAGAGAGAGCAGGGTTTCAAAACAATTTCTTTAATAAAAGACATTTGTTTTTAATGTGACAACTTTTGAAGGGATGGGAGTCACCAGCTTCACTGTGCTATATTTTCCAGATTTGCACAGAAATTAAAACTACATGGACGCAGAAACGAAGCATGAAACATTCCAACTGGGTTTGGCAGGGACACAGATGCTGGTCAGAGAGCCGCCTGTGAAGATTGTAATTGGAAAAGCTTCCATACTGTCACTTTTAACTCTGACCTTCTCTTTATCAAACACAAACCTCACGCACACACACAAGCAGATAAAACAGAGGGGAACAAATCAACTCACACAGATGGGGATGGCATTTTCTTTCAATCAATGAAAAGCAAATGTGGACCTTATGAAGTCCTAAAATTGATCAGTTCCTGGTAAACAAACATTTGGTTTCTGCTAAAACCACATTCCTGCTCCTTCAAAAACTAACTCTCCCCTGTCTCAGACCATGCACAAGAGTGAGGGAATACAATCTGAGCCACAGAGTGACTCTTTGGCTGGCAGAGGGTTTATGCTGGGATCAAATCACAGCAAACCATTGGACAGAGAAGAACAGGATCAGGTTCAGGTCAGAAAGGATAAGACGGGTAGAATCTGATCATGTGAGAAGGAGAAAGCGGGAGAGGACAGTTTGATCAGACTTTTTCCAACTATAACAATACCCCACCCAAAAGTGGTTTGTGCTTTATTATGCCAAGTTTTTTAACCATTAATGCTATGTAACCGTCTTTTGGAGATTTTTTCAGACACACAGGGTGGCTGTTGTTTTGGATAATTGCTGCAAATACATTCTGACAAGAACTAATATAATGACGGAGCTGAACATGGTCCTCCAGTTCCAACAATATTTGAGTTAGTTTGATGTGTATGCTAACTAATGATTTCTTTGCCCTTTTTATCTATATATTTTTGCTTTGTGGGGACCAACTGATAAATTATTTACACACACTGCCACCATTCAACTATAAAACCTAATCCAGTCTCTAATTAAAGGCCAATTCTGAGATAAGGTTTATAGATCTGTGGCTGTCTGCATTGATAATAAGCTGCTTTGGGGAGTGTGTTTTCCTTTGCTGTGAGCTGACATAAGATCAGAGGTACGAACTCTCTTACATCCTAACCTGCTTAGCTGAGAGTTGTGCATGCAAAACAGTGACCAAGAAGTGCTAAAATAGCAGCAGCTGGTGAAACATTATAGCATCCTTGAAACTTCCAGAGGGGCATTTTCGCTCAAGTGCTGCAAAGACGAGATTTGTAAAGCAGGTAATGTGCGAGCATTGAGGAGGGAGCATATCCCTTTGTATCATCAACTGTGAGGTTCAAATTGCTGGTCCAAAATTGCAGCTACACTGTCTACTTCTCATCTCTTTGTCTTCTTTGTCCCTCTCAACTCAACAGGAGAGCAAACTCTTACGATCACACTACAGAAGCTTGGGATGCACTGATGTATCAGTGAAGACTGGCAAATACTGACCTGGTTGACTGACATCAGCACATCAGCAAATACTACATCATGCACCAACGTCAGCAGCCAAAAATTATGTATGTCCTGTAAAATCTTTTATCTTCATCACATCAACACAAATCTGAAAAGATAATGCATCGAGCTGAGAACTTTTTTCATTGGGCTCTTTATGGGCTTGTTATTACTTAGTTGTAAAAACCAGCGCAGGAAATCACTCTCATGTTTGTCTGTAGAGTTGACTGTATGAAGCAGTTTAGTGAAATGAACTCACTGTAGAGCAGACGTCAGTATCAGCCAGTAACACAGCCTCTAAAAGGTGCATTTGCTTAATTATGTGAGCAAAGGTAGCCAATTTTATTTTAGTGATCTGCGAAAGTTGATTTCAAAAGATGTGTTTGCTAGCTGGTAGAACATATGACCATGTACAGATAAACAGTCTATTGTCTCTGTCATGCAAGTAAGAACTTTTTTGTTGTTTTTTTATTGGTAACCTACAGGTGTAATCCTTCCCTCCTTGCCCTTCCCCTTCCTGTCTCCCCTCATTTCTGCTTGTTAAATCGAACAATTAGCAAGTCCTGCTAGATTTACAGTCCCCTTGAAACACACAACTATGTATACATACAAATACAGTCTGGTAAATCTCTGCTGTGTGTTAGCACACACCAGGGCTAAATGCTTTGCTCATTACCCCAGTGGACTGGCCTTTCCATGTTAACACAGTGCAGCTGTTGGTCCACCTCTGTCAGTCTTTGTCTTTCTGTGATGGTGCCAGAAGGTAGTGGAGGCCAAGCTTTTATGGCCATCACATCCACATCTAATCCCCTGCCAGTATGTGTGATTGATGTGTGCTAAATCAGACCTGTTACCTATCACATGTGGTTTTTATGAGGGGATGATATGGACTGATACTGCAGGAGGAGCTGCAATAACTCAACATAAATAGTGATAGAAATAACAGTCTATAAATCTCAGCTAGATGAGCGATCACAGCATCTTTCAGGGCTACGCCAGCCACAGAAAACTTAGCGTTACAATTTTGGAAATAAGTGTTGAGCTAGGGCCAGTTTGTTGTTTATAGATACACATACTGATGTGAAAGAAGCTAAATTTGTAGAAAAAAATCACCACAGTACTCACCAAATGCAAACTAAAAAGTCTATAACTGAAAAGAAAGAAAACATGACAGACTATAGTGTCTATCAAATCCACCCAGAAGTTCTGTTATATACACTTACTACAACTACCATCTAATAACTATTTTTTAATTAATATTATTATTATTTTCAATTTTTATTTATTTATTTTGGTGATCAATGTTAACAATACATTGAAAGACAATTACCCTGGATTATGGAGTATTAAAGATAAAGCAAACAACAACAACAAAACCAATCAAGAACAGAGCCTGTATACAGTTATGTAAAATCAAGTCTCCCCTTATGTGACAACCATTTCCCACATCTTTGAACGAATAGGTCTTCTTTCACTTTCAATTTGTATGTAAGAATTTCCTTTAACAGTATTTCTTCTATAATTGACATCCATTGTTTTTTTACAGGGGGAGTCAGTCTTGAGACAGTTTTTTATAATGGCCTTCTTCCCAGCCACCAAAAGAATCTTGATCAGATATTGGTCTCCTACATGCACCGATCCATCCACATGACTGAGGACAAGATTTATGAATCACATATCCCAACACATTGCAAAGAACAAAGTGAACACTCCTCCAGGAGTGCTGTATATTTGTGTATTTCCAAAACATGTGTATGTAATCTGAATCCATGTCGTTACACAATCTCCAACATGGCTGGTGAGTATTTATCTGTTTGCTTTTGATTCTAGGTGTGAAAAAATATCGAATTAGATTTTTCCAATTGAATACTTTCAATCTCAGTGACTGTGTAATAGTTTGGTGTGCTTTCCACAAATCGTGCCATATCCCTTCTGGAATCCACTTACCCAGCTCCCTTTCCCACTTGGCTTTAACATATTATAATAACTATTATTTGGATATGCTAAATGGCTACAAATTATTATTATTTAAACCAAACTTTGCTTCTTTTTAGACAAAATATTTCTGTCTAAAACTTCCTTTAAAATAAATATACATTAACCAAATGCCTTCGTTCAGAATGTAAAAAGCATCTTTTTTTTTAAAATCTCTTCGTTAGTTTCTCTTTTTAGCACAATTTTTTTTTTTTGTCAAATATTTTTAAAAATATAATGGAAACTAGCAAACTTAGCTGATGATGGCAGAAATTCTCAAAAATATTCTTCACAAAAAAGTGAAACGCTGTTGGTTGGGTACCAAACTCCAACTTTGTGGCACACATCTACTTACAGGACTGCTCAGCCAGCTGCATCAGGATATCCACAGGTGTGTGTAGACCTCCATGGCCGGCACAAAGCATGGAAATCAACACACAAACTCCTTCATAGTGGATGAAAAGACCTCGACTGTCTTTTGACACCAGTTCAGTATGGAGACTGTGGAGAGCCCGAGCCAGTACATCAGCTGCAGACAGGACAGAGAGACACACAAAGAATAAATACTCATCTACTTTGCTGAGTTTTGAGATGTTTTGACTCGGACAGTTCAGTATGCTGCAATGTATTCTTTTATCATCCATATGTCAATATGGGGTAACATTAGAGATACTGTGAGGAACTTTTGGCCAGCTCGTCTGTGGTGCCCCCATTAGGCAAAGATGTACGTTTGACCTCTTTACTGACCTGCCCCAGCACACACAAAGGTAGTACTTCTTTGAAATGATAAAAATTTAATCCTGATCCTAATAAGGGCTACTTTTCTTTTTTTCCCCTTTATCTCAGACACGTAATCTTTTTCATGTACCTTGACATGTTTTGGTGGACACTCAGAAGTGTCACTTAGTGGTAGGTGTGATGCGTTATATCAGCTGGTGTTATGGAGGCGTGAGCATGTATGAGCATGTATGCCCCCTCATCCCTGTTCATTGTCCCTGGGCCCCGTTTTCCTTATTTCAATGGCTTCCCTAATCCAGCGCTGGTGCTTATTGTCCTCAGTGCGAATGACTCTGGTGTCCTGCAGAGGCGAACAGACAGCGGGAGGCCTGACCCTCTTGTCAAAAAAAATTGACAGGAGGGTCACGCCTCCGTAACACCAGCTGATATGATGTGTCGCACCTACCACCAAGTGACACTTCTGGGGAAGGCGGAAGTTTCTGCTGAAACATGACAAGGTACGTGAAGAAGATTCCATGTCTGAGATATAGGAAAAAAGACAACTATTTTTAAGAAACTGAGGACATAATGAACATCATTCAACTCATAAGGGGCTGTTTCTTCAGTCTATACTGAATCCTCTGCGCTGAAACCTACCCCCTCTTAGCAGTTTAAGGCAGTAAAAATCACAATATAGAAAAGTCTTACCTTGTTGGTGATGGTTTTGTTTGACACTGTGTTTTATCAAGGTATTAGTGTTAATGGCAGTCTGTATCACAACCAGTTAAAAACTACTCACAGGACCTTTAAAACTCAAGCTATATTATAAAAGTCAAGGTTACAAACAATCCCTCAAATTCATCAAAGTTGTTTTCTATCTTTCTTTATAACCATTATTCAATAAGTGTTTCCTTTCTTTCCTTTTCTATCGTCACGCTTCTACAGGACTTAAAAAGTCCAGAGCCTACTCAGCCCGACACATTCAAGCATATGATCTGTGATGGACTCCGATAGTTCTGAGAATTACTGCAGTTCTGAGAAATTCTTCACAAATGTCCAGCAGAGCTGGATTTATACAACCTGACATGGGATAAAAGCTATTGTTATGATTTTGGACCCATCATGCTCAGTTCCTTCCAGAATGGTATCTATTATGTGTAAAGTCCGGGGAATATGAGGGAACGAAGCATCCCTCCATTACACTCAATCTGGTTCCACGTCAATTCAGAGGAAGAAGGAGAGCAAACCTGGTGAGCAGATTGACAGCAAATGGTCTAGAGAGACATACTGAGCATTACTAGCAGATGGAAGGTTGATTCAGAGGTGAGTTTCACAACATATGTCAGGATATATAGGCTGCAGCAACTCAGCGCACTAAGATTTATAGCATGGGAGTGCAGATCTGGATGTTAGAGTCCGACTGAGAACCTAAAGCTGTTCTCTCGCTGCTGTGTTGGGCTAATGAGCTTTGGAGGGAAAACAAACCTGCGAGTTTTACACAAGGGGGAAGACCAGGTCTGGGTTAAGGTCAGAACAATAAAGGAAGTATGACAGCTGCTCTAAATTGTAATTCAAATTCAACTTTATTTATATCGCACTTTTCATACATGCTTGCAATTCAAAGTGTCTCACAGAGGCTAAAAACAACAATAAAACCCAACCTTCCCACCCACGCGTATGTGTGTTAGTGTGTGAGTGTGAGTGCTCCTCGTAAGCCACACAGCAGTCATAAGAGTCAATTATGATAAACAAGAGATCTTTATTCACAATTGACAACAGCAACACATACAAACATCTGCAGCGTTCAGAGCCATCTGTTGTTACAGACTGCTCAATCAGCCCGGTGTGTGCATGAATCTTCCTGTTAGACATAAACCATTGTCTTCAGAGTGTGTGAGTGAGTGTGTGTGTGTGTGTGTGTGTGTGTGTGTGTGTGTGTGTGTGTGTGTGTGTGAGAGAGAGAGAGAGAGAGAGAGAGAGAGAGAGAGAGAGAGAGAGAGAGAGAGAGAGAGAGAGAGAGAGAGAGAGAGAGAGAGAGAGACTTTTGGAGACAGTCTGGTTTGCACTCACAGGGCTAAGACTCCCTGTATGTGGTATCTGAGCTGTCTGTGTGTGTGTGTCTGGCCAACTCAGTCTGACCTGCCATCTGAATGTGGTATTTCACAGCCCCTTTCCAGAAGGAACCACAGTAAAAGATAGTGAAATAAGCCAATTAACATCAGGTAATAATGAGCTCCTCTAACAGTCCCAGGGGAAGAACATTTGGAGTTCCCAGAGGTCAGTCTGAGCAACTCCTGGGATTGTCACAGTGTCCTCAGTGCTTTTAGGCAGAAACAACAACATTATCTGCCTCCAATCTGTTTTGCTACAGCAAAGAGGAAGAAGCTGTATCATGACTGGCTACATAAACAAAATGTAGAGTTGAATTTAGGCCTTTCATGCAAAACTTAATTTTGTTGCATTGTCAATTGATTCCAATGCTGACTAACAACTAGATAGAAGTAAACAGCATAAAAGCTCCCATGAGGAGTTTGACCATTGTGAAATAGACTGATATTTAAACTGATGTCCTCTCATGATTTCAAGTAGTATACAAGACCATCAGGCACAAGATTGGCAATTTGTATATTGTCATTTTCATAGTCTGTAACTGGTGTGAGGGGTTAGGTGTCACCTGAAGAGATGAAGAAACTTGTGTTTAGATAAGTAAGACAGCTTTGTCCACAGAAAATGAACACAACTAAAAGTGCTTCGCAGAAGCTTTATTCACAGATCTGATCACAGTACTATTTTTAGACAACTGAGTATTTGCCAGCATGAGAAAGTCCGCCTTGAAATATTTTGCTTTGATTAAATTTAACAGTCTGTAATTTCTATAAGATTTTCTAATGTCCCATTAAATTCAGTGAGATTGGATTTTTATGACTTCTTTCGGTGTGAAAGTAGATGCATATGCTCTGGAGGGCACTCTCACAAAAAAAACAAAAACAAACACGTGATGGCAGACTTTTGCCCCCCTTTTTCGCCATGGAACTGATGTCCAGCTGGTGTCCTGTCTCTGCACATTTGCTGTCTGTCTCAAGCCAGAGGATGCTACTAATTACTTTTTGAGACATGACAAGTGAGACTAGAGACAACAGAATTTCCCTTCGGGGATGAAATAAAGTTATTATTATTCTGATTCTAAATTAACGTACTTAAGTTTCTCTAGGAAGGTTCTTTTTCTTAGAGGTATTCTTTGTGGTGTTATGCTGATCTGAGTTAAACTGTTGGCAACACTGCCCCCATGGTTTCAAGAATCAAATATATCAATGAAAATGACTGTCAACTCCCTGATGCTTAACTAGTTTAGTGGTGTATATTCATACCAGCTCCCTACCCCTTTAGCCACTATGGCTGAAGCAGGGAAAAAAAGGAGAAAAAAAACATAGAAAAAGGAAGGTCAGATTGGACTTGTAGGGATATTGTTTTCCTTCACTAAATTACCCATAATTCCATATAAAATTCTCACAGTAAAATTGCTAAAAACAGGCTCAATTTGTAATAATCTGATTCTATCCTCTTTATTAGACCACAGTTATTGCTACTCACTCTACTAGTCTTGAGCCGTTTCGTACAATAATCCAGTTCAGTATAATCCACTAATTCAGGATAATCAGTTTTAGACCTCTGTGATCCAGTTCAGTTCATTAAAATCCTGTTTCAGTCTGCTATAATCTGGTTCAGACCCGCTCAGTTCACACAGTGAGGATGTGAATGTGTCTCTGGTCTCAGCGGGATATGGGTCCTCTCAGTGTCTCTCTCTCTGCCTGAGTGAGTTTATGATTGAGCGGCTAAGTAGACAGATGGAGGAAGGTGTGTGTGTGTGTGTGTGTCTGCATGAGTCTGTCTGTACCAGCAGTAACTTTCCCTGGTTTTGTGGTTTCAGCCAGACTGCACTGACCCCTCACATACAAATACACATTCACAGTGTCTTAGTTATGTTGATCCTAGACCAAAGTGTATCTGGCCACATCCTTGTGTATACGAAAAATACTGCATGCCATGTCTTGTCTTGTGCATATGAGTTTGTGTGTGTTTGTCAGGATGGGAGCAAAACAGGAGTAATCCTGGCTGGTTGAGTGCACCTCAGACTGACTGTACCACAATTATGGCTACAATCAACCCTCCATGATGTATTTTTGGCAGCGTGAATTTGATTTCAGTAGCTACATTCATGGGAACAAAAGAAACAAGGGACAGGAAGATCGTCCTACACACTCCTCTCTCTCTCTCTCTCTCTGACAAAGGTCCTTCCAGCTGCTCTCAGCTGTCTTGTGGCAATAATATCAACATGCAACTGTAGCCTGTGACAACACAACGCAGCAATTCCTCCCCACATGACGACCAAACACGTATGCACTTATATCAACCTGCTCAGTCATGATTCAGAACTACCAACAGGGATGTAGACAAGGATTTGGCCTTGTTTGGATTTGAACGATTCGAGTCCTGATACTGATTCCTCGTTTTGATTCTGACTCCTAAGGATTCTCAATTTAGAGTTCTTTTAAGAGAAAGGGGAAAGAAAAAAATGCAGATTTTGAATGAGGGCACTAACCAGAGTTCTTTTTGGATAAAAATGTCTTCACTTAGCAAATCAGTTAATTTTCTTTTATTTTGACCATTTTAGGTCTAAATTATGGGTTAAGTTAACTGAATGTTGTGGAGCAGCCACCTGATTCAGTGGCTCAGTGGTAGAAGTCCGATCAGGTCCCACTATCCACTAGGGCTGTAACCACAAAAATGAAATACTCCAGTTATCCAGGGGTCTGGCATCACCTCAGCCCACTCGTGTTTATGTCTGCTCCTTTGAGAACACTTTAGCCCACAGCCAAATGAAAAATGAGAAGTAGCAATATGTAAATTCAGTACCAAAGAGATAGAGATGAAGTGAGGAAGCACACTGAATGTGTTACCATTAGGCTACCAAGTTGAGCTAACTGCTCTCTCCAGCACTGAACTGAGCAGCTGATGCTGGTGTCAGCGAACAGCCTGGAGCAGGTAAACCTTTATCCGAGTTGTAAAATACAACACTGAAAGTGGCAGGCACACAGGCCTTACAGACCCTGTCACAAAGTATTTGGATGAGAAGATGCAGTCAGAGCTTTAGAAACTTGACAAGCCGTACATGTTTCACAGAAAACAAACTAATGGTTTGCAATCACTTTAGTATGCTCAGGAGTATAATATAGTATAGTATGCTCCTATTGGTCAATCTCCTGCTCCGCCTCTCCATCCAATCACCTCAATGTATTTGACACACCCCTCTCCCGTAGTTCCGACTTGTCCCCTCCCACTCTCCCGGGCCTCCTCAGAGCGGCTCAAAGTAGCGTAGCAGCTTAGCTACAGGAGCTGTGTTAGAGAAAGACGCAAAAAAAAAAAAAAAAACTTCTGCTTGCCCAACCACCAAAAGTGCTAAGAAAACGAAAGCTGACAGAAGAAAGGACAGAGTCTAAGAGGAAATGTGACCAAGTGAACAGGTCATTTTTGCTTTTTATTGTGGCACATGTTTCATAAATAACTCTTATCAGTCTCTGCAATGTCAACACGGTAGCTGTCGAAGCAGCTGCAGACGGTGCTCGCTAGCAGAGCTGGCGTTTACTGCTGCTAGTCACTAGCAATCCAACATGATTATTACTATTCAAAGCTAGCCTGGGATCTTCTGCCGGCCGGCTTCTTGCTCTGCCAGAGGGGGTGTGTCGTGGGGAGGGTGATACAGGTTTGAGGGGGGGGTTACCCTGGAGCACAGAGGGGAGAGGTTCGTGTGTGACTTTTTCAAATCTGCCTCAACGGCTCAGTTTTTTTCAACTTCTTCTCAGATTGTCAACCATGCCTTTAATTTTGTAGTAAACAAAAGTGAAAATAGTAAACAAACAGGAAAACAGATGGCCTTATATTAAATTATGATTTGCACTCAAGTGAGTAATGAAAATGAAAAATGTGTTTCAAAAACATTAGAGAAAAGCAGCATAAAGGACATGTTAATCTTTGTGTACATAATGAGACAGGGTGCCTTCTTGATGCACTTTCATAGTTCCTGGGACTGGATTAGGCCACAGAGCCACTGTTTCCCCACATTTGTGATGTCTTCCTTCTTTCACCTCAAAAAGTCTCACAGATGATTGTGTGGACAGATTTTCCAGCAGAGCACCGGCATCTGAGATGTCTTGATACTTAAATCACTGTAATTCTAATAAGACTTATCACGCTTGGTTATAAAGCAAGGTTATATGCTTGCTTTAACACTGTTAGTTTAAATGTGCATGCAACACTAAAATAAATCATGTACCCATGTCTGCCACTCTCTCTCTGTCTGCTGGTAAAAAAGTGGCATAGAAACAAACATGACAACAAGAAGGCCGGAAACAGCTACAAAGAGAGGCAAAATGATTTCAAAGAGCAACATAATAGCTGCAAAAGATGTGTCATTTGTAGTCATTTTCTGAGTCTCTTCCCTTAGTGGACCTGTCTTTTATGCCAGTAAAGTAGTGGACCTGTTTCAAATCCAAACTGAGAGATCCATCGTTTTATTTTACATGTTGAACACACTCTTACAACTTGACTGTTTTCATAGGTGATATTTGATGATTTGATGATCTACACCATCATCCTCACATCCGCCTTTTTTTTAGGCCGCCAGGCTGTGGGAAGTCATCATGGTCACTACCATCATCATAATTATTTGCACATGCTTTTGTTCAATTGTTTTAAGCATCCCAACCACCCAAGTCATTGTCATATGTTATTTATACTAACCCGGACCTCTGAAAAGCACTTTTCTTAATGCAGCATTTATCCCACTGTGGCCTCTCAGGCTTGATAGCCTCTTAGCAGGCTAACGGCTTAAAATAACTGCTGTTATCAGGTCTTAATCAACCAACAGCAACAAAAAGATGTGTGAAACATGTCAAGGCATAATAAGCTGGTGAAAATTAATCTACAGCTAGTACAAAATAACACTGGCAAAATTGAGGCACGACGTCAGCACTGACATACACTGATCCAACAGTACTCTCGTACTGTGCAGATGAAATTATCCTCCCTCTATGAAACATGGGAACTACAACAGTTGTAACTACAACATTAAAACTGTCTCAGCTGGTGCCACCCCTAAAATGTTGATAGTGCGTAAAATCTGTCCTTATTTAGGAATTACATACAAACAGAGCTAAGTTTGAATTTGAGTGTGGATGTGAGGTGCTTAAATTTAACCAAAGCAGAGTGTCATAACGTTATAGTTCCATATTTCAAAATGTAATATTATGAAGCAACCCTCTAGAAACTCCACAAGTTTTTAGCTTAAAGCGAACATTTTTAGACACGTTTGAAATGTAAAATGAACTATACAAGGATGATCAAATATGAAGACACATTTAGATTGAGGGCATGAAACACTAAAATTGAAACCTTAGTACCATTTCTGTTCCAAGGAATAAAGTACAAAATACACTGCTGATGCATCATCAGAGCCCCAAAAACTTTGGATTCCCTGGTTCACTTTCACCCACATGTTAACTTGAAGATTGAGAGTAGGAACCAAAAAGCAAAAGTAACTGAGATTTATACGTAATAATTGAAAGCTATCCCGGACTCTTCAGTGCAATCAAACAGTCTGTGTCACGAGTGAATGAATGTCTGATTGTTGCACCATGCTTGAACCAGCTCAGCTGTGAATGAGCTGCCTGAGCAAAGTGCAGTCCAGTGTGACTTTGTTTTGCCTCTAGCATTGAGCTATTACACTGCATCAAAACATTACATAATCCTGACATCTAGTAGTGTGTGAAACTTGGCCCAGAAATATGTGTCACTGGCCATCATGACTCACAGAATACATTAGCTGAATGTTAAGCACCATTTATATTTGACATTTCCTGCTTGTTTCAGAGGGGAAGGCCTCTGTTTGATAAAGAATATTTTGGCCCGATTATTTTTGATTGACTTCAACCTTCACAGTGTTGTTCTCAGGTTTTGCTATCGGGATCTGGAAGTTGTGCAGTTATATCCACAGCAAAATTTATCACAGTGAGACGCATTAGTTTAGAAGTAAACAGCCGTCATCTCTGCAGCAGCGTTTTAGAACTTACAGGGTTATAAGAAACTCCAAAGATTTCTGCTGACTGACATTTCTATTCACAGACGGGCTACATTCCCAGGCTCAAGCAGCACATATTCTGAGAAACCACACACACACACACACACACACACACACACACACACACACACACACACACACACACACACACACACACACACACACACACACACACACACTTACCTGACCAACAGTGGACTATCAACCCAGACTGACCAAGAGTGGACCCCTATTTCTGGTCATTTTAATAAAACAAAACTCTAACAGAAAATTTTCTTTTAAGGTAATATTGATACTGATAATACTGATAATTATTTAAACATTTCTCTCTGAGAAACAGAGAAATTTGGTGTCAGGAGAAAAAACATTTCCTAGTCTTTGGCAGACTTTTGAGTTTGTATTATTATTAGGGCTGTCAATCGATTAAAATATTTAATCGCGATTAATCGAATTGTGATCATAATTAATCATGATTAATCACAAATTGATCGGATATTTTTGATCCATCTTTTTTAAATTGTTATACTTTTATCAACATGAGAATCAACATGAGAACAGATCGTGGATTTTCGTGGTAATGGTGGTCCTACAAGGTAATTCATATGTCCAGTCATTGGATGCGATCCGTATGATTTCACGCAGACCAACGTCCTGCACAATGCTAATCGGCCGACAAGCGGTAGCCACCCATTTAGCGATTTCTGTTTCAAGTTTGCATTTAGTAGAGCTCTCCATCTGTTTACCTTGCACATTCAGCGTTGTTTGCTTGAGGCGGGTGGGGTGGGGGGCTGGGGGCGCGGGGCTCTCTGCATCAGCTGTGTGCTTGGCCGACAAGTGATATTTGAGACTAGACACTCCGGTGACTAAATTCAGCTCGACAGGAAACACAAATGACTTTTGTCCTGTCAAGAGAGCCATCTGGCAAGGCTTTGTAGCTGAACTTTCTGTTCAAAATCGTGTTCTTATCCATTATATCCTAGTTACTGCTCACGGGGATTTGTTTATGTCTGCTGCGGTATCAGTCAGTGCTCTACTTCCTGATTCACGAAACTACGGAGTGCCCCGAGGCTCACATAGCCTGGACACCTCATCAACTGTTCCTCTACTCTTTTACAACGGCAAGAATATCCACGCAGTGTGTGTATAGTTTGATCAAGCCAGGCTAAGGCTTGCGTTAATCGTGCGTCAAAAAAATTAGTGGCGATAAAAGTCACTTGAGTTAACGCGACAATAACGCATTAACTTTGACAGCCTTAATTATTATTATTATTATTATTATTATTATTATTATGAGTAGTAGTAGTAGTAGTAGTAGTAGTAGTGTGTAATTATTAGCTGCCAGTCAAAAAAATGCTATTTTCTTCACAACAAAGTACAAAATGGAAAAAAATTAAACACATAACATGATTCAGGGGGACTCAACTGATAAAATGATATGCCTTACTACTTTGAAAGAAATTTGGGCACAAACGGGTTAATCTAATTGAAAATTGAAATACTTTGACAGCACTAAATATATATGTATACACACACACACACATATATATATATATATATATACACTCACCGGCCACTTTATTAGGTACACCTGTCCAACTGCTCGTTAACACTTAATTTCTAATCAGCCAATCACATGGCGGCAACTAAGTGCATTTAGGCATGTAGACATGGTCAAGACAATCTCCTGCAGTTCAAACCGAGCATCAGTATGGGGAAGAAAGGTGATTTGAGTGACTTTGAACGTGGCATGGTTGTTGGTGCCAGAAGGGCTGGTCTGAGTATTTCAGAAACTGCTGATCTACTGGGATTTTCACGCACAACCATCTCTAGGGTTTACAGAGAATGGTCCGAAAAAGAAAAAATATCCAGTGAGCGGCAGTTCTGTGGGCGGAAATGCCTTGTTGATGCCAGAGGTCAGAGGAGAATGGCCAGACTGGTTCGAGATGATAGAAAGGCAACAGTGACTCAAATAACCACCCGTTACAACCAAGGTGGGCAGAAGAGCATCTCTGAATGCACAGTACGTCGAACTTTGAGGCAGATGGGCTACAGCAGCAGAAGACCACGCCGGGTGCCACTCCTTTCAGCTAAGAACAGGAAACTGAGGCTACAATTTGCACAAGCTCATCGAAATTGGACAATAGAAGATTGGAAAAACGTTGCCTGGTCTGATGAGTCTCGATTTCTGCTGCGACATTCGGATGGTAGGGTCAGAATTTGGCGTCAACAACATGAAAGCATGGATCCATCCTGCCTTGTATCAACGGTTCAGGCTGGTGGTGGTGGTGTCATGGTGTGGGGAATATTTTCTTGGCACTCTTTGGGCCCCTTGGTACCAATTGAGCATCGTTGCAACGCCACAGCCTACCTGAGTATTGTTGCTGACCATGTCCATCCCTTTATGACCACAATGTACCCAACTTCTGATGGCTACTTTCAGCAGGATAATGCGCCATGTCATAAAGCTGGAATCATCTCAGACTGGTTTCTTGAACATGACAATGAGTTCACTGTACTCAAATGGCCTCCACAGTCACCAGATCTCAATCCAATAGAGCATCTTTGGGATGTGGTGGAACGGGAGATTCGCATCATGGATGTGCAGCCGACAAATCTGCGGCAACTGTGTGATGCCATCATGTCAATATGGACCAAGCTCTCTGAGGAATGCTTCCAGCACCTTGTTGAATCTATGCCACGAAGAATTGAGGCAGTTCTGAAGGCAAAAGGGGGTCCAACCCGTTACTAGCATGGTGTACCTAATAAAGTGGCCGGTGAGTGTAGATGTGCAGAGCAGAAATTCAACCACCACTTTACGCCTCAGGTGAATTATTTTATGACTTGATTTGTTTGATGATGAATCTAGATTCAAAGTGTTTCTTAAACTTTTTAAAATCCTTTCAGTTTTTGTGGAGGTAATTTGGCTCTGCAAAACGGAGAGGGAAAGCATATTCAAGTTTCTATCATTGAACCTCTTCTCTCACAATTAACACATTCCTCCTTTTTATAAAAAGTAATATTTCAGCTGTCATCACCTCTTAGAAAAACCAATGCTTTTCCATAAAAGCTTGAATTCAGTCCTAGATGTTGTAAAGCGAGAAGTGAAATATGTCAGAGATCTGTTGAGTCCCATCACAGGAGATCGTGTCATCCTTAGATATTTGTCTGACAGTTTGACAATAACTGTGAGTTAACAGAGAATTTGAAGTTTCAGCTTGTTAGCTGGATGAACAAACATTTCTTTGAGTCACCTTGGACTTGAAGCAAGCATTGTGGTGCATTTTATCCTTACTTGACTGTGTGCGTTCATGGGTGTCCAGAATGATTACCTTGTGTGACAGTGCGGAGGATGATGAGGGTGGAGAGTATGCGTGTATGAGGACAGGGACTGCGGTAAAGGGGCCAGCCTCTGCAGGGTCCGGCAGCAGCAGCAGCAGCAGCCACACTGCAGGACTTGGGCACATCTGGATCATCAGAGGTCGTTAGCTGAGCTGACGGCTTTGACACTTGCTCCCCAATTCGCCTCAGAGTAGCAGATAAAGCTACATGCTGTGCAAACATAGAGGCACAGACAGTCATCCATATAAATTCAACATCTATGACTGTGTATGCACTCAATTACTCCTGTTATATAACTGAAAATAACCCTGGTATGGCTACAATGATCCTCAAACATCAGCACTGAACATACAGAGGCCGCCTGTCAGAAAGCCTGCAGGTTTCTACGTAGACTTCTCCAAATAACTGATGCAGCCAATAAATCAATTTGGCAAGCTCTCTCCAGCAGGACTACAGATGGGGAGGCTGTGGATAGAAAATTGGGGGCCACGAGCGAGGGGTAAGGGCTGGGGCACATCTCACACTCAGGACTGGGAGGTTGGGTAATGATCTGAAGCTAAACGGAGTGCCTGCAGCGCAGTGAAGAAAAATTAAGCGATAAAGTGGATAACCCCTGCTTCAAGTAGATGTTTATTCCCTGAGGGAAAAAACCGTGTCTGTTTCAGTTTCTTCTTCATGATGCTGTGGAATTAACTCAGGAGCTCCCTGTAAACCAACTTTCCTCTCTGTCAAGGCCGAAAAGGAAATCATCTCCGATCAATCTCCTGAGTTGAGGGTGTTTGACAGCACAGTTTGTTTATTACAAAGCAAAAGAGATGCTGCCAAGAGAGGAAATGATTTCAAACATTTTTTTTTTTTCCTGGATTAAGTTTCTCTTATACCTTTAGCTGGCATTAGGAAATGAGAAACAAACAGACCAAGATCATTTTGTTTAGAGGCTAGAGCATCAGGATTTCAGAAACTTCAAATTCAGATACTCTTTAATGGAATCCAGAAGCACTCCACATTAGTTGTACTCCGATTACTGTCATACTGGTTGATTTTAATCTTCTATTACTAATTCATGCCTTTACCTGTGTGCTGCTATCCATGTGTCTCAAAGCCCAGTGGATGAGACGAAGAACACTGAGGAGGAGCTCATCTTCTGACGGAGGAGTGTTATGAAGCTGATCTGCTAATAACGGTAACACCTAGGAAACAGAAAATCGTTTCAATTTGGTTATGATCATATTTTTGTGCCTACTGCGTTCATTCTTTTTACAGTCATGATAACCGAAACATGTATGAAATTATACAGATCACAGTGAAGCTACTGTAAGCACACCACCTTAAGGCATCTCTCATTGAGTAAGACCTCTGGAGGAAGACACTGGTTAACACTTGTCATGTAGTTTCCTGCTGCTGATGACAATATCTGTCCATCAAGTACCCAGTCCAGAAGGAGGGAAAGAAGCTTTGAGGTGTGACTTGATCTGCCCTGAAGGAGGAGGGTCAAAATCAACAGCATGAACTTTTGTTGTGACATACTTCATCTGCCAGTTTGAGATTTTGCCTTGAATTCTGCTCCAGAGGGATGCAGGATTTGAAAAATGTGACTTGAATTAATCAGGACGTCTATTTAAAGTTTAGCCGTGCGAAATACAGGTACATTTGGAAGAGTGTGAATATTGTATTGTCAGTGGAGGCCAAAGGTGTTGATTAAACTGTGTTATTGTCTGGTTATAGAATGGCATATTTGGCTCACTCAGTCTTTATCAAACAGGAGGAAAAGAAAAAGTGCAGATTAACTTCTTACACTCAGGATTCATCTCAGCAACAAAAGGGATCATTTGTTGGATTGATGTGTGAATGAGAATTTTGTATTTATCCAACAATAATTAGTCAAGTAAATGAAGTGAAACAAACTAGTTTGAAACAAATTTTACTGACTGGGAATAAACTGCACTGTAACAAAAGAAACAAACACAGAGATGCAGGATTGCACTACCTTGTTGCTTGGTTTGCCAGGAGCTGCTGTGTTTTCCTTTTTGGATGGTTTCAAAGACTCAGTGCTCTTAACATTCACTCTTTGACCTCTTGATGCTTCATGTTGCTCATATTTCCTCTGACAAAAGAAAAAGACTTTTGTCAATAAATGTCTGCATTTAAGGTGAAAAAAGTATTCATTTTGAAAATTGCATGACAACAGTATCAAAACAGTGACCATGCTCCATGCATGTTGTCAAATGTTCCTACCTGGAGGTTGTCAAATCGAGCCTGCACCCTCTTTGCCTGGCTCTCCAACTTTTGATTTTGTTCACTGATCTCCTTTAACTGTTGATTTCAAAACACTGAATGTTTACCTACTGTACAGATAACTCATGATATTTGCCAGGTTACAGTTATATTATAGTGCCCCCTTGTGATCACTAGTATTAGCTGTAAGTTATGGGGTCTTTCAAACAAAATGAATCAAAGATCTGAAAGGATGTTCTTTCCATACAATGCACAGGTGAAGTCAAGTGTTGTTTGTCTCTAGTACATTGTCATAATTAGTGTCTTAAGACTCTACTTCACTCTACTCTAAAAGAAACAAAAAACAGATCATATAAAAGAACAAAAAAACACTCAAAAACATAGAATGATCTTAAAATTCTGTCCTAAAGAAAGTCATAAAGCTGCACTTCAGAAAAGCATCCATATAAATTAGATATAAAATCATAAACTTCTTTTTAGATAAAAGAACTTTGCTGCAGATGCTCTGAAATTTGTCTTTGTCCTTATTAACTTGTTAATTGTTAACTTTCCACAGGACTTTGACAAACCTTGAACATATAAAAAAAAAATAATAATAATTATCCGCTTCATACCTGTTTCCTCATGTCATCATTCAAGGCCTTAATGGTGTCAAAGCTGGATTTCAGCCTCCTGTTCTCTTTGTTCTTCTCTCCAAGAAGATCCTGAAGCTGGCCCAACTCTTGTTTGTGTTTCTGGTAAAAAAAAAAAAAAAAACATACACACATTCATTATGAATGTTCAAGTTATGATAACAGCGAAATCACAACAAGACTACTTTGGCTTTACAGTATGCTTCCCTTGATTAAATCTTTTATTCTATGAAAGTCTTTCTGTGAACTCCTCTTGTGTTGGGATGTTGTTACTGACAATTTTTGCTCATTTAGATCTGCCCAACAGGTCTGAGCATTTTGGACAGCACTGTAGCTTCAGCTGGCATTGCAAATTTTAAGATTGTTTCTATTTTCTTTATTTTTTATTTGCTTAAGGGAACCTTCCCAAAAGGATAAATAAAGTTGTCTCTAATCTAATTTAATCTAAAAACATACCTGAGCCTTTTTTTCCAATCACATAAAATGTCAGAAAACTAGAACCTACAGCATGCACGTCCTTTAGTTTTGACCTGTTTTCATAAGTATAGAGTAAGATTTACCTCAACGTTAGGGGAAGAATGTTTTCTGAATGTAATCTTTAATCCCATCAGTATGCAAATACATTTTCAATGTAATGCTCATATTAAGTTTAAAGCTGTTGTATGACTGTGAAATATGAATTTCCATCAGTCGAAACATGAGCTAATCAGAGAGACAAAGACTAAAAATGTGGCTTTATGGGGCCTATGAGTGTCTAACCTCCTCTGTAGCAAGTATGTGAGAGTGTAACATCTCCTCAAGACCAGCCAGCTTCCCAAAAGCTTCCTCCTGCTGCTTCAGCCTGCTTTCTCGTTTCTGCAGCTCCATCTCCCACCGTTGCTGGCTTTGTCGCTCTGTCTGCTCATACACACACATACAAACACGCACTAATTGATCCGTACTGTACCTGATCTGCAATGAAACTCTTGTTATCTGCACAATTTTTGTCTCTTTAACCCATTACTTTCTTTTGCAAATACATTTCCAAGTTAAGGTAAAATAAAACATACCAAATACCTTTTACTGTTTGGTCTTTTCAGCATTTGGATTTTCTGAAAATCAGACATGAAGAGGGTTCAGGTCTCACCTTAAGCTGTTCATAAATGGTCATCATTTCCTGGTACACCTCTGCTAGGACTAAAGTGGAGGATCGATTTGAGTCAGAGGGTCGATGAGCTCTCTTCCCATTGGTCCGAGTTTCCTGGGATCCAGGGCTACCATCAAGACAGGAGGGCAAGGTCACATCTGGATGTTATGGTATATTGATGATAGAAATAGACCAAACAAGCTCATTATCCAACCGAAAACATCAATTTGAGTTCAGTTACAAAGGCCTCTTTTATTATTCATGATCTTGTCAAGTCATTCACTCAAAATCTGCCTCCAAGATTTCCACTAAAGAGGGACCTTTCAGTTTATTCAATACCTGATTATTTAAATTCACTGTCACGTGACTGTTTCAAATAAGCACAAACAAAGCAAAGCAGAAACACAAAAGCACACACCTGTTTCTGTAAACAACACCTGAGAATCCTGAAACTGGTCAGCAGTTGAGTCCTTGCTCTGGTCTCTATTGCTGCCGTAAGGACTCTGGTCTCTGCCAAAGCTTAGAAAAGACAACTAAACATTATAACCAAAGCGTAGTAATGGCAAATGGTAGGATTAATCTCATTACACTTACTCATCAGGATGGTTTGTCGCTGCCTTTAACAAATGGTGTAAAGCTTTGCTATAACATTTCATGTCTTTGCTGAGGTGTTTGGATCTGCTGGTGAAAACAAGCCTCTGTATCTCCTCTATGATAAAGAAAATAAAGCAGAGTTAGCAGAGAGGGGTCACAGCTAGAAGTGTCTGTTTGTTTCATATGATACATCATCGAAGACTTTATTGAAACAAACCCTGCAGATTACCACTTTGACTTGCAATTTCCAGCATAAATGCCGGGGCAACCTAATGCAACTGAATACAACAGTATTACCGTAAATCATATTTTCATAAATCTTCTACATTTTCAGTTGTTGTTGACAGGATCAGACAGTAAGGTAAGAAGAACTTTGGATCAGAAGAACTTTATTAATCCCCCAGGAGAAATTCGATGTGGTTATTGTGCCTTATTAAAGAAGTGTGATACAGAAAGTGGTTCCTAATAATTTGCAGCTCTTTTGTTTGCAAATTTTAACAAAAAAAGGACTGTTCATAGTGTTATGGCCTGTTAGTTTACACACCATTTTCCAAATATACAGAGTTTCCTGCCTGACCATTTTCTTCTGTGGTATAAAATAAATAAATAAATAAAAATAGAGGCAGAAACTCACAAATTCAGTGGATGCGAGAATTAAGGTGATATCAAAGAGGGGCTTGTATGATAAAATGCGATTTTGTCTTTTAAAATGTTTTGTTTAAAATAGATTTTGATTTCAATGAACATGACCTCCCGATGCTGCAAAATCAACAAATGACCATTTTCAGATCTTTAAAACCTTTAAAATGTTTTTGAAAAGTTGTTGTTCATAATAATATGGAACAAACTTATTCTTGCAAGAAAAAGGTTATCATTTGGAGGCATGTTGAATAAAATTGGAATCACGCTCTAATGATTAATGACTTGAAAATGAAACTGACTGTCATTTGCACAGACTATTTAGGAAAATCAGAGAAATTTTAGGGGTCATTCCATGAAATCGGTGCCTTTTGTGTCCCAAAGAAGTAATCATTCATAAAATTATGATAACAACAAATAAATATGTAATTTAAAATACAACATTACCATGTCTTCTCTCCTTAATATAACATTAAATTAATGTCAATTAAATATCATTTTAAATAATTAAAATTACTTTTATGCTGATGAGGGTGAGGTTTTTGGCCTGTCCCTCACTACTATTGCTGTCGTATACAGGACTTTTAATTTGTAAAATGTTTGCAAAATGTTAAAATTTTCACATTTACATATTGTTTTAAGTATGATCTTATTGTTAAACAGTGTTTTTGGTAATAATGTATATTAGTCATTATAAATATTTAGCAATTTATTAGCGTCCCCTGATTTCATGTCAACCCTGTTACCCGAACTAAAAAACCCTAAAAAAAATAATCGTACATTCCAGATTTGACATGATTGACAGGAGGTTGCATCCTCTCTGAGCCAGGATGCTAACAGCTCAGTGACAATTAAGTTTTCTCATCTCTGATGTGCTATTTTTTTATGTTTTTTCAAGGTTTAACCAGGGGGGACAGGAACAATGTCAACCCTGTTACCATTTTTTAACATATAAACCTAAACAATTTCTATTTCTCAAAATATAATCAATATCTACAAGTAATTACCTTTCAAAGTACCTAGCTTGCACTTGTTGTACTCTCTTAAAAGGTTAACCTTTTAAAATCAAAACATTTTTAGGTCATCAAGTGAACATTATCGAGCTAATAAATATTTTTGTTTGATTGATTGATTGATTGATACGCCGTTGGAGAGCCAGTTACTAAGTGTCCGGTTAGTTTTACTCTTGTCAGCCCTGTTACCATAACGTAACCGGTTTTTGTCATTAATTTGATAAAAATGTAAAAAATGACAACTCAAATGGGCTTTCAACACTTACCATTATAATCTAAATTACATTATATTTTAGATTGGGCCATTTTTCATCATTTATCTTCTAAAAAATATCTGATGTATGTTCAGATGTGATCGCCATGCAAAATTAGGGTATATTTGATCATCTGAATGACAAAGCTCTAATTGGAGAAAAAAAGTCCACAAAATAAAATAATTTCAATGAAAAGAGAGACTAAAGTACTGCTCATATATGTACCATATATTGCATATTTCTAATTAGAAATATTGTATTTTGTTAAGTTTATGTCGGTAACAGGGTTGACAAGATTATGAAAACAGCCAGGAGAAAAACGATTATAAAATATGAAATAACAGCCTGAGATGGCACAATATAATTTCCTGCCATTTTAAACATTCTTTGACTCCTAGGTACTTAAAAATTAAATATAGATTAAATTTTAAATTTTCTAAGTTAAAAAGGCACCGATTTCATGGAATCACTCATTGTTTGCATAATAATTTGAAATAACAGTAATTGATAGTGTCAGGGGTCCGGAGTGAGATCTACTTACCATCACTGGCTCCTGGGGTTATATCATCAGATTGTGGTATCTAAAAATCACATGAGCTTGTTTAGTTATTTTTAATTTGACCTCAGTGTTCAGAGTGAGAGTATTACAGCTAGAAAGAGTAAAAGTCTAAATGATCACCCTCAGGTTAGACAAAGTTTGTGCAATGATACTTGAAATAAAGTAAAGACAAACCTGTTTCCCTCTTTTCACATACTTCAGCATGAGTCTCTGGACTGGATCAGCTGTTCTTTGGTCTTTAAACTGCAGGTCCATGACTGATGTAGTTCAGTAAAATTAACTAGCACACCGCAGTATGGCTGCAAGACACTAAACAAATACAACTTTAGGTTTTAACTTTCCGTGAAAACTTACTACAGTGAGTACCTGCTGTGTGGGTGACAATAGTTTCATATCTCTGTAAACCAATGTCCTCTGAAGCTCTGTAGACCTCACCTGTGTCAGAGCAGCTTCAAACAAACAAACGAAGCTCAATGATCCAAACTTGGCGCAGCGGTGGTCACGTGAGGTCAAAGCTATTCTTTCTTTCAGCAGCGCCCTCTAGCGGGAGGAGGAGAGAACTGACCTGCTCATTTTAGTTAACGCAGAGAGAGATTTCAAAGCTGAGACATTTAAAAAATCGGCGGATTAACCGATAATCAGACCCCCCCCCCCATAATCAGTATCGGCATTGGTCCCAAAAAAATCCTTATCGGTCAGGCCCTAAAATAAACATATCCTATTATAATGGAGTCATAATGATGTCATCTTTGAAACCGTGTCTGATTATTGTTAAATTTTTGTCCCTCCAAGTCTTCAAATTCAGAAGGGCTGTATTCTAACATAGGAGCAAAGCATGGTCTTGCATTTAAAAATTGTCCAGCACTGGTGAGATCTCGGCCATTATTTGGAGAAAGGAGAGTTCATTAATCTAAAGCAAATATGCCAGTTACAAAAATCAAAAAAGTTTCAACAACTTTCTGTTTTTACTGTCCTAAAGGCAAAGCCTTTCTTTTTGAGACTGATCTATGGAGAAACTTTCTGAAACTAAAATGCAATGACAACACAAAGCCTGAAGGTGTCAGTGTCTTATAAGAGATCACATCATCAGGTGCTGCTTTGTTCTGTGTGGTCTGCCCCAGAGCAGTGGATTAAAACACTGCTCTGGTCTGCCCTATCAAAGGACACTAGCGCTGTCTTTACACTTTGTAAGATCTGGTTTCAGTCCACACTAACAAATGCCTTGTTTGTATTGACCTGACTTTGTTTTCTACAAGTGCTCTTGAATTATTGATAAAAATAAATGTATGCATTAAATTCTAAACAAACAAACAACCAAAAAAAATATATATATATAAAACTTTAGTTTGCAGTATTCACAGAGCAAAATCGTGGTGGCATTTACCTGCATACATCCATTGAAATACAAAGACAAGAATAAAAATGTACTATATTAAAATAACAGTTGAGTCCAGACAGGGAGCTGCGGCTCAGTGATTCAGCGGGTTGCTTCTAAATTGGGTGGTGTGAGTTCAATTCCAGCTTGTTGTAGCATCTGCCATTAGTGGGTGAATGTGGTGTGTAACTTGAAGCATACTATTTAACAACAGTGCCACAGTATTGTTTTCAGCTCACTTCCATATCAATCACAGCCACACTCTGAGAAGCAGCAGTGATGACAAAAGACAGTAAACTAGGTTGTTGGGGATAACCACAGATTAACCCCGAGTGCCTCTCTTGCCCAAGCACTAAGTTCGTACCAAGTTTGCCCACGACTTCAACAGTCTACAACTAGGCTTCAAGATTAATGGCATCTGTCTCTGTTTGGCTAATTAGTAACCAGGACCATCAATACACACTCTCATGATTCCACCTCTCAGCCCCTGAAGGCTTTAGCAGACATGGAGAGAAATTAGCTGGCACACGCACTAACACTGATCTTCATTAAACAGCTATTTGCTTAGTCCACTTTGCATGGAAATCAATGTTCTGTTGTGTTCACTGGACATTCAGATTTCTTTGTTGTTTGAGTGTGCTGTAAGGAGTGTTGGAATATGAGAGGTGCATTTTAACCATGCATGTGAATATGGAGAGAGGTTTATAGAGTAATTATGGCAAAGTTGTACATTAGGGTAAGAGTAAGGTTGAGGTCAAGAGCCTGGCACAGGCATTTCTACATATAAAGTACAATATACAGTACATGCTGTGGTGCTGTACTCTCTGTGATCTTTATCCGAACGGCTCTTTATACTCATGCAGCAGTAAGAGAAATAAAACACAGGGACATCGCTTTGTTGACAATTTCAGCAACATCCTGACTTCTCATTTTCAAATTTCGCAATAATTTTACCAAAATGATAATTGCTGTTGATAGTCACCAAAAAGTGAGGCATCTTAAGTTTTGTATCATGTTTTTTTTTTTTTTTAACATGCATTTTAGATTAATATTCTGTGTCTCTGTGTATGTATGTGCTGAAACTGACACGGCACAGACAGTCAGAGGGGGATGTTGCCCGCAGTTATCATCTCCACCTTCTGTTTTCAGACAAACACCACAAACACACATGAGCCAGCCCGTGGGACACAGCTAGACAAAAGCAATCAAGCCCAATCATTGAATTAACAACATATTGCTATGTTGTATTGCAGGAGCAATTATCCCCTGTCTCATGGTACAGAGTCATGCACATACACACACAAACGCTCTCACACTCAATTAAAGTCGTGATGGCAGCCCTCTGCTGTGAGAATGATTGCGTTTCAATTGGCATGACTCTTTGAGTCCACAGAGCAGTATTATGTATGCTAATGCAAGCTGTAAAGACGGATCTGGGGTTCGAGGAGGGGGGCCCTGGAGCAATTACACTGCCTCAGAGCTCAGGCAAGACGCCGGGTCTCTGGGCATGAGGGGCACTTTTATGGGCTTTTCATATTAACAATATAACTTTGAGACATGGTGGGAATAAGCCTGTAAAATATGGAGGCAAATACAGACCTCAGGTTTAGATCGCTGAGAGGGAATAAGAGGGCACATTTGACAACAAAGATACTTTTGTCGGAGTTTGTTTCCTCACATGTCAGGGTTATTCATGTACTTTTACTGGACACTGGACTGACAGCTGATTTGAGTTCATTAACTGGCAGCTGCATTTTGAACACACTGCATGGTTTGTTGTTGATCAGCTGAAGTATGTAATGCGAATCATGATAATCTAGATGGGTGAAATTTTAAAATAACAGTTTAACATCTACAGAGGAGTGCTTTGATCTGGTTTTAGAGATGTTTTCAGCTTCAGGAAAGAGGACTGAACAAACTTAGTCATATGCTGGTCAAAGGTTATGTGTTAGACAAAGATGGTGCCCAGATTCTTGGTGCTATATTGTTTTTAATCTGTAAATAAACAAATACAAATACAAAATACAAATATTAAGCTGAAACAGAAAATAAACAGGATAAAAATAACCAACTATTTGCTCATACAAAACTCTTCCTTGTGCTAAACAGGATGTAAATACTTCCCATAACATATTTTCTAACCTCCTCACCTGCTACTAAGCTAACTGCAGTTTTCAAGCTCGCTCTTAGGTGTGGATAAATTCAAACCTGCACAGCCATCCCAGTCCAACAGCATTCAATAATATGATCACACAACATGATCCAAGGACTACAATGACCCCACTAAGATCAATGTGGGAATGATTTACGTGAACTTTCCCTTTAAAAACAAAAGACAAACAAACGAAAAAACAGGAACTCATAGCTCAAATTATTCTTGTCTAGGTAGACACAAAATAGATCCCAAACTCCGTTTTTTCTTTTCAGATAATGACATTTTTTCTTCAACAATGTTGAATTCATCTTGAAGTCATATTGTTCAATTACAGCCCATGCATAAATTTTAAGAGCATGTCATCAATGATTGAATCTTTTCTGCTTAAGTTCCTGATGAACTGAGGTTAAAAGGGTCACTAAAAAAGATTATTATTTCACTTAAAACACCACACACCACACACAATAAAAAGCAAAATCTTCTTTGTATTTTTTCCACTGTAATTTTTTAATCTGCTTGTACTTAAATTAATAAAAAAAACACTTAATTTAAAACTTTCTCGTACTAATTCTCCTTTTCACCTCTCTGTGCCATTGGAGCAATCAGCACGCCACCAAAGCCCTGCAGGATTTATCCTCATAATAACTCCTGGTGTTTAAGAGCCCGTAATTGCTTTGTCAGGTTATATTTATTAGATTAATTTCTACAGATTTAATTGGTACATGAATATTTTAATGTTTACCTCTAATACATACTGTACAAGGCCTTTGGGGTCCTGTGAAACTGTGGGTAGGAGACAGAATAAAGCATATCTGGACCTGTGCAGCCCTTTGAAACTCACTATTTTTAATGGAATCATATGAAAACGGTTTAATTATTCAATGGATTCATAGTTTAATCAGACTTTTAGCACAGTCTAATTGGTCTGATGCTGAAATATAGATAGGATCAGAGGATTGGAGGAAGATGATTGAAAAAGTTTTGTACCAAAGGGTCATTGTTAAACTTTCCCCTTAATTCAATGCCACAGTTTGGTGTAAACATGCACCATACATATGCACCATACACCTCTTCATTATGGTTGTAATTTATTTTCAATGTCTCTCCTTGCTTAATAAATTAATGTATCATGGGAATTGAAGGATCCAAATTTTTGCAGCACCTCTAATGAAGTGAAGTCAAAATATCTGAGTCTTTGATGCATCCATTCATTTTTCATCCTGTCTGTCTGCCTTGGCCTGCATAGGGGAGCAGATATGATCAGTTTGGATAATAGCCATCTCATGCTTCTGCCTATCATGGTACTTCCACTAAACTCTGCCTCTTAAGGAGACAGCGGACATAACTGGAAGTTGATCGACCTCTGTGACACTCTAAAATGATCACTTCAGTTACGTCAAAGCCCTCATTTTTGCATGCCCCTCTGCTAGCAAGATGAATTGACCCAGTGTTAAACAGATCTGCGCCTGAGTCAGCCTCTATAGGAGATGAATACATTAACACGCTCCCTGATAGAGATGTTTGACCCCACTCCCACTCACAAAACATACAACATTCCTCTGATTTAGTGTGAGTGTGTGTGTGTCATTGCATGTGTCCCACACTTTTAAAAAGCTGATATAAAAGCTGATATTTTGCAGCTTTGAATTTGAATGTGATCACTCCCTGTTCAGGAGGATCACATATGTCCTCCTGCTGCAGTTTAAAGCAGTATTTAGTTTAAAAACAAATACCATATGGTTTGAAAATGATCCTATATATTCAGAAACCACACAGATATGCAGTACACTTTCACTCTTTCTGATCTAATGTTGTTTCATCATGCATAATCTCTGACGACCAGATTCATACATTTTCAACAAATGTAGTTAAACAGTGAGAGTTGAGAGTCACAGGTTCATTTTGGACAAAATGATGGCTTAGTCAAGAACTCCAGTGTGGTGTTTTTTTTTATTCGCAACAAATTCCCCAAAACAGCATTAAATAGTGGCAAAAATATTTACAGTGCAGGACCAAGAAAAAATAATCAATCAACAAATGAAGTATTCAGAGCAGGTTTTCAGTTGGACTTAGACTGGCAGCAGGCCCACAATGCCACTAGGCCACAGTTTGACACAAACAAAAAGCCCTCCATATTGCTGTGACCTTATGCACTTAAAACACAGTAAATCAGGAGATATTACCCAAATGAGAGCCACATGCTGAATACAGCTTGGTAATAGACAAAGAGAAAGGAGACGATAAGATCAGTTGGTCTCACTGTATTCCTTCTGAGTCAGTCTCTTTACTGCTGGTTATCTCCATTATAAAGTATTTGGGTTGTCACTTTTTGAAATACTGGGGTGACTCTGACCAAGACCATTAGTCAATCTAAATAAAGAATTCTAATCATAAGTGTTAAGAGCACCTCCAACCAAGTAATACATCATTTTAAAGGTGCAATAAATGGGGGTATCAAGTGCTGTCTTTGCCCAGATTCTGGTTAAAAGGTCCCTCACTCAAACCCCCTTTACATGGGAAGCTACTATAAAGCATTATGATTCTCAATTTTCAAGTTTTATAGTCTGAAACTTATTAAAGTGCCTGTGAGGTTGTTGTTGTTTTTTCTCATTTATGACATTGACTGGAATATATATTGATGCTTTTTCATGATAAACAAAAGCAAACAAGACCATCAGCAACAAGATTGATGATTTTTATACTATAATTCCTAGCGCCATTTAATGTGACCACTCACCAAACACAAAAAAGCATTATCTCATTATACTACTAATCTGTCCTATGAGTATGTATTCAATAAAAGCACCAAGAGAAAGTACAAAGCTTCAGTTTTCATGTATAAAAACTCATTTTATTCTAAGTTGTTCCATTTGTTTTTTTTCTTTTATCAGTACTTAAACATTATTTATTGTCTTTAAAGACCCATTCCAATGAAAAACATGTTTTTCTTGTTGTCTACATGTTTATATGGCATTTTTCTGATGCTACAAGACATATAATGAGAAAACTAAGTGTGAAATTGCATTTCTGAGTAATTCTTATTCAAATCGCTGTGAATCTCTGGCAGACCCAAATGACAGGTTCAGACATAGTGGGATTTCCTACATCACAATTTCAAGCTCCACCCCCAGAGCCCCGCTATGCAAGCCAGACTTGGATAATAGAATGGACGATTGCAGAACAAACGTGTGTGTTAGCAGAAAAACTTCATAATCACAACTTAAAGACCACTGAGAACACTTCAAGTAGTAAAAAAGAAAATGATCAGAGTGGGACTGTACAATTACAAGATTACAGCCAAACACCTGTAAAATTCATGTCATAACTATTCAGAGCAGGGAATTGATCTGCTCTTATGATGTTGCATCCTGTTTTGAGTTTTAACATTTATTGCATGATTTGGAAAAAGGATTACTGTGAATTTTATCGCCTACATCTAACGTTTTGGAGCATTTCTGCATGTCAAGTGCACAGGCAGTAGTGTTGTCAGGATGGTAAATATGCTTTAGGCCTACTGTTATGATTTTATGATGTTTGCTAACTTTTCTTTACATTTCTGTCTGTAAACTAGTCTTCTGGTGTTTGTTCTGTTCTGGTTTGGGGGATTTATGTTGTATTTTACATGCAGCTCTGCTCTCCCATTCCACTTTGAGTTTCTTCAGGTATAAAGCAATACACACCAGCAGAGCCCTCCAATTGGTTCATGTAAGCAGATACACAAATATCAACAGGGTCAAGGTGCAAGCTAGACAAAAACCCAGGATCTGAGTCTGAAGTTTTTGCTGCATCAGTGATATCTCCCCCTCCTTCATCTTCACCTGCACTTGGCTCCTCTCCTCTGCTTTATGGTAGATTCATTTCTTCCAAGTGTTCTCTGCTATTTAAGACTACCTCCATAGTCTCTGAGCTGTTGTGCTGTATTCTTTAGTCCAATCAGATGACAATAAACTATATCAAATTTACTATATAATAGCCATGTTATTATAACCGATACATTATAATGTACCTGATTTGCTTATGAGAGGCAGATGACAGCATGTAACACAGTCTATATGAGGCACGCTGTATGTCTGCCTGATTTCAACATGTGACATATGTTTACAGTATACAGAGTTTACCTGTATGATCAACAGAGGCCTACAGCTTGGCTTTGTAAAAAGCAACATGTGATCCCTCTTGATACCGAAGCCCATTCAAGACAGGCCCAATCAGGAATTTTAGTCCAGCATCATCAAGTATTTTGGAAACATCCCTGACATCAGAGGGACGGGAATAGAGAGAGTAGGGTAAAGAGACCATATCCACATGAGGACCTTCATCAGCGACCCTGGCGGTGCTGTCATTCCTGCAGTGTTGAGTCATGTGGGATGTTTCTGGGTAGTCTCTGGGCTCCAGCAGCCCTTTTTTGGGAATGTCATGTTTTAACAACTCCAATGCCTTTTAATTCCTGCTTCTGAAAGTCTGTCTACAAGTACTGGAATGTGTGCGAGGCAACAGGCCAGACGCTAGTGTTTGGAAATAAACTGTCTGTCTGATCTGATTGGCCTCATTCTCAGGGACTTGGGAGCAGCAAGTCTGCAATACACAACATGCACAAGCACACGTGCGCTCGCACACACACACACACACGCACGCACGCACGCACGCACGCATGTACATCTACAGATGCCTTAAAACACCTCTCCATTTTTTCACTGCATTCCAAAAGCTGCAATCTTGGGTACAAAATATGCAAACACATGCACACAAACTGAGCAAAGACAACACTACATATCGGCACTGGAACACACAAAACACGTGTACTGTACATGTCAGACACTGAGCAGGAGTCTTGGGTGTGTGTGTGTGTGTGTTGTGAGGGAAAATGAGGCTAATGCAGAGGCTTGCTCTGTTGTTAATATCATTCCTACAGGCGTACTGATGAGTCTGATGGAATGACTCTGATTCAATTGCAGGAGGCTCCTGGGAGACTGGTAGAGTTAATGAACCGTGTGTGTTCATTTTATCATCTGTTTGTGTGTGTTGATATGTGAGTGTGTGTGCGCGCGTGTGTGTGTGTGTGTTATGAGTCCAAAAAGAAGGACCAATGGAGGGGAGGTTGATGAGATAAGCTATAACAACATAAAAGGATCCTAATTGTCCCCTGGAGGCAGAGTGTTAGGAGAGTGACAAGGATGACTCAAACCTCCCACAAAAGCAGCAACAAACAAGATTTGATGGAGATTAGAGATATAACAAGAGGAAATGCTTACGATAGCCTGAGGAAAAGGAAGCTATAGGGAGAAAGATGTTTTTCCTTCAACCTAAACTGCCTATGAAATTTATGTCTGGTATTCAAAATGAATGATGTAAAAGTACAGACCTTTTATGTGTTTTTTAAGAATCAGCAAAGAAGTGGGAGGAATTCCTGACATTTTTCATGTCATGAATGTATTAACAGCAATAAATTTCTCCAAGTTTTCTCCATGCTCCCTGATCTGTGTCATTTTTACTGCTCAAATAAACAACTCTCTGCTAGAAACCACGTGTTTATATTCCCTGCTCTGTTAGCTTTGATAACCCAGTTTAATTCAGCATCAGTCCAGCATGTTCATTACTCTCTGTAAGTCTTAAAAAGTACATCCACTGTAGCCATTCCAGTGAGACCCAGGACACTCAGTGTGGATTAAAATACAAAAGGTCGAACCTGTTTCATTGAGTATCTTCTTTCCAGAGTTCTTCAATTCTTTATCATAAATCATTTTAAAAATCTCAAGTTTAGACATATTGAACCATACTTATAGCCAAGACAAAAGTGGGTGCTTGCACTTTTTAAGATGCTGATTTGTTTTTGGTAAAAGAAGATGACTTGACAACATATCCTCATTTGTAAACCACAAACACGGATCGTATCATTGATCTTGATGACTTCACTGAGCTGCGATCCAACCTTTGACCTCTAAAACACAAAGGGCTCTATTTTCGTGTCTGCCGGGGACGCGGTGGAGGGTGGCTGACCCCGCCCAGCGCACAGCCAGTTCGGTATTCTCGTGAACTGAGGCGCACCGAGGTCCGCCAAGCTGGGCAGCGTGGTGTGGCAGGGGGAGGTGTCGACAGAATCAGCTGGCACAGTGACATTTTCGTGCTCGCCACCGGCATGTAAAGTGCGCTGAAAGCTCGCCGATTTAAACCTGGTCAGCTTTCTGCGCAGGCGGAGTTCAGCTGGTCTAGTGGTATTTTGGTAGACCGAAGGCGTATCGGCATACGTCACCGATGCCTCACCGGCAGGTTTCCACAGAGTCAGGAACACTTCAGTGCAATAAATAATCATCAACAACTATTAATCTGAGTCAGCACATACATTTAGATCTATATAGATATATTCTGATCTATATCTGATCTGATGAGCGCGTTTGGCACATGTTTGGACACACAACCTGACCGAATCAACACAGCTGAAATCGCATTAAATTAAATTAAATATCTAGTAAATAGACACACATGATGAAGTTAACAAAATATTTAATTCGTCTCCCTCCTTTTCTTTCTTCCTCTTCCTCTTATTTCTCGCACAACTCGACCTGGACATGTCTCCGTGTCCTCTCCTCGTCCTGCTGCAGCTGCTGCTGCTGCGGCGGCTGAACAAATGATTTGTTTCAGTGATCAGATGAGTTATTTACTTTAAGCCTACATACGGATATTATAATATTCAGTTTTGTGAGCCACATTTATTTTATGTGCCAACATCTATGAAAGAAAGAGCCAGGTCACGGAGCGCGATGTGTCCTTTACGCACAGATGGTTTCGATTTTAATGCCATTATTGGAATTTATGATGTGATCTCTGCGCACAACCCACCCTGTCATGTGAGGTTTGAATATGTGCAACTTTATGTGAGTGTCTTTATTTGTGGAAAAGGATGTTTGTCTTACCAGTGGGTCCAACATTACACACACCAAATCCATCTGTGCTTATATGAGAGAGTGTGAAGGATGTCCTCTGCAGCGCAACACTTGTTGAGGGGCTGCCTTCTGTCGCCATCGTGTGGCATTGCTGTCTTCAGACTCTTTGACTACTTCACGAAAATTGTAATACGCCTCGCCGGTGGCGAATTTAAATGCGAAGAGAGGAGCTGATGTTATTGGTCAATACAGGTCTCGGCTGCGTTAAACCCACTCCACGCCCTCTCTCCTCCCTCGCTATGACTTACGCCGCTGGGAGGAGCTGAGTTAGGGAGGGGGGATACTTACGCCGGAATGCGCCGCTCACCAAAATACCAAAAAGTGCTTGGGAACGCCTTGTCGGCGCCGTGGACCTGACTTACGACGCGCCTGTGCCACGTCTCCAGTGAAGCACGAAAATAGAGCCCAAAGTGTGTGCCTTCAATCACAGCTTGGGTGATGATGTACTGCAATGCCTCAACTGGGTTTCTAAAAGCTTTGAAAGCCAAAACCGTAGTCTTTTTCCAGTCCAGCTCGCACACCTGCACTTCTACCACAACATCAGTGACCTCTGAGGCAAGCTGGTTCATCTCTGCTGATATCTTGATTTGCTATAGCACTCTGGTGGCTGATTTGTTTCATTTGACAGCTTCTGCTTTATACTAATCATCAGTTTTATGGTTTGTAGCTTGTGTATCAATGCAGAGGTTAAGCCTTTTCAGTCTTCTGCAGCTGTTCCTGGCAATGTCCTGACACATCTTTGGGGTGTTTCCCATTTTAAGAGAACCGCTTGAAAAAGAAAATGAAATTTTTTCCCATGGCAACATGGTGGCAGGGAATTCAAAACACCCGAATACAAGACTGACATGCCCTTTGTCAAGGTAGTGCCCGGTGTAAAGATTTGAAGTAAGGTCCTGATTGAAGTTTTTAAACCATTTCTTTTCAGATTCAAAAATCTGATAGTAAGGTGTAATGAAAGATAGGTAAAGTCAAATTCTAAGACAATTCAATCGATTCATTAGTTGAATATTGGCCCTAAAAATAGACAAATCAGCTCTGTGATGGGCTTCCTTGTTTCCATTTACCCATTGCAGGCTGTCCATAGATCCATAAATAGATGGGGATACCTGCAGAGTCCCAGTGCATTTCTGAATCCAATAGACAACAATCATCTAAATGTGTATAATGTAAAACCATACTTTGGCAGAATAACACTGATGCGATTCACAATGTGTTGTAACTTGATGAACATGTTGTATTCAATCATCCAAACTCCCTCTACAATCAAGAGCAGCTCGGAGGACTGAGTCACTTTCTCAGTAAATGGATGATGTGCTGTGGTAAATCAAAGTACTGATTCACCTTAAGCCTACAAGGGAAAATAGTGGACAATGAAGACAAGAGGAAGCTCAGATTTCCTCAATGCATGGAGCTGAGGTTCCGCAGTTTATAAGTGCATGACTGTCTTAAAACCACTGACATATGTTTGCATATAAAATATTCCCTTAGGGGACAATTTCATCTGAACATGACCTCCTCTGGAGCAGGTGTGCAGCCTGAGTTAACATCCTCATCTATAGCCTGATTAAAGAGAGCCGCTTCTGTGACATTGAAAACTCACAGCTTTCGGCTTCATGTATATTTGCTCACCTATTAATCTTACTTCATAGTGTACCCCTCAGGTCTCTACAGGCCCATCAGAGCTCATATAAACAGATCAAACATGTAACAACACCTTAGTTTTGAAAACACAGAAGGACCAGCTGTGTGTAAGAGTGTGTTTCCATGTGTTAGTGTGAACTGTATAATGTTTAATCCAATTTGCTCACATGTGGGTACCATACCCACTTTAAGTTGGACACCAGGCCCTTTGGCAACAACTAAATGGTATGAAATCCAGAAAGAGGGTGATTACATTGGAAACAGGGAGATGAACTTTTTTATTTATTTATTTATTTATTTTTTTTACAGTGTTAGCACAAGATAAACAGCATGATGAGAGAGAAGGGCTGGAAGATGAAAAAGATAAAAGCTCTGGACCAACATGCCTGGAAAGTTCGGCTTGCACAATCAGTATCTGCTCAATATGTAGTTTCATGAACTAGCTCTCATGTGTTTTACTCAATTATTGGTTTGGCCAAAAAACAGCAGCAGACGCAGCTGTGCACCAGCCTGAAGGGTCAGCGAGTCCCTGAAGTTAATCAACTCCGGTAATGGGAGACATGCTGAATGGAAGGTCACCTATGTAACTCTGGTTCTCCAAGTGAAGAAAGTAACTCGAGGGCCATCAGAAAGAGATTCAAATCAGGTTTAACCAGGGATAACCACACCCAACAGGCTGCAATGTAACATTACACAACTCAAGGACTCCAAACACTTGAGAGGCTGCAATCAGGCGGATGTGCAACCAATGTACAAAGTAAAGAGATGAAAGCCATAGTTTCTTATAGTTACCCTACATTAAACAGTGTAAAAAAATTAACCAGTCCTTTAGCAAATCACACAATTTTTTAAATGATCTCTAAAAGGTAAACTGAGGTAAAGGCTAGCAGGGTTTTCATTCAACGATTGCAGTTTTAGATAGGTATTTGCCATGTTTTAGATCATGAAATGCTTTTGTTGTAGAGCAGATGGTCCTCTGGTCCAATCTTGTTGGCAAAAAAGCAGAGCATAGCAGCAAGCTGCTGCTGTCGTGGGTCATCTGGTCTAATCTTGTCATGGAGAAGGCGTAGCATAGAGCGAGCCGCTACCGCCACCTCGCTGACAGCCTGTATGGAGGAGCCTCTACAGCCCACATGGGCCTGAGGTGGCTGTCGGCAAGGAGCTGCCATGGTTCATCCACACTGTGGTGAAACCACCAATGCTTGACTCAAAGGAAGCTCTTCAAAGTAGTTTCACAGTAGGATGCAGTGTTTTGAAGATCTGTTTTCAATTAAAGCTTTTGTGAGGAGTTTTCAGCTGGCAATGATACAGACTGAAATTCACAGCAGTTATTTATGACCAAGAAATACAAACAAGACCGTTGATGACAGAATTATTGTTTTAATGTTTATCAAAGTCTGGACCTACAGAGGATATATGCCTGGTGAAATGGCAGCTAAACAGCTTTTGCCTAAAATTTTCCACAGCTATCATCAATCAACCAATCAATCTTACATAGTGCCAATCACAAGTTTTATCACAAGATGTTTCACAAAAGGGTGATTTGAACCAGACTCTGTTTACAAAGACCCAATGTAAAGATGGGATCAGACTGCGCTCCATCCTGTCAGATCAGACCAACTCCCATGCCACCTTAAATCACATGAGGGAAACACTTTACAGCATTTATCAAGTTAGAGTGGAGAGGAAGAACTTCCTTTAACAGGCAGAAACCTTGAGCAGAACCAGACTTATGTTAGACAGTCATCTGCTGAGACTGAGCTGGGTTTAGAGAGGGAGAGGAGAAAGAGAGAGATGGACGAAGGTGAGACTGATGCAGGTAGTTCAGGCAAAGCAGTAATACAGAGGAACGCCAGGATGTAGCTCAAGGACAAGGAAAAGACGGAGTATTAGTGACTCTAATGGGACATGAGGATTAGGAGTTAATGACACAGACAGAAAGAGGAGGAGGGAAATGTGGTAACTGCACCCCAGACAGTTTAAACCCATAGCAGCATAACTAAAGCTGGTCCGAGCCTGGACCTACGATAACCATAAGCTTCATCAAAGATTAAAGTTTGATGCTGACTCTTAAAGGTAGAGAGAGTGTCTGCCTCCTTCACCTCAACTGGTAGAAGATTCCAGAGGAAAGGGGCCTGAAAACTGAAAGATCTACCACCCAGACCACTTTTAGAGACGTTTGGTACGATGAGCATACCTGCATATTGTGATCGCAATGTCACAATATTCCTATTCCCTTTCACCTTTCAGGGTGTTGGAGAACTATGAACTTTTTATGGGTGATGTCTGTGTAGATTCTCATTCATCCAGGTCATGGCTATCAAATTCTTCAGCTTCAGCTGGACTTGTCTAAGTTTCTTGAAGACGTTCCTTCTCTCTTCCAAAAGGCTTCATCAGTTCTAAAGTAATTAAGATCAAAGTTGGAAATTTATAGTTTCTGTTGGTCCTCTTGTAAAAGGGCTGGATGGTCACCTGAGAGTCAATAGCAGGGTTGTTAACCTGGTTTCAGCTGGGGAGTGTCCTCTTGGGTTTCTTCAGGTTTGCCATGCTTGCATGATGTTGGAGCCTGTGATCCAGCACGAAAGCGTTGCTTTGATTGTTGTCAAAACGAATCAAGAGCTGAACTGTAGTTGGGGGATAAGAAGAGCCTTAGTCTGCAGACTCTGTTCAAAGTTCAAAGTCTTTCCTTTACACCACAGGGGCACAATCAATTCAAAGATAAGGTAAGGCTTTTTCTACAAAGGGCACAAAAACAACAACAATTACAACAACAACAACAACAACAAACATTTTTTTTGCAGGGACTCACACATTGTACTGAGTTGTTTTCTTTCTTTTTTTTTTTTACACTGGTTTTTCCTCAAAGAAAAAAGTAATTCTAAGGTATGCAGTATTTTAAAAGAAGTAAAAGCTACAGTGTGTAACTTTTGTGTGTCTGTAAATATCAGTTTCACCCAAGCCACTACAAGAGGAGATGATGCAATGCTGATTAAGCTGTTCGGCTCCTCTAACACTGAGTGGTATTTTTCATTATTTGTTCTTTTATGTATTTGGTGTCTTTGGAGACATTCCCGGAAATTACACGTTCGGTTTTACCTGACAACAAGAAGGAAGGGGGTAGGAGGAGAGCGCGGTGAAATGGCGGTGAACCTGAAGAAGCGACCAACAGGTTCAAAAGTGAACCCTACTAAAAAGAAAAAGCCTTCCCGCTCGGCGGAAGGTCTGTTGGCGAAGAAAAAGAGTGACAAACAGAGAAGACTAATGCGGATTTACATCAGCGTCGCTTTTATTCGATGGAGAGCCCTAAAGGAGGAGATTGGACTGAGGTCCGACACCGATGTTGCCTTGATACTGCTGGATAAGTAAGTAACTGTTCATTATGAGCAGGATGTGTTGCTGTTACATGAACTGGACCGAGTACTTTATTATTGTTTCTTGGAGATGGTGCTTTGATTGTAATCTATTGTTTGCAGCCTGGTGTTCGCCACATTGTGTAACATTAGCCTAACAAGGAGTAAGTTACAAGGGGTGTAGCCCGTGTTGCTGTGTGTAACTTACTGTGGAGAGTCTGTGTGCTGTGACAAGTATCTTTAGTTGTCAGTTCGTGTACCGTGACAAGCAATGGGTGGTGAGTCGCACGTGTTGCTCCAAGTACTGTGACGAGCAGTATGCAGTGAGTTATAAGTTTACTCTGTGTACAGGTTACACTGGGGCATACGTCGTATTGAAGTGCCATTGTTATCACACAGATATCCTCTAGGGGGCAATAGAAGTTACACACTATAACTTTGAGATTCACAAAACAGTATACTAAAAAGTCAGATATACCATACAAACTTAGGCTTTATGTCTTTTGATGTACCAAACAACATGCATGGAGGATCCAGGGTGACATTTCAAATGATTGTTACCAAACGTCACAGATCAGACATGCAGACTGCATCGATATTGCTTAAAATAGTGCCTAATAAACTCAATAAAGTTCTCCTCTTTTTCTAATGTACATGCAACAAGGTATCAAAGTCCTACAAGGACTGATTAAAGAAATTAAATGCAGAATTATTACTCAGCAAAAAGATGCTGTCCAGAAAACGTTCACAGTGTTTGTACTATTTAATTTTATTTACTGACCAAGTTGAGATACTCTAAAATAAAATTCAGTGAAATTCAGTCATATTCACTCTGGTCAGCTTCTGGAGATTGTGTTAAAATGAGGCAGCCAGAGGGGTCCACTTATGGACAAATATGTATCCAAACAGAGGGTCCATTCTCCTTAGGGGCTCATTTGCATTTTCCTTGGAGTTAGCAACTCTGCTTCACAAACTCTTCCCCTCACTTACACACACACACACACACACACACACACACACACACATACAGAGGGGTGTGCGTGGGCAGACAGAAAGGAGTGGAATCCCTGATAAGCCCGATGCCTGGTGGAGGGCATAGAGAGAGGAATGGCAGCTATGTCGGGCATTCACAACACTGTGTGGTGTCACCAAACAAAGCCTTCCCTTCTCCCGCCTGTCAAAGACACCATTGTGGTGTGAGGAGAGAGCCTTTATATCACACACACATTCCACGCATGCCCCCCCACCCCCATACACACACACACACACACACACACACACACACACACACACACACACACACACAAATAAAAACTCTGCAGTGTACAGTATATCTACCTTGTATATGTATAGAAATGCAACATTCATATGAACAGTTTCAGACAAAATCTAAGTAATGCATCAGCTCATAAACTCAGACTCACATAAAAAAGAAAGTTTTTTTCTGCCTGTTTAACACAAATATCCAAGAGAGAATCTGGTTTTACAGTCATTTCATTGGCTTCTGGCTGGTTGTGTTGACAGGATGGAGACTTCCAGCAGAGAGGCTGGCACTCCCGGCATGGAGCCCCCGGTGAGAGTCACCTGTGAGGGGGGCGAGAGCAAGGGAAGTCCGCCTTTCCTTCCTCACTCACTGGAAGTCTGGGAAGTTAATGACAGCTGACACACTCACCGGGGGTCTGACAGTAGGACTGTATATGAAGGTTGTTCCTGCAAGAGAGGGAGGGAAGCTGTCTCTGCCTGTGTGTGTGTGTGTGTGTGTGTGTGTGTGTGTGTGTGTGTGTTAGCCTCTTCCTGTTGCTCTGACAAGCTCCTGACTGCTCCTGCCACCTTCACCTCAGCCACAAAGGACTCATGGGAAGGCGGACATGACAGGGGGGCGGGACTCCCATATGTCTTGTGTCTGACTTTGCGGGATGACTCTGCAAACACCTGTCAATCACAGTCAGGACAGGACGAGAGCTGTGCTCGAGTGTGTGTTAGTGATTCAGGAGACTCAAGGGTGGCAGCAAGTATAATGTTGAAGATTTGGAATGTCAGCACATCAAATGTTTGAAATTTGTTGTTTCTTCAATTTTCACATTTTCTCCTTAGGTTGATCTTTAAAGTGTCTTTTATTTGACCATTAAAAAGGTCACTTAATAACCTTAATGGAGGCCAAATGGATGTTTATCAATGATATGAGTTTGAGGGTCACGAGTAACCTATTTTTAACCTATTTTGCTTGATTGAGATGTCTTTATCTTTTTTCGAATGTAATTCAGCTCTCTTTCTAAATCAGTTTGGTAGATGTGTTTGTGAAGAGGGGTGGGTGGGCAGCAGGTGCTGACAGGGGGACAGTACTTAGGGCCGGCGTTCCTGTCAGCCTTGCAGAGAGCCTCACAGCATGTGGGTCACTATCACAGAGGAAGCTCCCAACTTCACTTCCCCAGGTTTCAGTGACAGATCCTACCAGGACCCTAAACCCAGGACAAGAAGTCCTGCTGAGGAGCTTACTGTCTGCAGGGAGTCTGGTTAGATTGGTGGATAAAGACTGGGACAGTAGGGGCTGAGTACAAGCACAAAAGAGGGACAGTGGAGGGACAGAATTGAAGAAGGGAATTACCTGCCAATTAGGCAAAAATAATGTGAAGAATGATGGATGTCAACCTGTCAGAACCCGGGGAGGTGGCAGATCAGCCGGATAAGCTCCATGTTATCCCTCAGATTACACTGAACTGACAGGATCAAACACAAACAGGGACAAGCACACACACAGCCATACACATACAATCACACATAGGTAACACCAGAAATCATAAATTAACTGTTTGAAACCA